GCTCTGTATGCTGCTTCCACGACATTTTATTGTCTAAGTAAATTCCTAGAAATTTCGTGCTCTGTACCTCTTCTATTACTTGCTCTTTATATTTGATATTTATTTTTTGTGGTGATTGCCTATTCCTAAAATGTATAGATTTGGTTTTATCGAGATTGATTATTAAATTATTACTCATTAGCCAGTTAATTGTATTTTCTAATGTCTGATTAATATTGTCAAGAATGTCATTTATTTTGTATTTTTCAAAAAGTATAGTACTGTCATCGGCGAAAAGAGTCATAGAGTTAGTCGTAACTGTTGGAATGTCATTAATGTAAACTAAAAATAACAATGGTCCCAAAACACTGCCCTGAGGTACACCACATATGATATGTCGCAGACTAGATGAATAAGTCGTCAAAGTTTTTGTTTTATTGCATATCTTGCTTATGTCAGTCCTTTGTTGTCTATCCGTTAAATATGATTTAATTAATTCGAGAGCACTGCCTCGCACACCATAACGATGTAATTTCTCTAACAGTATGTCAAATTTTACATGATCGAATGCTTTGGTCATATCCATAAAGAGAGCAATAGTAGGGCATCTCTTATCCATGTTCGTTAAAACTTTATTACAAAAATTATATAATGCCATATTTATTGATTTATTTTTCCTGAATCCCATTTGCTCTTTCGCAAATAGTTCATGACTTTCAAAATAATTGTAAAGGCTATTGTAAATAACTTTTTCAAAAATTTTGGAAAATATGGAAAGTAATGCTATCGGTCTGTAGTTATTTAGATTGTCTTTGTCACCCTTTTTATATAGCGGTTTAATAATTGATAATTTAAGACATGTTGGAAATATACCCGTTTCTATTGAGAGGTTAATTATATGCGACAATAGGGGAGCGATTATATGACACACTCTTTTCACAATGTAGGTATCAATACCATCGAACCCCACACTACGTGTCATTTTGAGTGACGAAATTATTTTCAAAATGTCATCAGGCGTAGTAGGTAGCATAAATAAAGAGTTCCCATTATATGGTGGAAACTTACATTTGGGTGCTTGATGGTTCGTACCTGACCTGATTTGATCAACAAAAAAATTATTAAAGTGCCTTGCTATGTCTTTTGGGTCACATATTATTTTGCCTTTATATTTAATATTAGCTATATGATGTACTGGGTGACTATATTTATGTTCATTAATTATTCTCCATGTTGTTCTAGACTTATTATCTGAAGTTTTAATGGCATGTATATTCTGTGCTTTTTGAGTTAACTTTATTATACATTTTAGTCTTTTTGCATATCTTTGGTACAATATTTTATTAGCTAACGTCCGCCTCTTTCTATATTGCCACAAAAGAGCCCTTTTACGCTTACTGCATATTTTGATTCCCTTTGAAATCCATTTTGGCCGTATTTTGCAGAATAGTTTTATTTTCTTTGTCGGAAAACATAAATCATATATTAGTGTAAAATTATCATAAAATTTATTAAACGCAACATTAACATCGCTAATAGTGTATACCTCATTAAAATTAAGTTGCTTTAGATATTTAGTGAATATTACTATGTTTTCCTCACAATAGTCTCGTTTAAATTCATACCACCAATCCGCACCGTAAACCCGATCCACTGGGCATTGTAATATCTGCGCTGTATGATCAGACATAGCTAATTCCATATTTTTGGCATTACATCCATCAATGTTATATATTATGTTATCAAGGCATGTTTTACTTGCTATTCTTGTAGGTTGTCGAATTGCTATATTCATATTGTTACTTGAACAAATTTCCTGAAGTTGAACTGATTCTGCGCTTCTTTGTAAAACGTTTATATTGAAATCACCGCATATTATTATTTTTTTTCTTTTCGAAATTATTATGATCTGGTTCAGGCATTCAAAAAATTTGACCAAGTTTGTTCGTTTAGGCACTCTGTACATACAAACAATAATAATTTTGTAATCAACAAGTTCAATCGCACAACATTCTATTGCATGACTTTTAGATAAATTCAGAATTTCAAGTAATTCTTTCCATCGATACTTGTTTTTAATTAGAATGCAGGCACCACCCCGCTTTTTATCATTGCGACAAAAACTGGTTGCCAGAGTGAAACCCGGTATTGAAAGATATCGCTCATGACCCTCCAATATAAAATGTTCCGTAATACATATTATGTCAATGTCTAAATTTTTATTCGACAGTTCATCTAAATGTAATGTAAGTGCATTTGATTTAGTGATTAAACCTGCAATATTTTGATGCATTATATTAATATATGTATCAACGAAAAAGTTCATTAGTACCTATGTCATGTGAAGAATTAATATCATCATTATTAAACATGTCACTATTGTTAAAATCATACTGTTTTATGTCACATATAAAATTAATAATGTCCTTAAATATAACATGCATGCCACAGTTGTTAAGTCTGCCTGTGTGCTTGTTAAACATTTTAAAGTCACAAGAAAGATTTTTATTTGAGTCAAGGAAATAAGCATGCTCATGAGCTAATATATCTAGATACAATAAATTATTAAAATTTTCTATTCTAGAGTTATACATCTTATGGTAATATCCAAATTTATAGGTTGGAGAACAAATTATAATATTGGTGTGCTTAATTCTTTTCAGAGTATTTCGAATATTAAAAACCAGGTTCAAGTAATTACGTGTTGTATTAAAATCTTCTTCCCCAACAAATAAAATACAAAAATCATTCATTTTGAAATCCCATAGTTTAGTCTCTATTCGATGTAGCATTTGCTCTGTGTTGTAGTGTTTCAATAAATAATGGCATAACGTATCACGAGTATCTCGAAATGTATTTTGTGCAATTGGTGTAATTTTATTATATTTATTACTACTTATAATGCAAATTTTACTTTTAGCAGTATCCTCTGTACATATTCGTATTTGAGATGGCTCACTATGTAAATTCTGTTTTAATTCTAGGTGTCTTGAGCTGTTACTTGTTTCTTGGCATGTTTCGGTTTGTGTTTTTTTATGTACCTTTTGTCTCTTTTTATTGGGTGTTGTAGATTTAACAGGACTACTAGTGATCGATTTGTACAGGTCATTTCTTCTAATTAATTCTTGACTTGCTTTCTTCAAATTTGTGTTTTCGAGAGACAAATTTTCAATTTCGTGGTGAGCACTACTTAACTCGCTTTTTAGTTTTTCAACTTGTTCTCTTAAAGTTATTATTAAATCCTGCTGCTGTTGTTTTGTTAGGTCGGGTAAACTAGTTAGGCTGGTATCATTAACTGTGTCTTCATCAAGGGTATCGTTAGAAGTATTTGTGTAGTTCGAGTCCGAAAATGTGCGTGTTCGTGTACGCCGGAACGTTACATTGTTTTGCAGAGAATCCATAATAGAATCCATAATAGCTTTTCCGCATTAAAGTTATAAACAGACGATTATTTTACTTTATTCTCGATATTTCTACCAAAAATGATTTCTACCAAACAATTTGCCAAAGCACTGGAACGCACCGCTAGGAACGCTCATATAGCGGGTTACTTTAGCTCACGATGCAGAATCTCTTAAGACAGTGAACTGGAACGCGCCCAGACTAAATGCACTTAAGTTGGTAAAAGTGTAAATACCCCACAAAAATATTATTGTTTTGAAAAATAACGACTATAATTATACACAAAGTTGTTTATTCGTTACTATTTTATTTTATTTTGTAAGCCACTACAATGCACTGATTTGATTCAGTCGAAATTATTTGTTTTAATGATGATTACTCACTCAGTCAAGCGCTGCTAATAATTGAAAATTTTGATAAAGAGTGGCGTCTTCTTTCACTACAAGTTTTAGTTCGTATAACTTGTTAATTGTAAGTGGCAAACGATATCACTCAATACTAAACCAATTCAAACTTCTCACAGGCACTTTTTAGCTATATTTAAATACATATTAAATAAAAAACATTTTCAAAAAACAAAAGCTATGTTTACTTTCTCTGGTGTTGCCAGATTCCCAAAGGCCTTGAGGCCCTGATAGTGAGCGATTAGCGCTATATATGGACTTCCACAACTGAATACTCATAAGTTAAGGATATTCACGGAGATGGCAGAGATCCGTGAAGTAACGGATTAAGAATTCTCAGTTTCACCACCCCCATTCATCCCGTGGGTGTCGTAAGGGCCGACTAAGGGAGCAAACTACGCAAGACAACAGCACTGCAAAGAGAAGGAAAACTTAACACAAACCCTATAGCAACCCGTCTAGCCAGCGTGGTATAGTAGGCCAAAACCTCCTGTCTAAGGAGATGCCTATGTCCAGCAGTGGACTAATAAAGGCTGTTGATGATGATGATGATGAAGAGGAATCTTTTATCAAGGGTATGTTGGCCTAGTCTAGTGGTTGGTGATCCTGACTGCTGGGATAAAAACTATTCTATGTGCTTTCCCGGAACTCAAACTATCTCTATACTAAATTTCATCTGAATCGGACAGACAAGACACACACACTTGCGTTTATAATATTACTAGCTTTTGCCTGCAGCTCCGCCTGCTTAAATGTCGGTTATCGCGGTATAAAGTAGCCTATGTCTTTCCTCAAGAATCAAAGTATCTCCATACTAAATTACATCTAAATCGGTTCAGCAGTTATTGATTCCCCATACAAACTTCCACCCCCTTTTTCACCCCCTCAAAGGATGATTCCTGGTATAAAAACTACTCTATGTCATTTCCCGGAACTCGAACGATATCCATACCTAATTTCGTATAAATCGGTTCAGTGGTTTAAGCGTGAAGAGGTAACAGACAGACAGACAGACACACTTTCGCATTTATAATATTAGTATGAATGTTTAACATAGTACAGGCTCTGCCTAGTGTGGGCTCAGACGGGCGGTGTGAGATATCTGTGGTTAATGGTATTAATGGTGAGGCGTTCTACCCCGTTGTTCTTATGTATGGAATCTCTGGCAGCCGAATTCCATAACACTATTCTAACCAAAGCTTTCTTCTTCCCCAGAAACTTCAAATGTGCGGTACTGAGGAGGAGATGAGAGAAGTGGCCGCCAAGATCTGCAGGAACTATTTGCATGGTGCATGGAAGAACGTCGACCCAAATGAAATGTATTTCTCAAAAGTCAAGTAAGTAACTATTGATTTAATTTAAACTTTAATCTAAGTGTCAGACGTTCAATGGTTGACTTCACGGATGGCGTAGTGGTTTAAGCGGTCACCACGCCGCTGTCTACTGCGAAGAGTGTTGTGGGTCCGATCCCCACATGGGACTACACTTTGTGTGATCCACAAATCGTTGTTCTGAGTCTGGGTGTTCTTTGTGTCCGTTTCATGTATGTTTGTAAAGTCCCTCGCGACACAGAATGTATTCGTAATGCGGGAGTTGTCTTTATAAAATAGAAATAGAAAAATGGTGGTGCTTGCGTCTACATTGTCGGGTGTTGCCGACTAAGTATCATCTCACTCCAAATATTTTTTCCAACTATTATAATGAAGCCTTAGTACCTTCGTTTTCTTGTCTCTTTTACGCTTTTATATATGCATACATATATATGGTTCCAGATAAAAGTAATTATTGACTGCACGGATGGCGATACGCTAAGTGTTGTGGGTCCGATCCCCACATGGGACTACACTTTGTGTGATCCACAAATCGTTGTTCTGAGTCTGGGTGTTCTTTGTGTCCGTTTCATGTATGTCTGTAAAGTCCGACGCGACACAGGATATACTTATTCCTGATTCGGAAGTTGTCTTTAAAAAAAAAAGTAGTCAAACCGTGACTAATTCATCAACGCAGACCCTAAACCGCTGGGGCTAAAAACTTGAAATTTTGGCACCTGATGCTTTTTATGTTGTAAGCATCCAATAAGAAAAGAGGATTAAAAATTTCACCCCTAAGGGTAGGGATGAACGGTTGTATATCGTTCGACATTTAGTAGTCAGTAGTTTAAAGTGCATTAATTTTACACTTTATTTTTTAATTGTAAATAGGTAAACATATAAGACGCCATGTTGCTTATTCATTATGACATCATGTCGTTAGTAAAAGCATAAATTATAGCAAAGGGGATTGTTCAAGCAACAATAAAACTTAGTATCGCTACAAAGATCTTTGTGTAAAAAAAAACACTTATATGATGACACTAATGTATTCATTTAGGAAGACTAAACATATATGTTTAAACCACTACGCTATCCGTGCAGTCTGAAATATATTACAGACTGCACGCTGAGTGTTGTGGGTCCGATCCCCACATGGGACGACACTTTGTGTGATCCACAAACTGTTGTTTTGAGTCTGGGTGTTCTTTGTGTCCGTTTCATGTATGTTTGTAAAGTCCCCCGCGACACAGGATTTATTCCTAGTGCTGGAGTTGTCTTTAAAAGAAAAAGAAAAAAAAGCTGCTTATTTCGTTGGAAATCATTCGTAAAATTCGAAGGTACAAAATTCAAACTGTTTGAACATAATTCTACTAGTCAAGCCTATCATTTGATACCCATATTGAGGAAGTTGTGAAAAAATATATAATACGCCATTTTGTGGCGGCGGCCATCTTGGACCGATTTTCATCAAACATTGCTAAGAACACTCCCGACTAATTCACCTTTCAAACAAAACAAAATTTTAAATCGTTCGGGAGTTACGATGTCACAGACAGACACGTCAACTTATAACACCCAGTGGGTATTGCGTCGGGGGTTAAAAATATAAATAGAAATTGTTAAAATCTTAAACTTGAGGCACAACTAACATGGCAGCGGTACCAAAAATGGTAATTCCCCTTTAAATGGTAAATAGTCCGAGATACCCCCTGTCGGTGGCATATCGGACTCGAACCGACTAAAACCGCACGCCGTCTCGGGTACTAATAGCCGGGGAACCATGTATACCCTAGAAAGGAAGTCCCTGGTGCCCCGACATACCTCGGGTCATCTACAAACGAGTAGACGACCCCCCCCCCCCTCCGTGTGGGAACCCCATGTTCAGATAATTTACTACCCTCAAGATTGGTGTTGTAGATACATATTACGTAGATTTTAATAATAACCTAGACGCCATATTGCTCATTCGTCATTAAAGACATTTGGAATGAAATATTCGCAGTTAGTTTAGTTGACTGAGTGGCGTCATATCATGGCGGATTTTTTATCCAAACGCACAGGCGGCTCAGCTGATGGTAAGTGAATGCATGTCACCACATCCAAGAGCCACAGAGTGTGTTGCTACCCTTTGAGCAAAAATAGGGAAAGGGGAGAGGGGGGTTAGAGTTTACGGAACCTCACTCACTCGGTGAAATGCAAGAAAAGAACTGCTTAACACCGGTTTTCTGTGAGGCTGTGGTGTCAGTAAGGTTGAGCCTGACCCATTTGTGTCGAAGCATACCTCTGCCACGATAAATGACTAGGTTTTGTTCCTATTACGTAAGTAGTGCTGGCGAAAGATGCTAGGTAATCCCTGGACTGCACAACGCACCAACGTATCAATCCTGCAAGAACTCACGATACAGGCAATGCTTTCTACGTAGAGTTCTGGAATACTTCGGCCACATTGATGACGGCAACTTGGAGAAGTTAATGGTCACTGGCAAAGTGGATGGAAAATTACCAGGAGGTAGAAGCCCGACACGTTGGACTGACCAGATCCAGAGTCCATTATGCTCTACACTCGGCGACAGATAAGGACGGGTGGCGTTGAGTGATCCACAGCAAACTCTTGCTACGAGGAAGCGGTCACGACCCCCAGCATTGAGAGAACCGAAGTGAGTTGGAGCTGTAAGTGGGACTGAACGCCTCTGCTTGCTCTTTCGGAGATATGAGCGTGAGTGTGTTGAAAAACATTTATTCTGACACTAACAGGACAGCACATAATTATTACAAATAAAAAACAAATACAAAAAAAATGCATATGTGTTAGGTAGGTAGTAAAGTATGACGTCCGGATAGCGTAGTGGTTTGTGTAACGGACTGCTATTCTAAAGGTCGCGGGTTTGATTCCCGCTCAAGTCAAACATTTGTGTGCATGAACTTTTAATGTTTGATTTGGTCTGGGTGTTTCTATGTATAATATGAATGTATTTACAAAAAAAAAGTATAAATGTATTTATATCAGTTGTCTAGTACCCATAGTACAAGCTCTGCTGAGTTTGGGACTAGATGGCGTTGTGTGAATGTAGTAGAATATTATTATTATATCTTACTGTCAAAATTGATGGCCTTGTAATCCATATTTTTTAACTCTTATAAATAATCCTTTGTTTACATCTGATTTCCATTCGATTCATCAATCATGATAAATCCTTAGTATTTAGATAATATCAATCTATTAGATATAAGTGTGATAGGCAGAAGAGATTAGTATCTTACAAATTGAAACTTTGACATGTGTTTGTCGCAATAAATAATCATCATCATACTTCTCACCCCTTTTACCTGACTGCGGAAGAAGGAGGGGTTATGGTTTTCGGCTATATAGTATGTTTTTCACATGTATGCGGTGTGAAGTTCTTTCTTTGGCACGCAAGTTGTTGACTAAAACAGATATACTGGAATTTTGTTAGGAAATTTACAAAATAAAGTTATTTTTTCTATTCTCAGAATATGTGTGACCAACGCATTTTTATATGCTGTTGCAGACTGCGACAGGAGGGTTATGGTTTTCGAGTGTTTGGATTAGTGATGGGCCGGATATCCGTATCCGTATCTGTATCCGCGGATATCCAAGGAGAAGAGAGATCCGTAACCGTATCCGTATCCGTGACTTTTTTGGCGGATCTTTCAATACATATTACATAGATGAAATTCTAGATAGGTGATTTTGTATTCACTGTAAAACTCTTAGGTATGTGTTTGTAACACTATAAACAGCATCTTTTTTCTGGCCAACGTCAAAATGAAAAAATATTGGTTCTCCATTCAAATAACCAATCAAATGTTGTTAGTTTGTATGGAGAAACATTTTTTTTCTTTCGTTTTCGGTGTTAGTCCCGAAGAAAAGTCGTTGTTTATAATTTTACTAATATGCACTTCAGAGGTTTTCAGTAAATTTAAAATAACCCTGAATAATGGTTATTAGGTAGCTTTGAAAAACTATTGAATTCTGTTCAGATTACTTTTTATTTCTTAAAACAAATATTTGGCACCTTTGTATTGCAATCATTTATCGTACTATACTATATCAACTAGGCAGGTCGTAGGTACTGAAAGAGCTATCTTTATAATGAGATCAATCAAACATCTTTGTATTAGCTTATTAAAATAATGAAATATTTAAATATCAACGGCAGAGCGTCAAGTGGCGACAACTATCGAGGTCACGGGCTCCGATTGAGTAAGAAACTTAAGATCCGTATCCGTACCCGTATCCGCGGATCTTGACACCAAATATCCGTATTCGGATCCGTATCCGCGGATATACTGTGTTAATGATCCTGCACATCACTAGTTTGGATGTATATTTTATATATTTTTATTGCGAGGATTAATAATAATCATAATAATAACTCCATACATCTCACACACGGCAGTTTGATTCCAGACTAGGCAGAAGTCTGTGCAAAGGTAACCAAACTGCTGATAAACATACTTATATATTTCTAAATACATACACCTTATAAAAAAAATTACACCCAGACACAGCAAATAATCGTGCTCAGCACACAATATTTGTCCTGGAATGGAATCGAACCCACGTCATCCGACTTAGCAGTCAGGGTCACTAACTATACAAACGGTTTTTTACGTGTGATAACTCCTACTGGTCATCACCTCAACAAAAGTGGTAGTTGGATCCGAACCCACCAAATTTACCATCACGCTACCATCTGCGACCTGTTTTCACTCATACCAGCTCATCATACGAGTATATGTATCTTCAGAGATCAGAAACAATTAAGATTTTTTTCTATGTCTTATCGATTTAAATAAATCGGCCAAAGTAATAAATGTCATTATTTAAAAAATATTAATTTATAAAAAAAGTATATTTTTTTTTAAAGAAACCAAGTTTTTTATTTTTTATTTTGTCTATGACTTACCGAAATATACACCGATTCGCTTGCTTCTGGAAATATTCGTCATTTAAAAAATATGTGTTATATCTACATAATGTTCAATTTATTTAAAGAAAAACAATATAAACTTAATGTCTTTTGTCAATGCCTCCACGAATTATAAACCAATTTGCATTGCGCGCCATTAGCGCCAAACTCGTAAAACCGTTGTTTGAAACGAATTGCATTCGCAATATCTCTCGTTGTGTGATTAGTCTCGGATAATACTTTATAATTTGATCAATTTTAATAACAATACAAAAACAATAATAATGAATCATCTATTTTTGTTTTTCCTCCACCTCCTTCCTCCGCTTACTTCCTCCTTTTGCCCAAATTAGGTTAGGTTAAGTCTACTACGAACGAACGACTACAATTTTTTTTTTAAAGACAACTCCCGCATTAGGTCGCGGGGGACTTTACAAACATACATGAAACGGACACAAAGTACACCCAGACTCAGAACAACAATTTGTGGATCACACAAAGTGTCGTCCCATGTGGGGATCGGACTTAAACCACTACGCCATCCGTGCAGACACCATTACGAGACGACTACCATTAGACCTACAATATCAAAGTTCTGCGGAAAGACTGTTCTCGAACTTTTTACGCTTCCAACTACCCCTAACGATTGCAACAGATGTTGGTTTGGTAACCGGAACCGACGGCTTTACGTGCTCTCTGAAGCACGGGGTCTCAATGTGTTCAGAATGGTCACCCATCCATAGACTGACCTGGCTATGATTGCTTAACTTCACAATGTGTTTACCTAATCAGTAACCACTTAGCCACGAGCCCCTCCCAATTTATAAACATCTGACTCACATATATTACCATATTGCCTGCTGCCTCACTCGTCTATAAGTAGTTTTTTCCATTCCGAACAAAATCTGGATGAAAGATGTGTTTTGTTTTTCCTGGCAACGCGTATGGAAAAATTCTTAATAAATGCATCACGTCTATACTCGAAGGGGTAGACAGTGGCGTATAAATCGCCCCCATTTGCCAACTATAACTTTATTCCCGCTTACGGAATATGGGACGTTCGGATTTCCTGCTCCATGTTGACGAAGGAGTATGTGGTGTTTCTGCTAAAAACCACCCCGACAAACCGCCGGGCCTACTCTGGGGAGGACCCGGACGATGTTTCCAGATCCAGGATCCCCTAGTCGACACCTTATGGTTGATGGATTGGGGACTGTAAGCTTAAATAGGTCAAGAATCCATACCTGTATTAATCGCATGCCTTTTCATAACAAATCTAAAAATAAACTGTTTTAAAAACTACGTATAAAAGACAAGTTTTAGCTTATAATTCCAAGGTCTTTGTTATTTATTTACATTTTTTGGGTTGTTTTACCTTGAGTAGAGGTTCGAACGACGCAATCAAAAGCAAGCGCAAAACAACATGGTCGAGGCAAACACATTTGTTTTCGTCTTATACGCACATCTATAATACCATGCTTATATTATCAATGTGAAAGTAAGTTTGTTTGTTACGCTTTCACGCTTAAACCACTTAACCGATTTTTTTTAAATTTCCATCAATAGAAAGCTACATAATCAGCGAGTAACATAGGCTTTTTACAGCGATAACCGACATACGCGGGCGGGGCCGAGGAGCTATAACCCGGCAATCTCGTGCGCGACCGTCCCGCGGGGTGACAGACGGTGGCGGGGGCGAGGTAGCGCGTCATTCTAGCACACGGCTACACACGATTCCCTTCCCCGCTACACCACTTCATTTCGCCTGTAATTTTGACAGACTGTCAGTGTCACTATCGTCGGTTTATGTTTTTATGTTTGAGCAGCAGTATGTGTTGCATTTTTTTTTCAAGTACTTATCATCATTAACAGTAATTCCTCAAAGACAAACTGCCCTGGGCTTCGCAATAATGTACCCGCCCGGAGCCTCGCACTGGCTAAGGCCGCCACGGTTAGTGATCCTGGCTGCTAAACCAGAGGTCGTGAGTTCGATTCATACCCATGACAAACAGTTGTGTGATGAGGACAATCATTTGTTCTATGTCTGGGAGTAATTCATCTGTATTTAGAAATATATAAGTATGTTTATCAGCTATCTAGTTACCATAGTACAGGCCTACTTTTTGATCAGACGGCCGTGTTTGATATGTTAAGATATTATTTGTTTTATTTAGTTAATTACACTTAACTCACACCTCAAACAGGAAGAAGGTTGTTGGAAAATTACTAACAGATAAAAATTAATTAGTTACTGTGTTGTCAAGATAACAATATACCTACGTATATGTGGCGGCGCATGAATACCTCGAAATAATGTGACGAAATCGTAGAAAAACATTCCACTTGTAACTCGTCTGAGACACGTGTTAGAGATAAAGATATTGCTTAACCAATATATGTTACTTAAATAAGAAGAACATTCTGGAATGTACAAAAATTGTTTGTCCGGTTAGTTCCGCTACGCGATAAGAGATGGCGCCGTGTGTTCTCGGCCATATTGCAGTGCTTATAACTTGTTCTTTAGGAATAATTTTTAGTCATCAAAGGTTAACATTCATTTTGACGCTACGCAGCGGTAGACAGTTGTCTTATTGATGGTCGCAGATTCGATTACCGCTCAGTGCAAATTACTTAATGCATTACTTATGTCGACTTGCATTAGTCTGAGTATTTTAATCTAAATATCTATATGCGAAATTACTTGACTTAATGTGATGAATCAGAGACGTTTTTAATGGTATAGAAGGCAAACAAACAGGGCCTTAATTCTGCTATTTACATATTGTATCAATATATTTTCGATTTACTGTCGTTGGAATAGTTTTGCACTTTTCGTATTCCACTATGAAAGGGCCGATGACTTGTCACTGTACTGCCACTGATACATGTCGATAAATGGTACATTTTAAATGTGTGGCGAAATGTTACCTATATTTCATTTGCTAGATATGTCAATGTTGTTAACATTAGCATTGATGAGCCATTGTCACTACATCGACAATCTAATGACACTGTGAATTTATGTTAGTAGAATACCGATATTTAGACCGATGTCAATGGTATCTCAATAGCGTGTCATTGGAATGACAGTGGCTTCTACGTTAACATAAAATAGCAGAATTTAGGCACAGGCGGTAAGCAACCAACGATACCCATCGACATCTGCAGCTCAAGAGTTACAGAATGCGTTGCCAAGTTTTGAGTCATCCCCCAAAACAGATTTTTTCTACAGGGTCTGATTAAAGAGTGTAAGAGCTCTAAAAAGATTTTGAATTCTGAGAGGAGAGAAGGACTGAAACGGTGGCAAACACACTTGTGACTATTTATCTGAAAAAGGCTAATGGCGGTGATAGTCACTTACCATCAGGGGCTCATCTGCTCGTTTGGCCCCTACCAAAAAAAAATCATTGTTATAAAGTTTGATTGTAATCTCACCTCTCTTGTTCTAGTGGAGGGCTGTCCAACTTCCTGTACCTGGTTGGTTTACCTGAAGATCCCCGTAAGGTGCCCAGCTACCATATCCGCGAGAGCAGCCCAGAGGACGAAGACAAATGTGAGCTGAAGAGTCCGAGTTTCGTTTTAGAAGAGCCTCACAAGGTCAGTTTTGAAAATACCTGTACATCCGCATGATGGGTTAATTGAAACCGTACTGGACCTGGACGGGTCTTGAATTTATTTAAAAAAGTGTGTTTTAGTACCCGCCGTTTGTGACTCCATCGCATGACAAGATCCGAGTCGCTCAACTGCCGGCTGAGTGGCTCAAATAACCGACTTAGTACTTGGGGAGAATTGCACGATTTGCTCTTTGAAGTTTTAATATAAAAATTAACATTTAATGCCCCTCTAGTAATAAAACTCATTAAACCATTTTATTTATTACAAAAGTCAAGAAAAGGTAAGATCTTTTGCTCAAGGTATATATCTTCCTCCCCCCCCCCCCCCCTTTCATCATACATAATATAAGGCGTAGTTTCAAATTATAATAATTAATTTTACTCAGTAATTGATATCATAAAATGTATGTTTATTACTGATATAAAGAATTATTTAAGTGTTAAAAAGTTGAATTAAACACTTAAAATCAGTAATTAAAAAAAACACGTAACATTTTTTATATTGATTTTTATTTTTTTACAAAAAGTACGTAATTCTTTTAATTATTATCACAGAAACATCACGCTTACTTATGAAATAATTCATTTACGGTTAATGTCATCATCGAAATGATTTTAAGTATATTGAGAGAATTATTAGGTTATAAAAATGTAGGTGTAGAACCTGAATGTGTTATTATTTTATTCTTTGAGCGTCGAGAAGCACAAAAAATGTGTTATTAGTCTTATCTCAGGACTAGTGTCCGCCATAAACGGGTTCCGGAGATCAGGCTGCGCCGCAACCATCCGTCGTCTCGTTGGAGGCTGGCCACTCATACGGGAAAAGGTGACACAAGATAATTCTAGAAAATATCAATGTTTAACGGCCTGTTTCACAACTGTCAATCAGTGACAACTGTCAATGTTCGAATTAAAAAAAAAGGGTTTTAAATTTTGACGTTTCTTTGACGTATTTGTCTATGATTTGTTTCTTAATACAGTTGTGGAACAGATCATCATTTTAATAAAAATAAACGTTATTTTAAACACTATTCAAATTGTACAAATACTTTTGTTATAAACTAAACTAGGTATGTATAGTGGAATTGGGTACTATTGTCAAGTCAGAATATTTCACACCACTGGTGTACATATTGTTTTACTATCGAGTCTTTTTTTTTTTTAAGTAATGCCTCAAAAAAAATACTGAGCATAGACTGCTACAAATAATAATATGTATGGGAATGTAACTCCAGATACACCAGGTCATGTGGAATTTGGGATTCGTATCTTGTTGGAATTGTGGTGTGTTTTTTAACGCGTGAACAAATTAAAATCACACGATGACCATTCAAATAGTGTTATTCGGGCCCTCACGTATCCTCCAGGACCTCCATCTCGCAGGGGCCTACTCCTCAAAAGGAAATTCCTATGAATCCGGTTGGACTTGGTCTCCATTCGACTTCGACGAACACCCCTCTGTGTGCGCTCTACTAGTCACTTAAAACTAGTTGCAAAGTTAAGCAATGCTAGCCAGGCCAGTCTAAGGATGGGTGAGCATTCCTTAACCAATTCAGACCCCGCCGTGCCTCGGTGAGCACGTTAAACCGTAGGTCCCGTTTGCAATACGAGCATCTGTGGCAATCGTAACGGTTAGTTGGAGTCCTACCAGTCTTTCTACGGAACTTCGATAGGTCTGATGGTAGTCGTCTGCCGTATCGTAGTAGATTTAAAGCCGTCCCTAACCTAGTTTGATAAAAGCCTCGATGGAAGAATACGAGTCAATATGAGAGTTACATTTCTTCCCATATTAATATTCGTAGCTTTCAAATTAATTATCACCATTGGTTTTAGAAAAAACAATTCTTCCATGATGGATGATTTACCTTAACTAGCTGATAAAAAGAAACTCATTTTTTTAACAATTATTATAATTTTTGTACGTTTTTTAATCTATGGCAAATGCATAATAATTCAATCTTTAAAATCTGCTCTAATAAAAGAACAAGTTTATTTTCTTTTAAAATTTATCTTTCACTACCTATGTATTTATAAGCTACGAGTATTATAACTTCTTCTAAAAAAGTAAAACATTGACTATATAAATGAGATCCTAGCCTATTTATTTATTTATGGTTTTGGTGACACGAATCATTTTCACAATAAGTTTTATAAATAGCAGGTGTATACTTAATAATATATTATTGCCAGGACATACTTATATATTTAGTAAAAATAAACTACATATATAAATATTCAAATCGTTAGATGTGCTCTGTTCATTTGTCAACTTATAAAATCGATATTAAAAAAAAAAACATCCATAGACAATGTGAACCTTATATTGTCTGTGCCATATAAAAACGCGGGATGTTTTTTCTGTAATCACAGGTTAGACAGCCATTTGCGGGCAATTTAGAAAATTGTACATAATGCGTCAAGCGTGCATATGCCCACATAATAAATTATGGGATAAAAGCAGTTTAAGTATAAAATAGGCGGTAGTTTAGTAGTTCTAGTACCATTCTTATCTACTGTCGATTTGTCCATCCAAAGGTTGTTTGTAAGAGATTGCTATTAGCAATAAGGCCGCCCATTGCACATATCCAGCTGTAATATTTAACCAACATACTGTAATTGGTGTACAATAAAGCATATTCTATTCTATTCCCCTCCTCTGGACGGCGAACAAATGGATTAGGGCAAAGAGTAATGCTCTAATCCATTTATCCTATAGACTATATATCTATACATATAAAATTACTGTTGCCCTAACTCACTGACTGATTCGTCAACGCAGAGAACTGCTTGGAGCTGCTGGTGCTTTTATGTTGTTAGCACCAACTAAGAAAGGATTTTTGGAAAATTCACCCCTAAGGGGGTAAAATAAGGGATTAACGTATATAAATTCGTCATTATCAAAGTCAGAAACACGAAATAAAAAATAATCTAAGCCACGGACTGTATATTTTTGCTTATTATTTTGTAGTTGTTTTAACATAACGACAAACATATAAGAGGGCATCTAACGTTTTGAATCTTTTCGCAAATATATATCTGAAAACTTTTCGAACAAACATAACGAAAAGATAAACAAAATACTTAAAGAAGCCAACAAAAAACCTAAACACAGCCAAAGTTACCCCAATTGACAATATTACCCTATTTTTTATTTTAAAGAAAGACAACATACATCAATTATCTTTAAAAAAATATAGTTTTATAATCAAATCAGCACTAATAGTTGACTTTTGAAATCGTTAATTGATAGGCTATAAATAAGTTTACTGTACATTGCAGGTATTACTCCGAATCTACGGGCAAGTTCACGGTGAACGAGCAATGGATGCTATCGTCACTGAATCGGTGATATTCACATTGCTATCCGAAAGGAAACTGGGACCCAGACTGTACGGAGTATTCTCTGGTGGCAGAATTGAGGAGTACATACCAGTAAGTACTTGAATATATGTTTTTATGCTCTTATTCTATGCTCACCTGATGGCAGCCCCCCCTCCTCCCCCCAAGGGTTGAGAGGGAGGTTTGGCATGGCATCGGTCGAGCCGGCTGCCTATGTACCGAAACATGACTCTCCCACGTTAAAACAGACTGTCGCTGTCGCGGAAAGGAACTTAGACACTCACAGCCACCGCTTCTACTAGGTATTGGGTTCGAACCGTTTGGCATAGTAGTTAGCGGGACCCTGACTGCTAAGCCGGAGGTCGTGGGTTCGATCCCCACCTACGCCACGATGAGCACGATCCGACGGCCGTGTGTGAGATGTGTATTGCTATTATTATTTTCAAGAATATTAAAATTTATAACCTTCAACCCCCAGGCTCGTCCCCTCCTCCCCAAAGAGCTAGCTGATCCAGCTATCTCAATGAAGATCGCTGAGAAGATGGCTGCCATCCACTCCCTGGAACTACCCCTATCCAAAGATCCGAACTGGATCTGGAAGAACTGTTATAAATGGCTGAAGACAGTCAAGGAAGATCAAGCAAGTGGAGGCCTCAAGGGCAAGGTAATATATGTAATTTATTATTAGCTAGATAGATTTTGCACGCGGATTCGCTCACGTTGTAATTCTTTATCATGAACACCCTATATCCTTTTTCTGTACTCCTGACAATAACTATGCAAAATTTCATGATGATAGTTTAGGCAGTTTAACTGTAGGAGCAGTACAAAAATAACAGTGGCACTCCGGCAGCGCCGAGAGTAGGAATAACTTATGTACTTATATACATAGGTGTCGGTAACGGTAACAGTGTCGCGAGTTCAATTGTTTTTTCCTATCTCAAAAAATTCCCAACGCGCCTAAAGAAGTTTTCACTTCAATATATACTGAGGTGTCGGTAACGGTAACAGAGTCGCGAGTTCAGTGGTTTTTTTTTGTGTTTCAGTGTCACTCCGGGAGTGCCAATAGAAGTGGAAGCTCGTTTTTTTTTTTTTTGATTATAACAGATTTTTGTTTTGTTTTTTCGATTTGAAAAGTTTCGACATAAATATATATGTATATATATGTTGTGCGTACATACACAGTATATGTTTGTATTAAATATAGGTATATTACAATGTGTTTCAACCCAAACTTAATTCTCGTGTAAAACGGGGCCAATATAAATAGATACTTATACAACAGAGGTGTCGGTAACGGTAACAGTGTCGCGAGTTTAATGGTTTTTTCCCATCACAAAAAAATACATTATTTTGAATGTTGTTTAAAAATGCCCAACGCACCTAAATAAGTTTTCACTTCAACAAACATATCCACTTGTTTCAAGGTTTAGGGGGCATACGTAGAGACCCGAGGTATTTCGGGGCACCAGGGACTTCCTTTCTAGGGTATACCTGGTTCCCCGGCTATTAGTACCCGAGACGGCGTGCGGTTTTAGTCGGTTCGAGTCCGACATGCCACCGACAGGTGGTATCCGAGGGGATTTCCGCACGGAAAAAAAAAAAAAGGGGGCATACGTAGAGATGGGTCACTAACTCAACAGTCATTTTATTTCACGTACCTACACTTTCACATTTAAAACTTTAGTTAGGGGTTACTACCGTTTTCAGCAATTTTATTTTTCGTCATTCTTATCATTGTCATCTTAACAGCCCTTAATAGTCCATTTCTTGACATATACCTCTCTTTAGAAAGGTTTTGGCCTGCTATACCACGCTGGCCAGGCGGGTTGGTATAGGGTGTGTGTCAAGTTTTCCTTCTCTCTGCAGTGCTATTGTCTTGCGTAGTTTGCTCCCTTACTCCGTATTCTTCATCCTTCACCACATGGACAATTCGTCTCAGCCCACCCCTTTTTGATACAGGCATGAGCTCCCCTCCCCATTTCTGCACCACTCTAAGGTAGACTGAAAGGCCTGTGATATTAGGTCTGCCATTGTAAAGTTTGTGTATACATATGTGTATTGTGTATAGTGTGTAAAAAAAGCCGTGTGGTGTCGTGGGACACCCGATAGGAACGAAGTTGGGACGATCGAGTAAAACTGATTCGACACGATTTTAATTACAACGCCATCTATGAAAGCGGCTATTACCTACATATTTGTTAGTTGGTTTCTAATTAAAACAATTTATATATTGGTAAAATCTCCTTGAGAAATGATTTCCTATCTATTCGATAGATGGCGCTGAATGACTGACAAGTGACAATTCAAAATAAATACTGAGATGAAAAGTAATGATTGCCTATCTATTCGATAGCTGGCGCTGAATGACTGACATAAAAAGTGTCGTTACAACTTTTCGTGAGAATTTTTTCCGTCTAGCCCCTTTCACAACGCGCGATTAGGAACTTCGTTCCAATAATACAATATTCTTTGTTCCAGAATCCAGAAGAGGAGCGCATTATCAAAATGATGGGTGCTGTCGACTTTGACAAAGAACTCAAATGGCTGAAGAAGTTCCTCGCCACGGTTGATTCTCCAGTTGTGTTCTGTCACAACGATATGCAACAAGGTAATATCTTTACAAATCTTGAGATAAGGGTGTTATGTCCCTCCAATAATCTAAGCCCAAACAGAAACGTACCCATGCTATGTCACAAGTTCAGGTTTGAGGACCGAAGGGTCTTAAAATCTTGGCATTTGCTCACAGGGATGGGGAGATGATTTAGCTTTTCGTCACGTAGTTAATATCCTCTAGGAAAATCTCGCGCTTTTCGGAGCCACATATAAATACGGAAGCAGTGTATTAATAAAAAGCACTAAATTACTATTTTTAACTTTCTGTTTGTAAAATATGATTTAGGGGGAAGGGGTGGGGTGGTTTTGACATATACTATTGCTGTTAAATACAGGGGGAGTTAAAATTAAAAAAACTCAAGTAGTATGGGTACGATCTTTAAAGTAGGAGGGCATCCTGTACCAGTCAGCTCCAACTGATCAGGAACCTGTGACTAACCCTCAATTTTCTTTGTCAGGTAACATACTGATCTTCGATGACATGGGGACAACGAACCAATCAGACACCGGTGAAGGGGTGGAAGATAAGGATCTCTCCAGCTTCGAGGATGCCAACACATCAGATAGCATACTGAGCAGGTATATAATATGATTATATATGTTTGGTATGGGAGAATTTGTGCCGGCTCGACTGTAGTGAACCTGGTCCTAATTCCTCTCCATCTGATTCTGGAGGAAGGACTCAAAGCGCTACAACGCACTTGAGACTGTGGGGTTTCAAGTGCGTTGTCCCGCAAAAAGCAGGTGACCCGTCTGCTTGTTTGCATGTATAGCATATAAAAATAGTGAGCGAGGCCGCGTTTAAAAACTAGTTCCTAAATAAATTCATAATCTTTTAATATGTCAGTGTTGTTCTCGCAATATTTGTAATTTAATTTGATAAATATTTTCCTAAGTATTGATCTTTGATAAACAGTGAATCAATACATGACACATACTAAAGCATTCTTATCAAAACATTTTAATAGTTAATTTGAGTCATCCATTTAGTAATATATAAAAACAACATAAAATAATTATGATCACATTGACAAACAAGTTATTATTGGAAAAACAAAAATCCCAACTACTTTAATCAATCGCAACTTCGTCTGCGTCTCTCAATAGTAATAAATTTATTCGTTTTTAAAACATTCTTCATTGGTGCTCCGCTCCTATTGGTCTTAGCGTGATGATATATAGCCTATAGCCTTCCTCGATAAATGGGCTATCTGACACTGAAAGAATTTTTTAAATCGGACCAGTAGTTCCTGAGATTAGCGCGTTCAAACAAACAAACAAACTCTTCAGCTTTATAATATTAGTATAGATATGTATGTATTTAAAAGTATATAAGTATGTTAATCAGCAGTCTGGTCACCATTGTACAAAGGCCTAGTTTGGGATCAGACGCCTGTGTGAGATGTGTGGTTTTTTTTTGTTAAAAAGGTCTACTAGCAACCGAAATTACTAGTATTCCCGTTAACCCCTCCCGCTAAGCTAAACTGCTTGTGTTAGGAGTGGGTTCAAGTCGGTAGTGTACAGGTCAGGATTTGAACCCGCGACCTCTTGATCGCAAGTCCAACGCCTTAACCACTATGCTACCGCCGCTTGCAATTACAATAAAATCTTTGTTGCCACGCCACATAAGTCGTCCAACTTTTGTAGCGCCACATTTGCTGACTGCATTTTATTTTTATTTACAGGATGTCAGATTCTGGAGAACCAAGAATGGTGTTCATAGATTATGAATATTGCGCATACAACTACAGAGGCTTCGATTTGGCCAACCATTTCCAGGAGTGGGCTCTGGATTATTCCAATCCAGTACACCCTTTCTATCATTTCAATGAAGATGATTTTCCAACGTTGGAACAGAAGGTTGGTATACCATGTATATCACAGAAGAATATAAACTATGCATAGCATATTCTATGTGTAATGTAGACCCGATCTCCTCTAATTTTGGGTTGAGCACGTTGGCTGCAACGCGTTCTCTTCAGTCATCATCATCATCAACAGCCTATAACAGTCGACTGCTGGACAATAGGCCTCTTCTTAGAAAGGAGGTTTTGGCCTACTACACCAGACGGGTTGATATAGGGTTTGTTTCAAGTTTTCCTTCTCTTTACAGTGCTGTGGTCCTGCGTAGTTTGCTCCCTTAGTCGGCTCTTACGACACCCACGGGATGAATAGAGGTGGTAACATTTCGTATTCCTAATTTCTTAATCCGTCACCACACGGACAGTGGCAGGTGTCAATGGGCGGTGGTAGTCACTTACCATCAGATGGCCCAAATAAAAATACCATGAAAAAAGTTATGCATTAGGAACTTAACAATTCGGTTAGCATTGGGGACTCTTGTAGTCTCTAGCTATAAAAGAAGAAACTGAGAGACTGATTCACTGACTAATCGACCAACGCACAGCTGCACCCACTGGGTCCAGAAGCATGAAATTTTACAAAAATGTTCCTTAGAGTACCGTAGGTGTGCACTAAGAAAATATTTTTAAAAATTCTGTCCCTAAGAGTATAAAATGGGGGTTGGAAATTTATATGAGACTTTTTGGTAGTAGCGTTTTCTAACTCACAATATTTATTAAAAGTATAAAAAAAAACATATTTTTCAAAACTACCCTCAAAAAGGGGTGAAAGTTTATATGGAGAATATACCTAAAATCTTGATTTATTGTACTACGATGTCTGCTTTCGACCACCACGCAAACGAAGTCTCGGGCGAAATTTATTACCTTTTTTTTTATTTTTCAGGAAATTTTCATCAAAGAGTATCTAAAGCATTACCACGCCAATCTGTCAGACAATAAGGAGCTCAACCCCCCCACAGTGGACCAGGTCAACCAGTTGCTGTACGAAGTGGAGGCGTACGCCCTCAGCAGCCACCTATTATGGACGCTGTGGTCTTGTGTCAATGCTCCAAAGAGTCAAATTCCATTTGGATATTGGGTAAGTGGCATTTACTTTTCATCATCATCATCAACAGCTTTTAATAGTCCACTGCTGGACATAGGCCTCTCCTTAGAAAGTAGGTTTTGGCCTACTATACCGCGCTGGCCAGACGGGTTGGTATAGGGTTTGTATCAAGTTTTCCCTCTCTTTGCAGTGCTGATTGTCCTGCATTAGCTCCCTTAGTTAGCTTTTCCCACACCGACGGGATGAATAGGGGTGGTGACACTCCAACTTTTACTTTTAAACTATTGCTAAAGGGTTTTTCAGAGGGACCGAAGTGAATAAAATGGCAGTGGACTGTATTGCTGGTACTTTATTCGCCAGTACGTATATCAAAACCAAGAATAATAAAATGAAATAATAAGAGGTTAGACCGTCCACGGTAATGTTTCAAAGCGAAATTTACCAAACTATTATTCAGATTTTTATTTTTACACTTCCTGCATTACAATTTGAACGAGGTGGACTTAATGCCACATGGCGTTATCTACCAGTCAACCTTAACATGGTTCAGACAGGGAAATTTTGCTATCATGAATTTTTTATTTTTTTAATAATATATATCACACATCTCACACACAGACGTCTGATCCCAATCCAGACTGCTGATAAACATACTGATATATTTTTAAATACATACACCTTATAGATAAATTACACCCAGACACAGAACAAATGACCGTGCTCATCACACAAAATTTGTCCTGGGTGAGAATCGAACCCACGACCTCTGGTTTAGCAGTCAGGGTCAATAACCACTAGACCAACAGGCCTGTCAATTATCTACCTCGGCCCAGTTTGTTAAGTTAGCTACAATTTTGGTAGTGGAAATTATAAAACAATCTATACAAAAACAGTAAAAAAATTAAGGACATGAGTTCAAAAAAATTGTGTTAGGCAAAATTTCGACAATATTTTGAAAGAATCTTAAACGTCCAATATCTTGAGAACGTTTAGGTTTAGGATACGATATTTCGTAGTGAAATCTATCAGAAATGATGGAAACTACAACCCCTTGAAGTATTTAGGATGACCCAGTAACCCTGTATATATTTGCCGATTTATTAATTATATTATTCTATTATGAACGTTATTGTAGTTAACTAAAGGTACATTTTTGTTGTTGCAGGAATACGGTCAAACCAGACTAGACATGTACTACAGGCTTAAACAGGAGGTAATCAAGAAAGGGAATGGCGTCGCACAAAAAAGAAAAATTTGTGAAGTGGACATATGAGAGGGCATTCGGTCCCTCCCGCTGTAGGCTAGGCGCTAGGGTCCGGGGGGCGGAGTGACCCCAAGCGTTCCAAAACACGTTAAGAAAAAAGACTGTATTGCCTTTGATGTGGCTCGGGAACTCTGTGTTTTCTCAGCGGCTAGACTTCACTGACCCCATGGGGTCTGCCAAGTCTTGAGTCTGAATGATGTCATATTTGAGACCTGAAAAATTGATTTCGAGAATACACAGATTTGCCTGATGTTGACCAGCTTTTGTATCGATTCTGAGGATTTATATTATAATGGAATCAAACCGATAAATCTAAGTTTATATTTATTACATTCCCGACAATTGTATTGTGACCCACTTAGGGGGTCGTCGAAGGACCCCTGAAATTTAAAGAGAAAGTTGTATATAAATTCAAATCGCTCGCTTGTTGTACATAAAATGATCCATATTTATCAATGATCTATAGATCTGAGTACTTGTACATATCTTAGATATTGATATTGTAGTCAGTTTTTGAGATGAACTCGAATAAAGAATTGTCCCATGTTTCATTATATAATAGTATATTGTATTAAAATAATAAATCGAGATTCCTATTTAATTTAATTTGGCTGTGTGAAGAAATTAATTAATGGTAATTATTATTTTTTACTATAATTTATAGATTATTATCATTAAATTAGTTCAAAGATTATATTATTTCGTTGGAAATCTATAATTTCATAAGCCGAAGGTTAGTGTGGGTACTGTTATGTACTTTTTTATTTTTAAATATTATTATTTTTTAGTTTTATAATTTTATTATATTGGCATATGGCTGTTGTTCATCAAATAATTAGAAAAAAACAACTTTTACGTTTGATTTGTCTATGATACAGAGTGTTTCATAACCGTGTGGTCAAAACATAGGGTCAAATATTATATGTAGCTAGCAAATAGACAATTTAGCTTGAAAAACAACACGGATTTAATGTTTTTTCGGAAAATACTTCAGCATATTATATATATATATGTTTTTTAAGTTATGATTATTACATATATGTCTACACATCTGACCCTAAAATATGACACCATTTTTCTGGAACATTCTGTATTATAAAGCTGTTTATCTTTTAGTTAAACATTTAATAAGTTAAACACAACAACCATTTAACAGCCCAATATTGACTTAAGGATCGGAACAGGGAACAGAGTGACAACTCAGGTATAGTCACACTAACCTACAGTTATATATAAGTCATTTAAACATTTGCGATGTCCCAGAATCGAGCTTGCGGTTTTTGACTTCATAGTCAAATGCTATTTTGCTTTACCTGTCACTGTAAAACGACAGAATGTAAATAAAAATCTTAATTATCATGTACTTACATGTCTTAAACTTAAACGCCACTCAAATAGAGTATAGATTGTTTTGACGATAGCAACGTGTGACGTCATATGTTGTTATTTCATGACGCTTAATAAAGAGACTGGATGAATATTCCTTCTTTTCATTTCTTAATTGTTCTGCGTCATTGTTTTGATGTAGAAATATAACTTTTTATTGATAATTGCCCTAAAATACTTTAAATCGAACACGTAGCATACTGACAAGTTGAAAGATAATTTAACTTATTACGGTGCTGTGTTACGTTAACAACAACGCAGAAGTAAAAAGAACATGAAAAAGCACTTGCTCTGATTTCTTTTAACAATCATCTACCGTCTCTTCATCCTTTTTGACTCAGGTTGTAACTGAAGGTTGCTAAAACCTATATTTTTTTCAGACTGGAGAATAATTAACATTTTTTAAAAGCCAAAAATTTAGTAAAGAAGAATTGTCTTTTTAAATACTTAAGCAAATGATAGTATAAGATGAACTGATACAAAAACCAAAAATGGTATTATATTTCCCGATTTTGACGTTAACATTTTTTTTTTTAATCGGCTTCTTTGAGACTTAATCAACTCTCGCGTGGGGACTTACTGTGTTAGTCCCCTCGTCGCCACTATTCGGATATTTAATAAATATTTCCATCGCATAAAATAATCCACCAGCCTGTAGTCTTTACATAAAGTATTTAAATAAACTCTTAAATTGTTTATTAAATTAATAAGTGTTTTAATTATTATACTATGGTTCATTTTCATTTAATCTGTATTATAATATTAATATAACGAAAATAGTATTTTTTTTAAAGGACCATGCTTCAACTTGTTACTTTAAAAATGATTTGTGTTTTGTAATTTTATAACTACTGTTTTTTAATAAGACTAAGAATTGATAAGAAAAATTAAATAAATATATATATTTACATACACACTCATCATCATCAACAGCACCTAGTAGTCCACTGCTGGACATAGGCCTCTCCTCAGAAGGAGGGCCCAGTGAGTGTATAATTAAGCACTCACAAAAAATAAATACCCATATTTTGGCATAAATTTAGTCCCACGTTAAGACGTGCCAAGTTGATTGCGGTGTACCCAGTATTTTGGAAAAAGGACATTAGAAATTTGGATGTTGAAATTAAATTATAGGTGATTAGGAAAGGAATTTTGTTTAAATGGATGGATTAAATGGATGCCAAGATAGTATACCTGTAACTCGGACTGGCTGTAAACGGGAAGGCTGAGCTCTGTATTATACATAATGAATACGTCGTCTCCTAAATTGATAATTGTATATAGTAAATATGATGTGAATTCACATAGCGCGATGTAGGATTAATAATTTTAACTTAGTTTCGCTTGCTGTCGATAGATGGCGCTGTAATAAATTTAACTTCATCGATTTTATTCTAATATACAGTTAGTAAACTAGTAACACGGTATTTGTATTTCGTTAGCTAAGCTGTCAGTAGTGCACTAGGCTAGGTTCGAACCTGCAACCGCTTGATTGCAAGACAGACGCCCTAGCCATTACGCTACCGCTTCAATAGGGTAGGTTTAAAATAAATTTATTCCACTTGAATTACGCCATAACATCTCACAGTACAGCCTAAAATGTCCTCCATTATCTTAAACAATATCTAGGCGTAACGTCACGCCTTAGTATTTTTCATACAAAAATCGTCTATCGTTTAGTAAAATAGATATTTATTTGACTTAACACTATCCTGTTATGAACGAAATTAAATAAATTGTGGGCTTTTGACTCTTCTTTAAACAATGGCTGTTGCATTCTCCTTCTGATTAAAGAGTACTTCTTAATAAGGAGTTAAATAAAACGAGGTAGGACCAGATCATATGAACTATTATTTTATTTTATACACTGTGGTTATAAAATTATGAAACAAATCTGTATTCAACATTGTAGATATTTTAAGTCGTGATATGATAAATTGTGAACATTTAGTACTTATTTTTAGTTGACTATTTTGGATTAATATTTTTTTTTATTAAATAAAGTTATTTAAAAATAAAGTTAGATTTTTTTTTAATATTCATATCTAATAACACAAACTTTTATAATAAGATTTATTAAAACCAATAACAAAAACATAATTGTAACAAAAAATTAGATTTTATCAACACACAGTTATACTGACGCCATTAAACATAGGTGCTAAGCAGAAATAGACATATTTGTGACTATTTTAGTAGAAAGAGTTTGAAACCCAGTATTTTTTTCATACAAAAGGGTCAAATTTTAGAGAAATTTGACGTGCCTGTTGGTCTAGTGGTTAGTGACCCTGACTGCTAAGCCGGAGGTCGTGGGTTCGATTCCCTCCTAAGGATTTGTGTGATGAGCATGAGTGTTTGTTCTGTATCCGGGTGTAGTTTATATATCTATGTATGAATTCAGTAATATATAAGTATGTTTATCAGCAGTCTGGTTACCATAGTACAGGCTCTGCCTAGTTTGGGATCAGATGGCCGTGTGTGAGACGTGTGAGGTTATTATTATTAAATGAAAGAAAATGCTTTTCAAATGAAGTTACATTTTGCTCTTTTTTTAAGGTACAAGGGGCAAAGGAGTAGATTGGTCACCTGATGGTAGGTGACTATCCCCGCCCCTGAACACCTGGAACTGCAATAGTCACAAGTGTCTTGACATCTTTTGAGTGTCTCTTGAACTCCCCAGAAGGAGAAGGGTGGAGTTAAGGTCCAGTTACCTTACTCACTCCGTGAAAAGCACCGACACACACTTTTTATTTAAAAGACAACTCCCGCACTAGGGACATATCCTGTGTCACGGGGGACTTTACAAACAGATGAAACAGACACAAAGAACACCCAGACTCAGAACAACAATTTATGAATCACACAAAGTGTCGTCCCATGTGGGGATCGGACTCACAACACTCAACGCAGTAGAAAACGGCGTGGCGACCGCTTAAACCACTACGCCATCCGTGCAGTCCATCAGTTTACACCTTGCTTCTATATTGGTCTTATATGCCTATATTAGTTTTTTATGGAAGAGGGGTCAAACCCAGTGTCACCTTATGGAAAGCGACTACCGTCGCCCATGAACGTCTGCAACTCAGGAGTCACAAGCGCGTTACCGCCCTTTTAGGAAGGAGTACGCTCTTTTCTTGAAGGTTTGAAGGTCGTATCTGTCTGGAAATACTGCGCAGATACCTTGTTCCACAGATTGGTTGTGCGAGGCAAAAAGTGTCTTAAAAAGCCCTCTGTTATTATTATTGAAATTGTATTTTTTTAAGCCAAATGCAACAAAGTGCCTGTCTGTATTACCTATATCCCAAATAAAAATTACCGTCTATTTCTGCTTTTCTACGTTTAACAAATAAACAAAATATAGCAAATAACTTAGATTTAGATATGATACATAGTCAATAAACATTGGCTTATAACGCGCATATATCGCTCCCACACGCTCTTCAGGTCAGCTTCCCTGCAACAAATATACATTATTACAAATTGTAGGGCGATAGGGTTACCAGTGGAGAAATCATAGACGTCTTTGGTAGCTGTTATCGTTTATACATAAAACCCTATGAGAGCAGTGAAGAGGACTGCGGGGCTATCGCTCATCACTACTTTCCTACGCTACGTGAGTGTCTTAAGAGGACTGCGGGGCTATCGCTCTTGAAGACCTCATGCTTAGCAGAATCAGGGCTATCCATCAGGTCAGCTACTGGACACCAGCGTGGACTGCGGGGCTATCGCTATCGACTGCCCGACTGGAGGCTGCGTGCCGGTTTATATAGGCGGCCCTGTGCTCCCACTCCCACGATGTCGTAGGTGATGCGCGTTGAATGGAATAGATAGTCGGTGTGCGAGAGAGAAAGTATTCGGGTCCATGCGTAGTACATTATTGTCTTGCTACAAAATAAATAAAACTGGCTGTTTGTAATGTCAAAATAATAAGGTTTTCATATAATTGCACGATACCTATGCCAAAAAACCAGTTTCAATATTTTTCTCTATCTGTCTATTTGACAATCTTCAAAACGGCTGGAACGATTTTGATAATATTTTACTCCCAGGTCGCTGTCTATATAAGAAATAATTTAGACTATTTTTCGTGTCAGAAAACCTCTATAAAATTTTACTCGAGCCCTCATGGCAAGTCGCGTTCCGTACTAAACCACTAAGGCAGCGCTCTTCAAATTCAGTCACTGAAGTCAGGGGGTACCAACTAAGTATCTAATAAGAAAGGAACTCGGCACATAGGGGTACAAACGTGCAAACGGGTTCCCCGGGGGCTTAGTGTGAGTTTATTTCATATAAGTCGCTATATATAAGCATTGAGAGAACACGGGGTACAGCTTCCGTAAGTGGAAGCAACACAGGCAACGAGGGAGATGGATGCCTGATAGTTCCCTCTGTCTGTTTAGCTAAGCTGCGATTGGTTGCTTATTAACCCCACATATACCCCAGCCAACCACAGGGCTCGACTAGAAAGAGAAAGAGGGAACGATCTCTTATCCATGTCTTGCCTTGCCTATATTATAAGATGGGGGCTCTTGTTCACTCTATGCTTATATCTTCATGCTCTCTTCAGTGACCACGTTCAACGTTGGCCAATCGTACACTAGTCCCTCTGAAAAATGACCACCGGCGCCCATGGACATATGAAACTCATCATCATCATCATCACATCAACAGCCATTAGTAGTCCACTGCTGGACATAGGCCTCTCCTTAGAAAAGAGGTTTTGGCCTACTATACCACGCTGGCCAAACGGGTTGGTTTAGGGTTTGTTTCAAGTTTTCCTTCTCTCTGCAGTGCTGTTATTCTGCGTAGTTCGCTCCCTTAGTCGGCTCTTACGACACCCTTGGGATGAATAGGGGTGGTGACACTCTGTAATAACAATAATCTACCACATTCACATAACACCATCTAGTCCCAAATTAATCAGAGCACTCGTATCATATCTGAATTTGTGTTTTTTTGCCTACTCTCTTAAAATAGAGGGGGAAGTTGGGTTTGGGCACCGGTAACCTCAGTCCATGAAAAACGCCTAAAGAATTTAGCACCAGTTTTTTGTGATGTCATGGTAACACTGCGGTCGAGCCGGCCCAATGCCCAATGGTGTTATGAAATATATAGTTATGTTTCAAGTGATTCTACCCTAAGGCATGCAAAATATATACAATTATTGTTTATTAAAACCAAGATCGACATCGAAACATTTAAATAAAATTAGATTACAGAATAATTCAAACGAATGTAATGCCCTTCTTAAACATTTTTACAACATAACTGTACAAAAATATATATTTAAATATATAAAAAATAGTGTCCGGTCGGGTACAGGGACCAAGATATCAGTGGTTAGGACTCCAGACACATAAACCTCCTCACAATACGCGCCGTATCGAGAAGAACTGCGTTCTGCATCAGGTCCATTAATCCAACTGCCTCTCGCGTTAGGCTCTGCCCTCTGAAGATGTTGGTGGAGGCTCTTTACAACTAATCCATGGGCCGATATGTCTACCGGTACAATGATTGCCGAACCAACATACCACATACCACATGTCGACAATTTCGTGGGCCAAATACTTTACTTGCTTATCTTTTTCAGCTTTCAAGAGATTGTCATCATGTGGAATGGTAATGATTTTATTATTATTTAAAAGACAACTCCCGCGTTAGGAATATATCCTGTGTCGCGGGGGACTTTACAAACATACAAGAAACGGACACAAAGAACACCCAGACTCAGAACAACAAATTGTTAATCACACAAAATATTATTTATAGTAGAAATCTGCTGTGCCCTCACTCTGTTAATACTGTTCTGTATAATATAGTCTTACCTTAAAACATCCATTTGTAAAGCACACTGTTCGTAGGCACATAGGAACTGCGCCAGGTCTGTCTTTGGCCACGAACCGAGTCTCAGTGGCTCCACACACCTTAAACAATGATAATTTCTCACATCTTCACAATGATATTTTGCGTGGCGTGACGTAACGCTTTCTGATTGGTGTTCGCTGTCACGTGATTTAATGCCTATTTTGTATGAATTTATTTAAAAAAAATATTAATAATCTGTATCTTTTATGAGAAATAGACTGGTTTTTCTTGTCAATGTCTCTTCATTTATAATTTGAAACTAAAAAACCAAACCTATTTGTTATAAGTGGACACAAGCCTTTTCTACTTGTGATAGGCGCAATGTCTACAAGTCTACATAATTGAAAAAATCAACAACTCGTCTGCAAAGAGACCAACCAGAGAGATATCTCATGTCTCGGATGGTACTGAGACTGCAGTATCTTGGAGACGACTAGGTCACATGCCTGTAAGGCCAGCCTGGGCTTGGAAAAGTCACTGAGGAAGGGAAAACATTCCGTGTGGTTTTAGTCGGTTCAATTCCCACACACCACTCCGCCGCAAACCCCGGCGGGGTGACGGCCCGAGGGGGTTGCCACAAGTAAAAAAAAAACAGGGAAAACAATATTTTAATATATATTTGTACTGTAAAAAAAATACAAACCTTTCAAGTAAATCAATGAACAAAGATCTAAGTTCCCTGCCCCGGTGTAGGTTGCAGGCCAACCCGACCAGCGCCCGGGTGTACAACCTGAAAAAAAAACATATTTATATTATAAATAAATTTTTTCCCGTGACTTCGTCCGCGTGGTTCGTCTAAATCAGACGTCGTAGAGGATACAATGAATGAAGGTTATAGGTATATTCTCCATACAAACTTACACCCTTTGTTAAAGGTAGTTTTTATTACTTTTGATAAATAGTATTTAATGTGACTTTGAAAATTCTACCACCAAAAATGACGAAGTTTCATAGAAATTGCCTACCCCCATTTTACAGACTTCCCACCACCACCACAGAGCCACCACTGCGGTGGCCAGACCGTGGACACGGCTCTCCACACGCTGGCAGAGTGCCCGGCGTGGGTTGAGCAGAGGCGAGACCTCGTGGCGGCCATCGGAGTGGGAGTTCTCTCGCTCGGTAGCCTGATTGCGGCTATCGTGCGGAGCGAGAGTGCGTGGAACTCTGCCGTCTCCTTCTGCGAGCAAGTTATGCTCGCGAAGGAGACGGCGGAGCGGGACCGGGAGAGGTTTAGAACTCTCCCGGCCCGCCAGGCTCGGGAACGGGCCAGGTACCGTAGGCGACTCAGGCGCCGGAGGTCGCAGAACGACCTCCGTCCTCCATATTTGATGCTTCTAGACCCAGCGGTTTCAGCTGTGCGTTGATCCATCAGTCAGTGAATCAATCTGTCAGTTTCTTCTTTTATAGACATATAGATGTAATAGTGAGTTTTTTGTTTGTAACGCTTTCACTCTTAAACCACTAAACCGATTTTAAAAATTCTTTCACCAATAGAAAGCTACATTATCAGCGAGTAACATATGGTACTTTTTACCGCGATAACCGACATACACGCGAGCGGAGTTGCGGGCAAAACCTAATAATAAAAAAGCCGTGTGGTGTGGTAGGACACCCGATAGGAACGAAGTTGTGACGATCGAGTAAAACTGATTCGACACGATTTTAATTACAACACCATGTATAAAAGCGGCTATTACCTACATATTTTTCAGTTGGTTTCTAATTAAAACAATTTATACATTGGTAAAATATCCTTGTGAAATGATGTCGAATACAATATTTTTTGCTCAACCTAAGAGAATAAATTTTAATTTTACTGAGATGAAAAGTAATGATTTCCTATCTCTTCGATAGATGGCGCTGAATGACTGACAAGTGACAATTAAAAATAAAAAGTGTCGTTACAACTTTCGTGAGATTTTTTTCCGTCTAGCCCCCTTTCACAACGCGCGATAAGGAACTTCGCTCCAAAATATTATTGATTTTAATTAATTTAATTCATACTGATATGATAGTAGGGGGAGGGATAGTAGGGGGGTCCAGCAGTGGACTACTAAAAGCTTTTGATGATACTGATATTATTTAAAAAGGATAATGTGTTTGTTTTTCATCAATAAAGTCAGGACAAATGCCAATATTATATTATTATTTTTATGTTATTATTATTTTTATTCTATTTATAGTGCGGAGCGGGCCGAGTTAAATGTGAGCGCAGCTATATCACAAGCGGGCAGCGACAATAGCTCGGCTCGCGTTCACATTGACCAATTGCAACTGAATGACGTCATTCGCGCCCTCCAACAACTTAAAGCTAAAAGATCCACAGGACCAGACTGCATTCCGCCTTATATATTTAAGGATTGACGGTCGGTTTTAGCGCAGCCGCTTTTGGATATTTATAATAAGTGCCTAAAGGCGGCAGTGTTTCCGGAGCGATGGAAAGTAACCCGCGTGGTGCCCGTGCCGAAGGGAAGTCTGGGGGCACAAGTGGATGGATACAGGCCGGTTGCAGTACTATCGACTCCGGCAAAGGTGTTTGAAGCTGCAATCCACACAAGCGTATTTCATCAGGTAAGTGCACAACTTGCCGATGCCCAACATGGTTTTCGGCCAGCGAGAAGCACCACTAGTAACCTTCTCAGCTACATGGCTCATATTGTGCCAACAGTGGACAGTGGGGGACAGATTGATTCGGCTTACTTTGATTTTAAAAAGGCATTTGATCTGGTAAACAATGACGTCCTGCTTAAAAAGTTAGCCGTGGTTGGGTTTACCCCCCACTTGCTTAGTTTTTTTGCCAGCTATATGAGCGATCGGCAGCAGTATGTAGAATACGCGGGACAAGTCTCAGAACCATATTTTACGCGATCTGGCGTGAGTCAGGGCAGTAATCTCGGACCACTATTGTTTATAATTATGATAAATGACTTGACAAGAGTGGTTCAAGACGCTAGATGCTTACTGTTTGCTGATGATCTCAAGCTCTCTTTTGCTGTAAAAAGCGTGGATGACTGTAAAAGGTTGCAAAGGGACATAGACAGGGTAGTGGATTGGAGTAGAGATAACCTCCTACAATTTAACACCTCAAAATGCGTGATAATTAGTTTCTCTCGCGCACGCAGCCCTGTGGTACATAATTATAATATAGACGGAACGCCGCTCACACGGGTCACAGAAGTTAGAGACCTAGGGGTAAATTTTACCACTGCGCTAACGTTTCGCAATCACATCACCAAAATTTGTAAGAAAGCATACAGGAACTTAGGTTTTATCCTTCGCACGGTTCAACAGTTCACAAATATTAGCGCGGTTATTGCCCTGTATAATGCTCTGGTCCGAAGTCAGCTGGAATGTAACGCAGTTATCTGGGCTCCTCATGAATCTAAATATAGGCTCATGGTGGAGCGGGTACATAACAAATTTTTGAGATATCTATATTTGCGTCGGTATGGTGTATACCCACTCTACCCATTAATGTACCCAACTTTATTTATAGTGGGAATGGTGGGATACAACACTCTGAGTGCTAGAAGGGAACTCGCACTCACCACATATATCATCAAAATAATTAGGGGGAAAGTACATAATGCTGACCTATTGGGACAGGTGTATTTTTGTGTGCCAGACGGGTATGTGTGGCGACGGCGACAACCGAGATTGCTGGCGGAGCCGCGCGCCCGTACCAATCTTCTAAGCCAGGCGCCACTGACGCGCGCACTTCGCACATTAAACCTAATAGCCAGCGAGATAGACATATTCTGTTGTGCTCTGAGTGAATTCACAAGAGTAGCGTTGAATGTTATTTGCTATAACATGGACTTGTAATACGTGAGGCCTGTCGGCCTAGTGGGCCCGCCCGGGACGAGTGGTTGTGTGATAGGCGGGTCAGTATGTGCCGTGTCTGGGAGTGGTTTGTCGGTGATGGGTGTGATTGGTATGATTGGAAGTATATGAGTGTGACTGTGTGTCTGGCTGTAGTGATGAATGAGGTTGCTAAAATTGTTTATAAAATAAGTGTTATTTACTACTATATATGTTTGTAACAAGAAATGGCTACACTATTGTATTAGGTACAAAACCTGTAAAAATAGTTGTATTGTGTGTCATATAAATAAATAAATAAATAAATAAATAAATGTTTTTATAACAACTCCCGCACTAGGAGTAACTCCTGTGTCACGGGGCACTTTACAAACATACATGACCCAGACTCGGAACAACATTTTGTGGATCACACAAAGTGTCATCCCATGTAGGGATCGAACCCACAACACTCAGCGTAGTAGTGAGCGGCGTGGCGACCGCTTAAACCACTGCGCCATCCGTGCAGTCGAATATGTAACAATAACATGTAACAAATACTTGCCTAAAATTAAGCTCCAACTCTTGGTATGACTTCTCCAACAGCTTTGGTCTCAATCTCATGCATATTAAACTGAAAATAAAACATATGTATTAGGGTAGCAAATAAGATCCGAGTTGTCCGTGTGGTGACGGATTAAGAATACGCATTGCCACCACCCCTAATCAAATCGTGGGTGTCGTAAGAGCCGAGTAAGGGAACAAACTACGCAGGACAACGGCACTGCAAAGAGAAGGAAAACTTGACACAAACCTTATACCAACCCGTCTGGCCAGCGTGGTATAGTAGGCCCAAACCTTCTTTCTAAGGAGGGCCCTAAGTCCAACAGTGGACTGTTAAAGGCTGTTGATGATGACTGATGATGTTGGGCATATCCTCAAAAAATGAGAGAGCCCCTCATTATATGACCTCACGTAATAAATGTATATCTCCCAAAAAGGTCAACTGGTATAAAACACTCACTGTTTATGCTCCTTCTCCTTGTCTAGGAGTATCCTCAACTCCCGCAACTCCAGGAGAAATTCTCTGTCCATCTCAGTGTCATAGTACTCTGGACCAGTGCAGCTGTATGTCCAACTTGTCATGATGGCCTGCAAATAGACACAACTACTTATGATGGTAGACCTTCAGACTTTTTTTTTTTGTTAAAAAAGACAACTCCCGCATTAGGAATATATCCTGTGTCGCGGGGGACTTTACAAACACATGAAACGAACACAAAGAACACCCAGACTCAGAACAACAATTTGTGGTGTAGTAGAAAGCGGCATGGCGACCGCTTAAACCACTACGCATTCCGTGCAGTCAGATGGTACCCACCAGCCTTTTGCGGTGATGTACTTGTTAGATATCTGGACTAGAAGGAGCCTAACTCCAGAATTTGGGATCCCTCTCCCCTAATTAGTTGGGTCTCCGGTCTCACCCTGAATAAAAAACCTGTTCACAATCTGAACTCACCTGTGCGCAATGATAGAAATCGTTAAATGATAAATACTGCAGCTTCCTTTTGGCAGTCTCGAATCTCATGCAAGCGATGAAGACCACAGCGCCATATTTTCTGGAATACACGTTAATATTTACTTTCATAACCCTGAATCTATACTAATAATAATAATACTCGTATTAGCTGAAGTTGAAGTTGGTCCGTGTGTTGACGGATTAAGAATACAGAGTGTCACCACCCCTATTCATCCCGTGGGTGTCGTAAGAGCCGACTAAGGAAGCTAACTACGCAGGACAACAGCACTGCAGAGAGAAGGAAAACTTGACACAAACCCTATACCAACCCGTCTGGCCGGCGTGGTATAGTAGGCCAAAACCTCCTTTCTAAGGACAGGCTTATGTCCAGCAGTGGACTATTAAAGGCTGTTGATGCAGTTGAAGAGTTTGTATGTTTCGTTGAACGCGTTAATATCAGGAACTACTGGTTCGAATTGAAAGGTTCTTTCAGTGTTAAATATTCTATTAATCGAGGAAGATTTTAACATCAAGTTAGGACCAATAATAATAATAATATGTTTATTCATTAGGAGAATTGTGTTGAATTAACATCTGCATCTGTACCTGAACTAGGCTTAACACCTGTATCTCAGGCAACAGAGCTCTTGCACCATAATATTAGCGAAAACACTGAATAAGTTTTTATTACATTGTTAGCAGATCCAATTAACATTAAATTTTACTAAATACTATATTTAGTATGTACGCAAGTTCCTCTCTTTGTTCTTTGTTTATTCTTTGTATAAATTTTAATTTACTATGTTTTTTGTCTTTTAGAATATTGATGTAAATACTATTTCTAATACATATGTTGGGGGAAGACATTGGCACCTGCAACACAGTATATGCTAGCGCGGGTGTTAGAGAATCCTGTTACAATTGCACAATATTTATGGCAATAAAGAATATTTTGATTATAATTCTCTTTATTTACTTTATATACATATTATTTACATTTTTAAACATACACTTTTATTATTATTATTATTTGACTAGCTGCCCGACCCGGCTTAGCACGGTTAGTAGTAGTTGACACACCGACAGCAGTGCCACCTACCGGGTCCAATTGTATTTTTAAATCATCCAGGAAACCATCGCAATACCCATATAAAATTTCAACCTAATCGGTTCAGCCGTTTAGAAGTTAAGTACAAAAGGATAATTCTTACTACACGTTGTTCTATTACCCGTTTTCCCGTAAGAATGAAGCATTTTCCCGCGGTTAAAAGGAGCCTATGTTCATCAGGGATAATGTCGGCTTCTAATATTAAAAGATTTTTTCAAATCCGTCCAGTAGTTTCGGAGCCTATTGAATACAAACAAACAATCAAATCTCTCCTCTTTATAATATTAGTGTAGATGTGAGTGTGTGAGTGTGAGAGGGAGTGTAAAGGGTTTTGTAATTACTGGTTTATACTGGGTTTTATCATTTTTTCTCTCTTCGTAATCCATTTTTTTCAGCCAATTGTCAAGAGTGATTTTACAGCGTTTACGGTTGAGAGGATATAAATTTTATAGGTACCGGGTAGGAATTTAAAATGATACAAAAATGGGGCAAATTTATTCCTTTTGAGAGACGGAGACAAATTTCGCGGGTCTGTCAAAACTCAAACTCAAACTCAAACTCAAACTTTCTTTATTTCATAAAATTTCCAAAATTGTTAGAAATCGTCTTCCATGTAGACTCTAAAGTCATAGATCAACACACAAAGCAACAATCTCTGTTTTGTCAAATAGTAACCAAATAAATTTAACAAAAATCAAACGCATACAAAATCTATGATATGCCTGTGCCGATCTACAACAGCCCGTATCCAAGGGGTTGAGCCTTATGAGAAGAAAGGGCAAACAAACTCATGGCCACTCTTTTGCAATTCACAGATAGATACAATGGCACTATTAAATATACCACAACATTGTTTTGATGTGTGCTAGTATGTCCTGTCACAAATGAATTAAAAAACTAATAAGTAAAAGTAATAAATAAAAAGTAAAACAGTAATACTGTAGAGTGCGCAGTGTTGTGTCGATCGACTTCTTACAATTTGACTGCAGCGTGTCTGTATCGCCCTATACACGCGTTTGTATCGGCGTTTACGACGCCACTTACTGTTTTAACGTGTGCAAAAGGTTTACTGTGGAAATAACACTATTCAAAAAAGGACCACTGTGATAATAGTGACGGCAGAACACTAACTCCCAAGTCACAGGAATACCTAGTTTTGGCGTTAGGGTTTATCTTTACCTACCTACCTTTAGTATTAAGTACAATTTGTTAAAGGTAAAATAAATATTTATTATTATTACTGTCTCCGTATGAATTTCTTTTAAAGCACGTTGTCTGCAAAAACATTCAAGTTACATTTGCGATACTCTGCCGTTCTCGAGCTGTTCCTGACACTCCCCACTTCATCCGTATCAGCTACATGCTTTATCTGCCATTGGCTTCATCTCATATCTACTTTCTACTTTCAACACACCAGCAATTTTCCCATCTTAAATACCCAAAGTACTCTACAACTTAAGAAGGACTCTGCCTATCGTTTAGGAGATACACTCGGTAGTATGTATGTTTCTACTCACTTAGCCAAAGGTTCAGACAGCAGGAAGGTGCTACGGATATTGGCGACCACATTTCCTGGCATCTCTTCCACGGTCTTGAACACACGACGGACGTTGTCGAACTGGCGCCGGCAGCAACGCAACGGAGCACCAGATCGTTCTGACACCTGAAGACGGATTAACTTCGAATACCTGGTTTATCAAATAAATCATCGCCACTAGGATTGATTCCTGTGTCGCGCTGAGGCTAGAGTTATTGATGCACAGATTTGTCATCAATGATAAGCCTGCAAGATAGCCAAGATAGCCAATTTATTGCATAAGACTTGGGACAAAACTAAAAATAAAATAAATACTTTTGAGTCATTAGAAATGAGGAAGAAAATATTTCTTATGAAATAATTGCTCACTGGTTTGTATAACAAATATTATTAAAGCTCTGCTAGGTGTTTTTTTAAAAATAATCATAATATTGTACCACATTGAAACAACGCAATCTAGTCCCAAACTAAGCAGAGCTTGTACTATGGGTACTCGACAACTGCTATAAATACATATATACTTTTATTTTGTAAATACATACATATTATACATAGAAACACCAAGACCTACACAAATGTTTGACTTAAGCGGGAATGGAACCCGTGACCTTTGGAATAGCAGTCCGATACACAAACCACTATGCCATACGGTCATTCATACCTGTATATAACTATATTTTTATTGAAAAACAAACTATTTTTTTAAACATTTACTCACTAAAATGCATAAAATAAAAAACCTTTTATAGAAAATATTATTATTATTATTTTTTTAACAGGTTTGTATTTAGAAATATATAAATATTTTTGTCAGCAGTTTGGCTTTTACGGAGGACAACGGAGACAATTAATATAACACGCTTGGTATATTCATAAGTTTACTTTTAAGTGGATAAGATTTGTGAAAAACTATATACACATAATTTGGAACAATAAAAATTATTATTATTATTTTATAAAATATGCTAGATTTTACTTTGAGCGCCTATCGATACAATTTTCATATTATCATTGTGATTAGTTGTTATTTTTATTGCATTTTAAAACAACCCCTATTTTTCACTTGTATGCCAATTTTCATAATTACAGACTTAGAATTAAAAAAATTACATAAATCTTATGTGTTAACTGTAAACAATAAAGATAAAAATAAATAAATATTTGAAATGGCTGCTCTGTAAAGTTCCATAAATGTCAGATCCGACACTATTTTATGCCGTTATATTTATACCGGCGCTCCGTTTTACGGTACACCAGCCGTGTACCTTTTAAGGTGATCCGACGACCAAGTTCGCGGAAAGCCGTTGGGTGCGGGCAGCACAGGACTGGTTGTTGTGGAGATCCTTGGCGGACGCCTATGTCCAGCAGTGGACGTCTTTTGACTGAGATGATGATTTATAACTTACCTCGTCCAAATCTTTCCTGTGTCTAGAAGACAGTTTGCGTCCAAGCAGTTCTCTGATTACGGCATCATCGAGGTCATAATATCTGGAAAACGAAATGTCTTTTACTGTTCGCTGGCTACATTGATTTGTAGGTTTCGTGCCATCCTAACTTTTAACATTGTGAACTTATATGCGATAGTAGATTAACATAATAAATTGGTTTACTCGTATTAATCGTATCCCGAGCTCCGGCTACTTAAATTACCAGAAAAATGAGTCATTTTTTGGAGTTTACTCCTTAACAATCGATTTTTAGATACGGCACCCGGTAAGAAAAAAAATATGAAGAGTAAAATTTTGTGATCGAAGAACCTCGGTACGTTTTATGTGCACAACCTATCGTGCGCACATGTGTGTTATACACACTTGTATTCTTGTGTCCAACCGAATCGTTCTTAACGAGTGAGCTGAAAAGCAACAAGACTCAACAAGAGCATTCCCAACCTTTGAATGCCTCCCCTCTATATTAGGGGCAAGGGTTATGCCTCCGGTAACCTGCACCCTTAGAGTCCCCCTCCACAAAATTAAGGGGAAAGGGGGGTTGAGCTCTTGTAGTCCACTCACTCAGATCGTATTATCACCTTACTTGAGCCGACCCATATTATGTACCCATACATAAATTTAAATAATAACAAACTTACTTTTCAATCAACATTTGTTTTGTGGCATCATCAATTTGGAAGATCATCTGTTCCGAAAGCTTTGATGGTACTGTGAGGAGACGTTCCAAAAGAGCGAAAGTCCTATACAACAATATAAAACATAAGTACATTTACTGTGTGCCAAAAGTATGTTACATCGTAATAGGCATAGACAGACAAAATTGAATTTTAATTCTATGAGTGTTAAGGCAGAAAATTGTTTAGCATTTATTTTCCATTTGTTTGCCACTAGTAAAGTTCAGATAGAAATAAATAAGATTGGAGTGTCTGTATGTACGACTGCTTCGATGGTGTAGTGGTGGCGTATACGACTGCTGTGCTGAGGTCTCGGGTTCGATTTCAGGGTCGGACCAAATGTTTGTATAATCTGCAAATATTTGTTTCGGAATTTAGGTGTTTTCTATGTATAATATATAAACAAAAAAGTATATAAGTATTCTATCAGTCAATCTAGCGTTTATAGTACAAGCTCTACTTGGTTTGAAACTAGATGGCGTGGTGTGTCAGATGTCTGAAACTATTATTATTATAAATTATTGTTATTATAATTTGTTATAATTAAAAGACAACTCCCGCATTAGGAATAAATCCTGTGTCGCGGGGGACTTTACATACATACATGAAACGGAGACAAAGATAACCCAGACTCAGAACAACAATTTGTGGATCACACAAAGTGTCGTCTCATGTGGGGTTTGAACCCACAACACTCGGCGTAGTAGGAAGCGGCGTGGCGACCGCTGAAACCACTACGATATCCGTGCAGTCATTACATAACAATAGTTTTTTACTGCACCTGAAAATTGATTAGGGTGCCACATATAAACTTATAAGTATTTACACTCTAACGAAGTTGCTGTCCATACGGCTAGTCAGAAAATTTAAAACAATTCTGTATTTTGACGACTGAAATATCGCACACCTAGCTGCTTTCCCCTTTATGGACTATGTAATACTTCGTTGAACCCAAAGAGATATAACCTAGACAGGAGAAGAGCCTATATAGGCAACAAGAGAGATGGATAATAGACAGTCCCCTCTGGTCGAGCTCTGTGATTGGCTGAGGAATATTAGGGGTTAATATGTAGCCAATCGCAAATAAGCTAAACAGAGACAGAGGGAACTATCGGGTATCCATCTCTCGTACCCTGTGTTCTCTTTATGCTTATATCTCTATGGTCGAACCCCTCCCTCCTTAACGTGTGACGTAATGTATGGATTGTCCCTTAGTTGCTAGTTTATTAAAGGACAGGTCATATTTTTTACATACCAACCATTTTTTACAAGGCAGCCGAAGACTATTGGATATGGACTATCCAATAGTTTTCGACTGCCTTGTGAAAATGTTGCCTGGATATTAAACAAAGTTTCAAGCAGAAACAAAAAGAGAGAGACAGAGAAGGGTGTACCTGTAATGGTCAAGCACATCACTAGCAATCAATTCAACGGTTGCTCCGTATTCCTTAGCAAAGCCTCTTTGGTGCAGTGTGCATACCGCTTCACTTGCTGGAAGTAAATAATGTACACATTAGCTTAACAACCTTAGCAACCTCCTTTCTAAGGAGAGGCCTATGTCCAGCAGTGGACTAGTATAGGCTGTTGATAGCTTAATTATTCTTACCATGCCTACTTAGAAGACACAAATGCGTTACCGCCTCTTGAGGGTAATCCCCAAGACTTAGCGAGAAGGTTTATCTTTCAATAGTGTCACTCATCATCATCATCATCAGTCCTAAATAATTCACTGCTGGACATAGGCCTCTCCTTAGGAGGTTTTGGCCTATTTTTGTTGACTCGGTGGAAAATTTCAGGGACTCAGGAGCAAGGAGTATGTAGTGCTTCCCCTAAAAACCACCCCGACGGCCGGCCTACTCTGGGAGGTCCAGGACCATGTTATTTCAGGTCCTCCCCGAATTGACACCCTATCCCAGGGGAAAACATTCCCCCCCCCTTAATCGCGACGTGGCGGCCCAATTGCGTCTTAATGCAATCAGACCACCATCCTGTCCCCTACCGCAGCATTCAATCTACCACTAGAGGTCCCCACTCTAGCGGCCGGCGGCCTCGTCCTCTATGCTCCAGACCGGCCCTATCCCGATCCCGTTTAGCGATCTCTTTCTGGAGCATTACAGCTTAACAGAAAGAGACAACTGCGCCCCATCCCTTCTCACCCGCTAGCATGGCAGCAATGATTGATGGCGGGGACAGGTCTCGTCCGATTTGGTCGACCAGGACTTCGGGTTCAGGTGCCCACGCGGGGCAGTCTTCCAGCGTGTGCTGGGTAAAGTCCCAGTTCGCTGCACAGTGCTGGCATTGTGCCGTCTCCTCGCGTCCGATACGATTCAGGGACTTCCACAGGTTCCGGCGTTTCGTCGCATTTCGAGTTTGTCCTGGTCTTCCCCGCTCGCACCCCTCAGTCTGGTTAGCCTAGACCCTCGCGTCGAGTCACGTCGCGATATCCAAGGTCGTGAAACGTGCCAGGACTTTCGCCGCCTCCGACGAAATAGTGTGGTATCTTCGAGGAGGTTTTGGCCTACTATACAATGCTGGCCAAACGGGTTAGTATTGAAACAAAGAGCCACCTTCATTAAACACTGGCAGTCTGCCTGACACTGACACTTACTACTAATACTTGGTTGCAATCATTTAAAAATATTTTTTTTTAAACTACATTTTTTTCAGAACCAAGAGAAGTTGGTTATTTGAAGTAAGTAAAACTGATAGGGAGAAGAATCTAGGGTAAGGAATAATACTAGTCTCGGAGACATGGAACTGTGCCTGCATACCCAAATGTCCATTCTCCAAATGGATGTTTCTAGCAGTCTCAATACCATACCAATTTAAAAATCAAAAGCAGGATTAATTTTATTAGACATATTTATGTAGAAAAATCTTTGTTAAGTTTTCTGATATAATGGTCAACTTCTAAAAATCATTGTTTTGTTTTTGAAAATTTTAACAAAATTTTGATCAGTTTTGAGGATAGTCAATGTTACAGGAACACCGTTTACGCGGAACTGTGTAAAAAAAATATTTAAGACTTGAGCTGTCAAATATTACAAAATAAAGTTTTTTTTTTATTAGACAATTATGGAGCAGTATAAATACTTCCTTATAATTAAATTTTTATTTTAAGCATCAAAACAAGTAATTTAAGAGATCAATAAATATATTCTAAAAATAGTTTTATGAGTATGAACACCAGAATAACAAATAAGTAATCTTTCATTCATTGAAAATAAAAGAATATTTTTTAACTATAGACTACAGCTAAAATGCAGTTCAATAAAATTTATTACTAAACTGGACAACAGATGGTATTCATTTAAATTACTGATGTTTGATGTAATGCCAAGAATTTAGATAAATTAATTCCCACATAAAAGAGTACCAAGGTTACTTTTGTCCAAACAATCGTGTTATTTTATTAGTTATACTAATATAAAAGTGAATATGTTGCTTTATAAAAATAAATACAATAGCCAAATACTTTTCTTCCATAGATCAAAAAACATTTGACACCGATAACAGGAGATAAAATCCTAAGTCTATTTAAAAGTAAGTACTTACACGAGCATCCATCAATCCATAGCTGATATATTTCAGGATCTATTAACGTATAATTACTAACAAATACATCCACTTCTGTATACATTTTTGTTTATTATTATATTGTTGTTTTGCTACTAGAACACTGTACTGTACCCACCAAGCACCAAGATTTCGAGTGTCTGACTGTCACTGTCAACTTGACATAATTAGGTTCGGAGCTACCATTTTTACACGCGTTATGTTAGCTTCACTTGTATGTTTGTTTGTATGTTTGTAACCGACTCGCTTTCTATAGAAAACCAAACTAAAAAATAGAAAATAAATTTGAAAAAAAGCGTTGTCAATAGTAAAAAGCACCGCAAGCTTTTTTTCAAATTTATTTTCTATTTTTTAGTTTGGTTTTCTATAGAAAGCATGGTTTCAGTTTTTTAAAACTATATTTTTTTTATTTATTTAATAGGGGTGCTCATACACGGTGCAAGTAGCTGGAGTGCTAAAGACACGGGTTATTTACGTCAGTAGCAGTAGACCTGCGTAGTCCTTTTTACGAAGCAAATAACCTAAAAAATAAGCATATGTGCAAGCTACTTGCATCGAGTAGAAGCAGCCTAAGCTATACCAAAGTTTGCATACACTTATAAAATATTACAAGACAGAATTCATAGTTGACACAACATTTAAATATATGCTACGAATTTTAATAAAACTCAGCTTTTCAACATACATACCTTAATACGTTTTAGTTACACTTCTGGATTTGAAAAGTTTTTCAAGCAAGTTTAAATCATTGAACCGAGTGAAGTTAATCTTTTTGCTTAACATTTTTCATAACAGTTTTAAGCGGTATCTAGACGGAAACAGATATCTCATTTGGTCGCCACTTACCTAAGAAAAACACCAGCCCTATAATATCGATGGTAGTAATGGAAGTATTGTTCGTTTGCTCCCTCTTCTATAAATAAAAAACTTTCTAATATTTGTTAAAAATTATCGCATTGCCCAAGATGACTTCTGCGTCTATTTCTAGTCATCAGGGATGTTAGACGCACCAATTTCTTGGTAAATGTACCATTTTTCAGGGTCTTGTCCCAACTAAATTATTGTGTTGATACGCAAAAATATAAACTTCTGTAATGATCATAAATTAAAAAAATTTTGTATCTAACAATTTATAAGTTCTTGCTGTGCGTCATAGTTACAACTTTGATAATTGTAAAAATTTACTATCGTGATGATATTTATTTTTGACCCATTGAGTAACTTACTTCAGATTAACTTTATCAATCAAGCGAATTATCCATTGATGACTGGAATGATTTTGTCAGAAAATAATACAAAAATTCGAACAATGTAACTCATGGTTCATTTTTATTTTATTTTATCAAATTATGTATGGACATTTATAAGATCTAATAATAAAAACATCAACGAATAATGGGATAATTTAGTTATGATAAGATAATTTAAAAATAACTATTATTGTTAATTTTTTATCAGGAATCCCTGCCGGTCGCAGACATATTTAGTCCTGAGAATACTGAATAAGGTTTTCAGATTCCATAACATTCAATACATTTTTTGTATTTTTAGCTTTTGACTAATCTCCTGTTTCTGAACTTATAGTATTACCAGATTGAGAGCTTCCTACCAGATTTAGCAGGAAAAAGAGTGGACAAGATTATTGCGATCTACAAGTTTATTAATCTAACTTCAAAAATTAGTTTACAAATGATTATTTTTGGACAGTAATAAAAAGCTTTAGCGGCAGTTAAGGATAAACTGTTCCAGATGATCACTAATAGTTTTGAAATATCACACGCCAAATAGATGATAGATATTTGCTTTATAACCTATGTCAAGAACCAGGCAAATAAATACTTGTACTCACTCAAACGTTTGATGAAGAAAGTTTTAAAATAAACAAAAGTCATAAAATCGAGATAACTCTTTTACGCAGTAATGATAACAACAGAATGTATGATTTATTGTGACCCTATTATTCTGTATGAGGATCAATAAAACATCCTAGGCCTAAATCAAAAGCATTTTTACTTGTTTTTTAAATGATGTAGAAGGTAGAGCTAGGTTAAGAGGTGGTTAAGAGCTGGCAACATTCAGAATTGTATCAATAAGATTGATTTTTTCTCGAACTCACAATCACAAATGAGTTTAATTTAATTGCTGATGTATGGAAATGTTTCTATAAGTGCATTGTTTTTTTTGGATAATTCGTGACCAATAAGTTTATCGAGATCCACTAAAGACTTAAATTAAATGGAGACGATATATATGAACGCAAAGGACCCCTAAAACCACAAATAAGGACATTTACCGTATGTTTTTTTTGTTATGCTTTTTATAGACGCTAAACTTGCGTTCACCGTTATAACGAGTTTATGAACTAATACTGATACCTAAGCCAATACTCCGCCAAAATCTAAAAAAAAAAAAGAATGCCATCTCAAAATGTGATTAGTTAGCAGAAACAAAGATAAAATGTATACTAGCAAATAGCATGGCTAACACTACTCCAGCTATATATAACTGTATAATCATCATTATGACTCTTTTTACATAGTAGTACACAATTAGTTAATATTTACTATCATTATTATATCAATCAAGAACCATGTAAAAAACTGAAAGCTATCTAGAAATGTCAACTGAAATTTAACACCTGAAATGAAAGTGTCCTAATTCTCATCTGTCAAGAATAGTTATGAAATTAACAGTGTCATCATTTCACTTAAAATAACTCCGAATATTTAAAACTTATTTCCCGTCTGCTCTTGTAAAATGGTAGATTCTTAATAGAGTAGGTAGACCCTATGCTTTGATCTCTGCATTCTATTGCAAGAGTAATAGAAATAAGGGGCTTACCTTTAACAATTAAATATACCATATATCAGTAGGAATTTAAGTGGTGTTAGTTAATTTCAAAGACTTTATTTAGGTTTATTGAACCGTTAAAGTTACATTATTATTAAGTTATAGAACTGTCTCCTAACTTTTTATGTTAGAGGGTGCAGAAGAGCAGACGGGTCACCTAAAGTGACCATCGCTGCCCATGAATTTCTGGAACTCTCACTCTCTGGAGTCACAAACATGTTGCCTGCCTTTTAACCTGCATCCTAGGAGTCAGATATATGAGTACTTGAAACCTAAAAATACATTAAATAAAATAGTTCCTGCTCACATCACATCAACCGCCTTTCACAGTCCACTGCCGGACATAGGCCTCTCCTTATAAAGGAGATTTTGGCCTACTATACCATGCCAAACGGGTTGAAATAAGGTTTGGTTCAAGTTTTCCTTCTCTCTGCAGTGCTGTTGTCCGGTGTAGTTTGCTCCATTAATCAGCTCTTACGACACCAGCTGGATGAATAGGGGTGGGGACACTCCGTATTCTTAATCTGTCACCACACGGAAAGTTCCTGTTCGGATCTTGTCTTTTACATTCAAAGACCAGAGAGATTTATTATGTCTCTTTCATTTGCAATAATTTACAATATTGGTCTTACTGTTTTCTTTGACTCATTTCACCACCTACTGTTGTCTCCCTCTCTTCTTATATCCTAAAATACTAACTATATCAGTAAGGTCCACTATGTCAGTTTTTGTCATTTTATTTTTTTTAAACAGCCTGTCCAACTCTCTTTAAGGATTAATTTATGTTCCCTCATCCTCTCACTTCATAATTCTTCTAAGGACATCATCAGCTTGTTTTCTATCACATCTTTCCAAGCTCTTTTTGAATGGTGCAAACCTATCTTTTCTCCGCCAAAGTATTATTCAATTATAATTGTCTGCAAAAATAGAAAGCAGATTCTTCTTTATTGAACTAAATTCTAAACAGATTAGCTAACTTACTAACACTAAAGTTGTCCATTTTTAGTGCCAACTCCCCAAAAGTTGACAATAAAAATGATTTTCTCTCGATCGTCTGATTCAATATTTCTAGATGATTTTCCTGGAAGAATAGATGTGGACATATATTATCTGAACTTGGAGTTTTAATGTACTTCCAGAATGAAATTTTTAGTTCTTGAAGAAGTATTGCGATCTTTAAGCCTACAATCCTTCTTCCTTAATCCTTGTCATGGTTGGAAACTGAGATCATATTGTTTCATCACAGTAGGATTATTGGAGAATTACGTTTGGCCACATATAGTTGGGTTTGACTGGATTTCACAGTAGACCGAATTCGACCAAGTGAGGCTACTGCAACCTAATTCTAGTGTGGCAGCCCACCAACTCCCGCATTAGGAATATATCATGTGTCGCAGGGGACTTTAAAACATGAAATGGACACAAAGAAAACTCACATTCAGAACAACAATTTGTTGATTACACAAAGTGATGTCCCATGTGATCGAACCCACAACACACAGCGCAGTAGGAAGCGGTGACCGCTTAAACCACTACACCATCTGTGCAGACTGAGCTGCAGGTGTCCATAGACGACGGTTTTTACTTACCGACAGTTGATCCAAGTGCTCCTATAACCCCCAGCACTATAAATAAGTACAAGGAATGGTAGTCCCAATAAATATAACCAACAACATCTGTTTCAGTGTAGAATGTCAGAAACAAAAGAAGACGGAACCATTTCGAAGAGGGAAGAAAATCTTGAACAAGTAGTAGATGATGAAACGAAGAGTCAGTCAAGTGAAGAGAGCAACGATGTGAGTATGTTTGCAAGTGTGTGGGTTAAAGTAGAGGTTATGGAAGAAGGACCAGAATTTGAGAAACCCCTGCCGGAGAAGGAAAAACTGTAAGTGTTATAATTATAAATAGCTCTGTCTCTCTCTAATAGGAACTATATACATATGAGGATATCATCAGTCTTTAATAAAAGAAGAAAATTTAGAAAGGAGGTTTTGGCCTACCACATTGGCAGACGGGTTGGTATAGGGTTTGTGTCAAGTTTTCCTTCTCTTTGCAGTGCTATTATCCTGCGTAGTTTGCTCCCTTAGTCGGCTCTTACGACGCTCACGGAATGAACAGGTGTGGTGGTGACACTCCATATTCTTAATCCATCATTACACAGATTATGAGGATAAAGAGGTTCAAATAAGCCATACTGCAAATCATGTAACACTGCAATGTTTGAACTAATTACTTACAAACAAACGTAGAATGAAGACAGTTAAGCATAGTATCATGTTTTAATTTGCAAAACTACCCTACTTTTATAATCAACATTAAGAAAAATACTCTTATTCTAAATTCAACTCTTTTCTTATGTCCTCAAAACTCATTATTTATAAACCAATTTGCAAAGTTCTCATGGTATATTATACTTTTCGTTTTGGTTCTATTCAAATTTGAATAAAATATCACCCTGCAAGTGGAAAATTAATGTAGGAATATTATTACAATTTGTGATGATTTAGGTCAATTAAAGTTGGTAAAACTTTGTGTATAGTTAACTATTCATTAGTTTGTTTAAATAAAATCATTATGTATTCAAAATCCATTGTGGTTTAAAACACCTACATACATTGTGGATACATATGATTTTTGTATTAAGTTTTTTTTTCTATCTGTCATACTCATAAAGCAAATATAAATCATAAAATCAGCATCTAATTATAAGATTGAGTTGTAACATTCAGAAATTATAATTTCAGAACAAGTACATCGAAACGCAAAAAGAGAAAACCACAGAAAGTCTTAAAAACATTACAATGTGAGGAATGCGATTATACAACCGTGTACAAAAACTGTCTACAACTCCATATTCTTGGTCACACTAATTTCAAACCATTTTCATGTGATTCCTGCGACTATGTCACAAAATATCCATCATCTTTGCAACGGCATGTGTTAACACAACACGGAGAAACCACAGATAAAGAAAAAGAATTATCCGTATACACCTGTGAGCAATGTCCATACACCTCTTATTATAAATGTAATTTGAATTCACACAAAAGAAAGCATAAATTAGAAAAGGAATTTAAATGTGACCATTGTCCTTACACAACAGCTTACAGGCACAATTTTGTAAAACATAGCAAAGTACATAACAAAACGGACTCACACAGATATAAGTGTGATAAGTGTCCCTTTGTAACCAAGTTTGAAGGACATATTACAAGGCATTTAGCAAAAATTCATAATGAAGTCTCTGATAAGGCCAATAGATGTGACTTATGTGATTTCTCCACTAAAGTACGCTGGCGACTTAACATACATAAACAGAGAAGCAAACAAGAAGAGGTTATGAAATGCAACTATTGCGATTTTGAGACTTTCTACAGGTGTGAGAGTAAAAAACATAAAGTCACCCATTATAGTGAAATATACGTGCCAAAAAATTCAACACCATATCAAGGAAATGCTTTTAATTATCAAGAAACTAATTCTGATCCTCCGGTTTATGATATAACTTTAGAGGCTCCTGAAACTGCGAGTCAAACACCACAGAAAAAGAACAATCATTACAAAATTGATCCTGTATGTGAAGTTGACTGGAACAACATACAAGTTTCTGAGTCAAGTGACAAGGACAAGCCGTTTAAGTGTACAATGTGTCAATACACAGCAAGGTTCAAAGCATCCGTTCAGAGACACTACCAACGTCACCACACTGGCTCACACAACCGTCCCTACAAATGTGTAAACTGTGATTTCTCAACGAAAACTAAAGACCAAATTTCACTACACAACAAGAGATCACAGTCAGACCTTGAAATATTTTGCCAAAACTGTAATTTTTCTACCCACTTCAAATGCCAATATGTGATGCATCAAAAATGTCACTACGAGCACAAGTGTACGGTTTGTAGTTACACGTGTAAGAATAAATATGAAATAACTAAACATTACTCTATGGTACACTTAGGGAACAGTTTGAAATGTCGTTATTGTGACTATAAGGCTTTTCGGTTAGAAACTTTACAATGCCATGAGACAATACACACCGGCCACAAACCGTTTAAATGTTCCTACTGTAACTATATGTCTGTAAGAAAGTCTTTGCTGGTAAATCATGTGAAACGTTATCATAGTGATGTGAAAGTGGAACCCACAGTTATTAGTGATAGTAAGATTGAATCGTTAAAGATGAGTTCAGATGAATTGGCAGATCAAAGTGGTGTTTTGCAGGATTATTATGATTGTCAAGCAAGCATTAGTATGAATCAAACAGGACCTGTTTAGTTTTTTGTAAATAGTTTAATTAAAAGGTTAACAAATCAAATTATTTATACAAAGTTTTAGTACATATGTAATGGAGAAGTTACATATTGGTAATACAATATTTAACTAAATCTATATTAATTAATAATATTGAATATGGACGTGATTCCGAAACGGACAAAATATATTTTTATTTGTAATCTTTGCTAAATAACATACCTATACTATATTCTTTTAAATTCCCGCGCAAATTTCCAAAACGTAACGCTATTGGTAGAACAAAACGTGACGTCAATTCACACTCGACGTCTTCTGTTAACAAGTTGTTTGTATGGTTTATCGTGATTAATTGTAATCTAATAAGTTACATGCATTAATAGGTAATACTCTTACAGATAAATAACTACGTATATATATCTTTACAACTTTTTGTAAACTAATGTGTGCTTTTCAAGACACTTTTTCCCTCACACAACCAACCTGTAGAACAAATTATCGTCTGTGGTATTTCCGAACCAATACGACTTCCAAAACTTCAAGAAAAGAGCGTACTCCTTCCTCAAAGGCCGGCAACGCGCTTGTGACTCCTGAAATACAGGCGTTCATGGGCGGCGGTAGTCGCTTTCCATCAGGTGACCCCTCTGCTCGTTTGCCCCCTTTTCCATAAAGAAAAAAAAATAGGTTTAGTTTTCGTTGAGGTTTGTAAACAGAACGAGTACCTACTCGTATGTGCAGGTAACTAAATAAAAATGATTCTCATATTTATTTTTTCTTTTTTTAATATCCTTGTGTTATAATGATCTTCACAACATTATAAACAGCTCAATCACGATACATTGTCTCTTCTCATCGCCTTGCACCACTTTTCCTTATCAGGTTTACCTACCTTTGTCAGGCCAGTTTTAATGTTATTTTGGCACATCGGAATGACTGAATATTAATATAATAATCTGTGATTTTCCATGGTAATAAGTTCATTTTATTATTTTCGTTTTTAACTTTCAGTAACTTTGTGAAACACTTCGTTTGTTGACATCGAACTCACGTTGGCGCGCTTATTCTGTGACGCCAGAGTGTAAAGCGCGCCAAAATGACTGCGTTTAAATCGTCGAAAATGACAGTGATTGAAACATATTTTTTGGCTTAATGGTTAATATTTCGGATGTGTTATAGTTATTTTTGGTTATGTAATAACAAGTAGAAATGTTTAAACAAAAATCATGCATATTCCCTATTGGATGTAAAATGAATTATTGATTATTAGATGATCCGGTGAAATTCGTGTCACCTACAGCTATTTATCTATATATCTAATAGTCTATTTTTGCAAAAAGAATGAATAGGGTTAAATAACAAAAAAAAAAACCAAAAAAAATTGTAAAGAAAGCGCGCATAAAGTGACTAAATAATGCTAGATGAACTTTTTATCCTTTCGTCTGTGTCTGGTTATTACATATTAATTATGGCATTAATTTCTGTTTTTGAAACGAAGTTCCTTATCGCGCGTTGCGAAAGGGGGCTAGACGGATAAAACGGGCACGAAGAGTTGTAACGACACTTTTTATTTTGAATTGTCACTTGTCAGTCATTCAGCGCCATCTATCGAATAGATAGGAAATCATTACTTTTCATCTCAGTAAAATTAAAATTTATGTTCTTAGGTTGAGCAAAAAATATTGTATTCGACATCGTTTCTCAAGGAGATTTTACCAATGTATAAATTGTTTTAATTAGAAACCAACTGAAAAATATGTAGGTAATAGCCGCTTTCATAGATGGCGTTGTAATTAAAATCGTGTCGAATCAGTTTTACTCGATCGCCACAACTTCGTTCCTATCGGGTGTCCCACGACACCACACGGCTTTTCTATAATTAGGTTTTGCCCGCAACTCCGCCCGCGTGTATGTCGGTTATCGCGGTAAAAAGTAGCCTATGTTACTCGCTGATAATGTAGCTTTCCATTGGTGAAACATATTTTTATATAGCTTACAATATTTTTCAGTAGCACTGTTGTGCAACTGTCAGATGACCGTCTGTCATATACTAGAGTACTTCATCAAAAGAAGTTATTCTTGAAGTCAACCAAACCTACCTCGTACTTTTAACGTTGCTCAATTTTGTTACAATATTTTTTTCCTGAATCCATTAAAATAAATGTGAACTTCTCCATTAAATTTAAATTTACTAAAATATTTTCTCTCAGGGGTATTTTTAAATGAAAATGAAGTTTTAAAGACATTTCCAACGTTGTGTTGTAAATTTTATTGGCTTGACGTTAGAAAATCAACCTTTTTTGGATATACTTAAATCAGCTCTTAAATGGACAAAATATAACTCAAGTATCACAGAAATGTCGTTGAATCCTTGCATTATTTTTTCTGGTGTCATGATCGACATTATCATGGGTTCCGGTAGCATCGATGTCACCCTCCAATCAGCTTCCAAGTAAGTTCGTTCGTTTCGTGCGAAAGCTTGGCATCTGATTAGTCAGGGGGGCGGGACTTGATCAATGCGTTACTAGATAGTAACGCTTCGATCAAGGCCAAGTCTAAACTTAAATGGACTGTAAAAAGCTTCAACCCTTCCCGTAATAAAGAGGGGGACCTTTACTGGGTGGTCGTTTTGTTTTGTGAATTTGAGGCGAGACTGGGAAGTATAATTCTTATTGGTTGCAGTGTTATCAAGATAAATATTGATTTTTGTAGTGTAAACACTAAAAGCAAAAAGGTTTTGTTAAGTTAAAGTTGTTTTAATGAAATTGCTTATATTTGATTTAGTTTTATGCAACTTATTTGATAGTTAAGTGATACGAGTACTAGCTGTACTAGATTCGGATGTAAAAATACTATAAGTACAAATTAAATGATTTGTGGAATTCAATTTTTGTTTCAATTTATATTTTTTTAAATCTATATCTGATATGATAAAAGGTTCGGCTGAATTTTACTATAAATTTGCTACATATTTGTCTGGACAGCGTGGTATAATGGTAGGTTTTGCTATGTCCAGCAGTGGACTATTAAAGGCTGTTGATGATGATGATGACATATTTTTACCCCTTCCGGGGGTAGGCAGAGTCGATAGATGTTATTTGCTATGAATTTGACACACTTATCGACGCCTTCTCCATATTTATTAGACCTTTTATTCACGCTCGCCGGGGCCCTTTTTTAACTAAATAACTGTCAGTAGACTCCAGATGGGCAGTTTACACTTCTGATTTGGGGGTCCTATTGTATTTTACACTAGCTGGTGCAGAAATCCCTTCAGGTACCCATACCGGATGACTAAAAACTGTACCCCGTCTCGGGATAAGGAAATCCCTGGTACCCCGGGTCATCTACGGCTTGCAGATGACGCCCCCGCCTAACACATTTATGAACCTATAATATTAGTTAATATTTTTTCTATATTAAACAAAGCATTAGTAAACAAAAATGAAAAGAAAAGAATTCAGGAATCACACCATTTATTGGTCCCATTCAATAACATAACCATTATAACATAATAAACAAATATAGAAATAGTGTTATATCGTCACTTCCCCAACACACCAGTTATCAAACAGTGCGTATCAACATTATCAATCAATCTCTCAAAGATTTACAGTTCAACGTACATTTTCTTAGCATTGCTGATTATTTAGGGGTCATTCACTAATCAAATCTAAATAAGATTAGAGATAGACCCCACTTACTCAATAAAATATTCCAATAAGATTAAAGATCAACCCCATTCAAATATTTCAATAATATTTTTTTTTAAATATTTGTTTTGTTTTTTAATTCGATATTAAAGTAATTATTTCGCAATAAATAATGGAACTTAAGTTTATTATGTGAATACTTTAGTCTGTTAACATACTAGTATAAGCTTTGTGATAGACTGTTGTGTATAGTTATAATTGGACTTCAGATTTAAGTATTGTATATCGTCAACATAATCGTGTATGTTCTGATCTGTTATGTATATTAGAGTATAGATAGAATAAGACCCCATATCTCATGTTACAAGATTAGAAATATACCTTAAGAAACTTAACCTATACATATATAGGGTCAGTTTCTTAAGGTATATTTCTAATCTTGTAAGATTTGAATGAGTGAATGGGGTCGATCTCTAATCTTATTGGAAGGTTTTACTGAGTAAGTGGGGTCTATCTCTAATCTTATTGGAAGGTTTTACTGAGTAAGTGGGGTCTATCTCTAATCTTATTAAAATTTGATTAGTGTAGTATTACATTCTCAATAGCAGGTTAAAAACTATTAATATCTTGTGTGTTTTGATAACATTCAATTCAATAAATTATTTAGATTGTTCCCACTGATTTTGCATCAGAGTTGCCAGTTAGAATAAATAATAATGATAAAAAACTACACAGATAGGCTCTCAAACTATTAAAAACGGAAATTAATGTAACTATCCCGAAAGTGAACGTACAATCCAAAGTTTGTTTTGTACTATAATAGTATACACATTTCCTTACTGGCAACCCTGTCTTGTACTAATAGATCGAAACACAAACACGATCTATTAAACGTGGGGTCTAATATCACCGACAAAAATATGATGTCGAAGGCTGTTTCTTTGTGATTGGTTATAACTTCACAATAGCAGTGTTGCAACATATAATAACATAATTGGAACTCTATTATAGATGAAAGGTACATTGTATTTCTCTAAATGCTACACGAATTAATTATAAAAACAGTGAGTCAAGTGAAATCGATTTTAAAAGCTTTCCTCTAGATTTCCTGCAGTTTTTTTTTATGTTAGAGGGGGGCAGACGAGCTGACGGGTGACCTGATAAAAAGTGACCATTGCCACCCATGAACGTCTGCAACTCAGGAGTCACCTTATAAAATTTTGGTCAGCCCGGGAATCGAACCCACTAAGGCAGCATTTTTCAAATTCCACACGAACGAAGTCGCGGGTGCCAGCTAATATTAAATGAAAAGATAAAAATATTCACACTGTCAAATATTATATTAAAAATAATGTGTAATGTATTCTATCTCATTCTCTCGCCGACTTAATCCTATACCTATATATGTTTGTTTCTTTATCGTGACGCATTTTCATTTCAACGAGTTTCAAATCACAACGATTAGACATTTTGCAGTTATATAATCCTTTGGAGGGACAATAATGTGCGTTCATGATAGAAATAGGGGAAATCTAACTCTCCTTACCTACAATAGAGTTCCAATATTAATGTTTATTTTCGTACCTTAACACAATATGGCGGACATTAAAAGTAAGAAGATAAAAAAAACTAAACAGAGATGCATCAAATTTCTTTGGTATACTATAATACCACAAAGACAGCTAAAATGAGAAGTCCTTTTAAGAAAAATCTTTGGTAAAAAAACGTTAAAATTAAAATTGAAGCATAGGTTTGAAATAGAAAGAATTTAGAATGAAACACATTAAGTAATAATAATAATATTCTACCACATTCACACAACGCCATCTAGTCGCAAACTAAACAGACCTTGTACTATGGGTACTAGACAACTGATATAAATACATATATACTTTTTTGTAAATACATACATATTATACATAGAAACACCCAGACCAATTCAAACATTAAATGTTCTTGCACACAAATGTTTGACTTGAGCGGGAATCGAACCCGCGACCTTTGGAATAGCAGTCTGTTACACAAACCACTACGCCAAGGAGAGTAACCCATTCCCTCTTGATAACGTTGATATTCATGATAACAAATCTAGGATAGGTGGCGAGTTACTGTCCTCGATTGTTATATTTCATTTGATGAGAATTAAAAAAATTGTACATTTACAATATGTGTTGTAATAATTCATCTTTATTAAGTTATAATCATGGATTTTATGGCATTGGTTACGAAAGTCAGTAATTTTTTATTATATTCGAGATTCGTATTTGATCTTGACTAATATTATGTAGGACACATAAACCCTGGTCCATATGACGTTATAAAGAATAAACAAAGTAAGAACACCGGGGGAGAATCTTGGCTACGGGAAATAAATCCCGCTGGCAAATGCGATTGCTAGAATTAAATCCGGGGATGTACTAGGTATAATTATACTAACCAACCAATCAAATTCCACCGGGATCTCAACATTGCAGCGTTGTAGAATATTTTTATGTTAGAGGGACAAGCAGAAAAGTCACCTGATGGAAAGTAACCATCGCCGCCCATGAACGTCTGCAACTCAGGAGTCACAAACGCGTTGCCGGCCTTTTAGGAAGGAGTACGCTCTTTTCTTGAAGGTTTAAAGGTCGTAATATTTAGACCTTACTTTAATAAACAAAGAAAACACGAAATGCCCGCCATATAGCATTAAGGTACTAAACAACATAATAATATATAAAAAAACAATGAAATACAAAAAAGGAATGTTACAGTACAAAATTTGTACTTTTGAACTATACAAATTTATATACATGCTAGTATACAATTCATCAACATATACAGTATATTCTACACGCAGGAATATAAGTGCCAAAATTATATTATTATTGCTTCATAGAAATTTGTGACTTACAAAAATTTACATACTTATTGTTACAGTGTATATATTTTATATATACACAACAACAACACATTATACATCTTTTCAAATGTATAATATATTGAAATGTATAGGTACTGTACACATTTTATTAAGAATATTCTAGAATAAGCTCCGCAAATAATAACAAAGGAATAGGACGGACCTTAAATAGGTTATACAGTTTTAACGTACCAATAGATACTAACACGAGGTGTGTATTACATTATTATTAATTAAAAATAGTTTACTTATTAAAATTGTCATGTTCCTAAACGCATAGCTTCTTAGCCAAACGAACATATGTATAATGTGTATGGATTCTAGTTTATGATATGATAACTACAAACAAACTCTAACCAAAATGCACCCACTTCCTATTTACCTCCTGTTCTCTCTGCATCACCCAAAGGTTGACTGGTAGAGAATGCCTTAGACATTAAGTCCGCCAGTGCATTAAAAGTGCACGATGAATAAAAAAATAAATAAACATATATAAATTTACTATAGCATTATGTATAAAATACATGGCTATTTTATTAATAGTATAATACTTTACCATAGATAATAAACAATATTTATTTTTAGTATAAAAAAAAATCCACTGTCTTTTTAATAAACGTCAAAATTACAAGGTATGACGTTACACCTTAGTGCTGTGTTATTATTGAAAAACCTTAACTAAAGCTGTACAACAGTGTTTAAAGAGCACAGGAAAATACCCAAAAAAGTGTTGAGAATTTTAATGTTAATACAGTATAGGTTAAAATAAATTTAGGATATGTAGATACGAATGTAATAAATAAATAATAACGATTAAACAGTATTAAAAACATTTTTTTGTTAAATAATACATTACATTCAAATCGTTTGGCTGAGAAACTACACAAATTAATTTATTATTCATTAAAATGTGACCTTAAAAACCACACGTCTGTTTATGCATTTATAACAACAAAACAAAATTATATTTTTAATCTGTGTTCCCCCCCTACCACCTTTCAATGGGGGGAGGGTAATGAGCATATTAAAACATACAGTACTACAATGTACCTGTACAGTGATCTAAACTTGTTTAATTTCTTGTATTACAGTTCGTGGTAATAAAAACACATACAGACATTCATTCGAATTAACTACAACCCCAAATAAATATATACCTTTTTTAATTTGTTCTTCCTAATGAATGTGACTATTATTATTGTTCCATTTCTAATGCGGACAGTTTTCTTAAGAACTCTGATCGCTGGGACGGTGTCAATTCCTGAAGGAAAAAAGCAAGATTAAATAAATACTTTTTTTATACCAACCCGTCTGGCCAACGTGGTCTAGGCCAAAACCTCCTTTCTAAAGACTATTAAACAGAGGACAGTGGACTATTAAAGGCTGTTGATGATGATGATGATATAATTTTTTTCAATGGCCTGTTAGTTCAGTGGTTCGTGAAGCTAATTACTGAGCCAGTGATCGTGGGTTCGGTTCTCAGCGAAGACAAATAATTGTGTGATGAGCACAACGATTTCTTGTAATTTATGTAGAAATTTATAAGTATGTTGTCTATACCACGATGGGCAGACGGGTTGGTATAGGGTTTGTTTCAAGTTTTCCTTCTCTTTGCAGTGCTGTTGATCTGCGTAGTTTGTTCCCTTAGTCGGCTCTTACTACACCCACGGGATGAATAGGGATGGTGACACTCCGTATTCTCAATCCGTCACCACACGGAACACACTGACTTTAGATGGTATTTATTAAAGTATATTTTAAGTTGTATGTGGGAGTCATCACACTGGTATACCAGTAAATGGGGCATACGTACCAGCACAAGGTTATTAACGGTCTGCAGAATGGCATCCTGGTGTATGGCGCGCAAATTCTTCTCCAGCACGGAGTTGTCGTCTCCTGCTTGACTCTCCAACCATTTGCACACCGCCTCATTGTCGTGTTCCCACTGATGGGACTGGAGATGTAAAAGAAAAACCATTAATGTTATGGGCTTCGGGCAAATAACAGTTATTTTCAAAGTTGTGTTTTATTGTAACACCGAGACACTCTTGCTTGAGTGGCAGCCATATAAAAGAGCGACACTGGTGTTAATTCTGTTCTTCGAAAACTTTCTAAACTAAACTAAAAATCACAAAAAAAGTTTTTTGTCCTGTCAAATATTAGGTCTTTACCTATGAAACACATACAGTCTCCAAGCTGCAAAAGCTGGGGTTGGAAGCTCTCCCTCATCATGGTAAAAAATTCAATTCCCGAGAGGCAGTACAAAATACCTTTGAAGGGTTTGTTGCCTCCCGTCCAGCTGATTTTACATAGAAACATCCAGACCAAATCAAACATTAAATGTTCATGCACACAAATATTTGACTTGAGCGGGAATCGAACCCGCGACCTTTGGAATTGCAGTCCGTTACACAAACCATTAAGCCATTCGGTCGTCAATTCGTATATTGGTTGTAGAATATTCTGAGAACGATAGTAATTACATAATAATTTAATGATGACAGGTTGAAGAGTTACGTTTAACAAAAATTAAAATAAGTAAGAAAGGAATACAAACTCATATTCACATTCACAATATTCGTATATCGTTGGTGTTATCAGCTCATTACATAAAGGCAGTTAAACATACCTGTGTCTCTCCAAGGTCCTCAGTGAACCACCTCCGAAGGCTGGCGGCGGCAGCTCCCTGGTCCATGGAGTCTGCGGGCTTGACGGCTGCCTGTACTCTCACCTCCTGCTCGTTCTGCTTCAGCAGACGCCGCAGGCGCCAGTACAGCTGGCGTCTGGATGAACGCCACGGAATTATGTCCTAAAAGCAGATTTCTTTTTTTTTATTTTGTCGAATATCCGTATACTGAATGTACATTATAGGGGGGAGACGGTTTTGGGCATCCACTTGTCGGTTTTGGCCATCACTTTCACTTTGTTAGGCTCAAGTGCGAGTTGATTTCACATCTACTGCATCGTCACGGTAGCCGCGTTCGAAACTGTGATTGGCCCGCACTGAAATCTAAACCAATCAAAACGCCGAACGCGCTCTCTGTCGAGAGTTAGTGGGTCTGTCACAGTAAACGAATTGGTGCAGCGGTTCTCAAGTTTTGCGCCTAGCAACAGTTTTGGCGAGTGGTGTACGAGACAATACAAAAGAAGAAAAGGGAGCAGCTTCGTCGATGGGAGGACGATATCAAAAGAATAGAAGGAATTACGTGGAGAAGGAAGACACATAACCGCATTCTATGGCAGGCTTTAGGGGAGGCCTATGCTGGGAAGCAAGACAATCTACGTGGAACTGGTGGCAATTGTTGAAAATTAGTATTTCAGAAAATGTTTATAGTTAAACCGCTTATAGTTAAACTGATTTCACTTCTACTGCATCGTCACGGTAACCGCGTTCGAAACTGTGATTGGCCCGCACTGAAATCTAAACCAATCAAAACGCCGAACGCGCTCTCTGTCGAGAGTGAGTGGTTCTGTCACAGCAAACGAATTGGTCCAGCGGTTCTCAAGTTTTGCGCCTAGCAACACTTTTGGCGATTCATTATTGTTTATTTGGATATATTAACTTCTGCTGGCGAATTCATCGGCGTGGTGGTTGACATCAGACATCGTAGAGGATACAATGAATCAAGATTATAGGTATATATAGGTGTAGGAAGATCGGGCCTGTGGGTCTAGTGGTTAGCGACCCCGACTGCTAAACCAGAAGTCGTGGGTTCGATTCGCACCCAGGACAAATATTGTGTGATGAGCACGGTCATTTGTTCTGTGTCTGGTTGTAATTTATCTATAATATGTATATTTAAAAATATATAAGTATGTTTATCAGCAGTCTGGTGACCACACCACTGGGATCAGACGGCCGTGGGTGAGATGTGTGAGGTATATATATACATACATACACATCTCACTACTACTATATATATATATAAAGAAGATACAAACTAAAGTGCCAGTCTAAGTCCCGTCGAAATCGGTCCAACCGTTCTAGAGATTACCCGGAACAAACAGACAGACAGACAGACAAAAATTGAAAAAAATGTTATTTTGGCATATGTACCGTGTAAACATACATATGAATTTATTAAAAAGCGGTTATTTTAATATTACAAACAGACACTCCAATTTTATTTATTTGTATAGATAAACACAGTAGATATTGTTATACTCACGAATATACACCCTTTCTCTAACATCCTCTCAGCTGTGTCGTGTAGTTCGGCGAATTGGACAGCGATCTGTACAACAATATACAACATTAATTGGTAAATCCGTATCCCTGTCTTTGGAATCATAGCTCCTAAATAGATGGAGCTCAATCTCGAAGGATTTATTGGCAGTCCAGGAAGATATCCAGCACTTTCCATCATCAGATCAATTCAAAGACACCAAATTATAGTACAATTACATTTCTAAAGAGAGATCATTTTTTATAATGTAGATCAGGGATTTTCAAACTATTTTGGCCAAGAGACGGGATGGGACTATTATATATATATGGGATGAACCCCCCTTTCAAACAAAAAAAGCCGTGTGTGTGGTGTCGTGGGCCACCCGATAGGAACGAAGTTGTGACGATCGAGTAAAACTGATTCGACACGATTTTAATTACAACGCCATCTATGAAAGCGGCTATTACCTACATATTTTTCAGTTGGTTTCTAATTAAAACAATTTGTACATTGGTAAAATCTCCTTGAGAAATGATGTCGAATACAATATTTTTTGCTCAACCTAAGAACATAAATTTTAATTTTACTGAGATGATTTCCTATATATTCGATAGATGGCGCTGAATGACTGACAAGTGACAATTCAAAATAAAAAGTGTCGTTACAACTTTTCGTGAGATTTTTTCCGTCTAGCCCAATTTCACAACGCGCGATAAGGAACTTCGTTCCATTAATAATTTTGGAAATCTGTTTATATATGACGCAATTATGCCCGCCCGAACATACATAAAAAATATATATGTACGAACATCCGAACTGCTGATAACTCCTCCTTTTTTAAGTCGGTTACTTAAGATGTTCTTACCTCGTGATAAATAGGGCTCAGTTCCTTCTCCCTGGCTTTGGCTGTCTTCTCAGCAGCCAACAGTTCCGTTTCTAATTCACGTACACGACCCTCGGCTAAAACAATTATCATATTAGGTTATTATATTCCGTGACATAATACAGTACTATTTATATGGACACGGAAATTAATGCTACTGTTAAATCATATTCATTTGTTGAAATGATTGGGTTAAGTCACAGTGATTTTACATGTGATTGTGATTGTTTCTTAGACAAAGATAAATGTTTTTTTTTTTTCTATAAAAGACTACTCCCGCAGTAGGAATACATTCCTGTGTCGCGGGGGACTTTACAAACATATATGAAACGGACACAAAGAACACCCAGACTCAGAACAACAATTTGTGGATCACACAAAGTGTCGTTCCATGTGGGGTTTGAACCCACAGCACTCGGCGCAGTAGTAAGCGGCGTGGCGACCGCTTAAACCACTAAACCACTACGCCATCCGTGCAGTCGACGATCTTTGATGTACATATATATATTGACGGTACTGTTGGTCTAGTGGTTAGTAACCCTGACTGCTAAGCCATAGATTCCTACCCAGGACAAATTTGTGTGATGATCATTTGTACTATGTCCTGGTGTAATTTATCTATAATATGTATATATTTATAAATATATAAGTATGTTTATCAGCAGTCTGGTTACCATACCATACCAGCACAGGCTCTGCCTAGTATGTGATCAGACGTCATATTAAGTTGTTTTGGTGGTAATTATATATATTATTGTAAAATACTTGCAAAAAAAAACACTCAGAATAATTTAAACAGACATTATAAGTATCCAGTAATAAATATAATTTTTTTTTGAGAGGAAATCAAATTCAGGACCCCCTAGTAAGAGGCTCGCTATTAGTTTGACGTACGTTTAAGAATTTAAACTTTTAAGAGTATCTTACCTTCCCTGCCGATGTCTGTTCTGATTAAGCTGTCATCAATAGATCCTCTTCTATCTAAACTCTTCGATATATCCTTGATTTGTTCCTTCAGTTCTGTAGAAAATGAAAACACCCATTAGACAATAACTTCTCGTACGTAGTCATCAACAGCCTTTAACAGTCCACTGCTGGACATAGGCCTCTCATTAGAAAGGAGGTTTTGGCCTACTATACCACGCTGGCCAGACGGGTTGGTATAGGGTTTGTGTCAAGTTTTCCTTCTTTTTGTAGTGTTGCTGTTGTCCTGCGTAGTTTACTCCCCTAGTCGGCTCTTATGACACCTACGGGATGAATAGGGGTGGTGACAATCTGTATTCTTAATCCGTCACCACACGGACAATTAAATGCATCACTGTCTTTAATTAATTTCGATGTAATGTGATGATGCATTTAAAGTGGTCTAAGAAGGTCTAAATGACGCAATAACTTTGCTTTTAAATTTTCGAAGACTGTTTGAGAAGATGTCTACACCAATTTCATGATTTTTCGTCAGTTGTAGCTATTTCCCGCGTTTGTCCAACTCGGTCACCGTCAAAAGCGAATTGGTGTGAAATAAAATCGACCCTCAAATTTGGTCTGCATCTTGTCTGAGGCTGATCTCCTCCGGCCTGAGACCGACCGTTTGGTTTTAGTACACCACATACTCCTGGCTCCCATGTCCCAAGGAGTCGGAGATCCGAAGGGATTTTTCACCCCGTCACAAAAAAAACTACATGATGCACAGATATCTTAATTGTGAGTTGATTGACTAAGATATTATCCGCCCTAGTTAAAGCAATATAATGATGGGTATACCTGCAATCCTAGCTCCAACCCTGAGCAGTTCAGGGTCGAGGCGGTGCATGGTCTTGAGGATGTCACGCTGCTTGAACTTCACCTCCACTATACCTTCCGCTTCGAGTACTCCACCTCTGCAATAATGCAAAATAAATGTAATTGTTATCCGTAAGAGAGCTATCATCATCATCAGCCTATCGCAGTCCACTGCTGGACATAGGCATCTCCTATTGCACGCCACTTAGATCGATTAACGGTTTCTCGCATCCAGCTCTTGCCAGCCATCTTGCCTAGATCGTTATTCCACCTGGCCTTTGAGCGTCCTTCACTACATTTGCCTAGACGCGGTCTCTACTCAAGAACTCGTTTAATTGTTAAGACAGTTATACTTCCGCCCAAATGGGCCGACTCCAACAGAGTTATACTCGTCGTCATCGATAGTCTTTAACAGTCCACTGCTGGACATAGGCCTCTCCTTAGAAAGGAGGTTTCGGCCTACTATACCACGCGTGCCAGACGGGCTGCATAATATTGCGGTCTAAAAATAAGTGTTACGTAATTCTTTTCTAAATATACATATAAATTACATTTTTAAATACATTTATAATTCATACAAAATTATTTTGAAGCGGCGGTAGCCTAGAGGTTAAGGCATTGGACTTGCGATCAAGAGGTCGTGGGTTCGAATCCTGACCGGTACACTATCAATTTGAACCCACTCCTAGAACAGCTTAGGGGGAGGGGTTAACTGGAATACTAGTAATTTTGGTTGTCATTAGGCTACCGTCGCTTTTTATCGCACCTTAATTGGCAAAGAAGGTATTGCGTGTGTCGTTACCTGGCGTCGGGGTCAGCGTACATCTCCATGCGCTGCGCGTTGACGCTGGGGTCCACCACGGCCCAGGCCCCGCCGCGCAGCTCGGCGCCGGGCGGCACGTACAAAGGTATTGCGTGTGTCGTTACCTGGCGTCGGGGTCAGCGTACATCTCCATGCGCTGCGCGTTGACGCTGGGGTCCACCACGGCCCAGGCCCCGCCGCGCAGCTCGGCGCCGGGCGGCACGTACAAAGGTATTGCGTGTGTCGTTACCTGGCGTCGGGGTCAGCGTACATCTCCATGCGCTGCGCGTTGACGCTGGGGTCCACCACGGCCCAGGCCCCGCCGCGCAGCTCGGCGCCGGGCGGCACGTACAAAGGTATTGCGTGTGTCGTTACCTGGCGTCGGGGTCAGCGTACATCTCCATGCGCTGCGCGTTGACGCTGGGGTCCACCACGGCCCAGGCCCCGCCGCGCAGCTCGGCGCCGGGCGGCACGTACAAAGGTATTGCGTGTGTCGTTACCTGGCGTCGGGGTCAGCGTACATCTCCATGCGCTGCGCGTTGACGCTGGGGTCCACCACGGCCCAGGCCCCGCCGCGCAGCTCGGCGCCGGGCGGCACGTACAAAGGTATTGCGTGTGTCGTTACCTGGCGTCGGGGTCAGCGTACATCTCCATGCGCTGCGCGTTGACGCTGGGGTCCACCACGGCCCAGGCCCCGCCGCGCAGCTCGGCGCCGGGCGGCACGTACAAAGGTATTGCGTGTGTCGTTACCTGGCGTCGGGGTCAGCGTACATCTCCATGCGCTGCGCGTTGACGCTGGGGTCCACCACGGCCCAGGCCCCGCCGCGCAGCTCGGCGCCGGGCGGCACGTACAAAGGTATTGCGTGTGTCGTTACCTGGCGTCGGGGTCAGCGTACATCTCCATGCGCTGCGCGTTGACGCTGGGGTCCACCACGGCCCAGGCCCCGCCGCGCAGCTCGGCGCCGGGCGGCACGTACAAAGGTATTGCGTGTGTCGTTACCTGGCGTCGGGGTCAGCGTACATCTCCATGCGCTGCGCGTTGACGCTGGGGTCCACCACGGCCCAGGCCCCGCCGCGCAGCTCGGCGCCGGGCGGCACGTACAAAGGTATTGCGTGTGTCGTTACCTGGCGTCGGGGTCAGCGTACATCTCCATGCGCTGCGCGTTGACGCTGGGGTCCACCACGGCCCAGGCCCCGCCGCGCAGCTCGGCGCCGGGCGGCACGTACAAAGGTATTGCGTGTGTCGTTACCTGGCGTCGGGGTCAGCGTACATCTCCATGCGCTGCGCGTTGACGCTGGGGTCCACCACGGCCCAGGCCCCGCCGCGCAGCTCGGCGCCGGGCGGCACGTACAAAGGTATTGCGTGTGTCGTTACCTGGCGTCGGGGTCAGCGTACATCTCCATGCGCTGCGCGTTGACGCTGGGGTCCACCACGGCCCAGGCCCCGCCGCGCAGCTCGGCGCCGGGCGGCACGTACAAAGGTATTGCGTGTGTCGTTACCTGGCGTCGGGGTCAGCGTACATCTCCATGCGCTGCGCGTTGACGCTGGGGTCCACCACGGCCCAGGCCCCGCCGCGCAGCTCGGCGCCGGGCGGCACGTACAAAGGTATTGCGTGTGTCGTTACCTGGCGTCGGGGTCAGCGTACATCTCCATGCGCTGCGCGTTGACGCTGGGGTCCACCACGGCCCAGGCCCCGCCGCGCAGCTCGGCGCCGGGCGGCACGTACAAAGGTATTGCGTGTGTCGTTACCTGGCGTCGGGGTCAGCGTACATCTCCATGCGCTGCGCGTTGACGCTGGGGTCCACCACGGCCCAGGCCCCGCCGCGCAGCTCGGCGCCGGGCGGCACGTACAAAGGTATTGCGTGTGTCGTTACCTGGCGTCGGGGTCAGCGTACATCTCCATGCGCTGCGCGTTGACGCTGGGGTCCACCACGGCCCAGGCCCCGCCGCGCAGCTCGGCGCCGGGCGGCACGTACAAAGGTATTGCGTGTGTCGTTACCTGGCGTCGGGGTCAGCGTACATCTCCATGCGCTGCGCGTTGACGCTGGGGTCCACCACGGCCCAGGCCCCGCCGCGCAGCTCGGCGCCGGGCGGCACGTACAAAGGTATTGCGTGTGTCGTTACCTGGCGTCGGGGTCAGCGTACATCTCCATGCGCTGCGCGTTGACGCTGGGGTCCACCACGGCCCAGGCCCCGCCGCGCAGCTCGGCGCCGGGCGGCACGTACAAAGGTATTGCGTGTGTCGTTACCTGGCGTCGGGGTCAGCGTACATCTCCATGCGCTGCGCGTTGACGCTGGGGTCCACCACGGCCCAGGCCCCGCCGCGCAGCTCGGCGCCGGGCGGCACGTACAAAGGTATTGCGTGTGTCGTTACCTGGCGTCGGGGTCAGCGTACATCTCCATGCGCTGCGCGTTGACGCTGGGGTCCACCACGGCCCAGGCCCCGCCGCGCAGCTCGGCGCCGGGCGGCACGTACAAAGGTATTGCGTGTGTCGTTACCTGGCGTCGGGGTCAGCGTACATCTCCATGCGCTGCGCGTTGACGCTGGGGTCCACCACGGCCCAGGCCCCGCCGCGCAGCTCGGCGCCGGGCGGCACGTACACCAGCACCGGCGCGCTCGCCCCGCGCAGCGCGCGCACTATCTCCGCGCCGAACTTCAGCACTTGCTCGTACATGTCTGTGCAGCGAACGATTCATTCATATTCTCACTGTTTTTATTAACTTCAAATGAATTTAATTGAGATTTATTTAACTGAATGCACGAGTTGTACACGGGCGGACTTAACGCCCAAGGCATTCTCTATCAGTCGACCTTCGGGTGATGTAAAAAGAGCGGGCGGAAGTTGACAAAAACAAAATCAGTACAGCCGACCTTAAATAAATGTATAAACATTACCATATTCGAATACTTCCAAAAATGAATTCGGTAACAAAGCAAATTACAATACTAAAGCGAGACGTCACGAGATAGTCAGCTTTAACACTATATGCATAAGATCAGAAATAAATAATCGCAATTTACTGTTTACATTAAAGTGGCTTCTCTGTTCTCGGAAAACAATTATAATAATATAATAATAATAACCTTACACGTCTCACACACGGCCGTCTAATCCCGAACTAGACAGAGCCTGGACTATAGTAACCGGACTGCTGATAAACATACTTATATATTTCTAAATACATACATATCATATATAAATTACACCCAGACACAGAATAAATCATCGCACTAATTACACAATTATTTATCCTGAACGGGAATCAAACCCACGACCTCCGGCTTAGCAGTCAGGGTCACTAACCACTAGACCAACAGGCCTGTCATTCTTATAAGAATTTTGTAGAATAAACTTCTTAGTGGTATAACAAGTAGTATTAGGACAGCCACGTCTTCGTCGGTAAGACAGTTCAGGTTAAGTTACAGTGCGATAAATATCAAAGTGAACAAAGCGAACAGAAGACTAACCCAGCGACCTTAGAGATCATTTTGGACTGTTATTGAGTATTTATTGGACTTATTTAAATATATCAGTAAACAAAGTCTCTTAAGACGTCACAAAATATTTTATGGGAAACTAGCTGGTACCCACGTCTTCGCGACTAATTTGAAAATCGTTGCCTTAGTGCTGTAGTCCGGTACGCGACTGCAATCCACGAGGCCTCGGGTTTAATTCCCGGACCGGGCAAAATTTTCTAGGGTTTTTCTTAGAGAAAAAATAGCCTAAGTTACTCCTTATATAAACAGCTACCTGGTAGTAAAATATTATCAAAATCGGTGCAGCCGTTTCGGAGATTACCCGGCACAAACAGAAAGACAGACAAAAAATATTTTAACTGGTTTTTGGGCATATTTATCACGCAAATAATCGTGTGAGCATGAAAAAACCTATTGTTTTGACATTACAAACAGACACTTAAATTTTTTTTTTTTTTTTAAAGACAACTCCCGCATTAGGAATAAATCCTGTGTCGCGGGAGACTTTACAAACATACATGAAACGGACACAAAGAACACACAGACTCAGAACAACAATTTGTGGATCACACAATGTGTCGTCCCATGTGGGGTTTGAACCCACAGCACTCGGCGTAGTAGGAAGCGGCGTGGCGACCGCTTAAACCACTCCGCCATCCGTGCAGTCAAATTCAAAAAATCAAAAAATAAATTTGTATAGATAACGAACCGTAACACGTAACAATATTGATGACAATGGAAGTCCAAATCCTTCGAAGGTCATCAGTAACTTACCTTTCTGTCCGCCGCTAAAACCACGCCAGTTGGCAAAGATGATGATGGGCAGACCTTCGCGGGAGAAGTCGTTTATTGCTTGTGATGTCTTGTAGGCTGAGTCCGGGAACCAAACCTAGGAATACCACAGTAATGTAAGATTTTTATGATAACACCAATTATAGTAACAAATAATTAAATTGAGGACGTCTGGCAGATGTGAAACATCGTATTTTTTTTTTAACGCATAAGAGACTCTCAGAGTCACTTGCGTATGGCGACGCGTCGCCAAACCGCATTCCATATTATAGTTTTACTATCACAGCGTGGCGACGCATGCCGTGGCGACTCTTTGCCACGCTATACACTTTTATATTCCATAAAAACACTTTTTACTGATTATTACCTGTTGTTTAATTAATTTCATTTCGTTTATTTAACAGTCATGTTTAATTTATTTACCTGTCCGGCCTGCTGCAACGTCTTGGCCTCCGAGTCTAGGTTGGCGGGGTCGGCGGGCTGCGTCACCTCCACGGTCCTCGTCTCCACCGCCACCACTCCCACGGGGATGCCGCCGAGACGGGCGCGACCTGACGACAAACACCAATCGGTTAATTATCTATCGGCCGTCCAAAGTCTTTGTTATAAAGTTTCAAACTGATCAAAAAGAAATCTCATTTTTATAGTTAGGTTGCCCCCAACTATAAAAATCTCTGTTCGTCTGATAATAAGTAACCATGACCGCCCATGGGCATCTTCAAGAGATAAAAGTACGTTGTCAGCCTTTGAGTACTCCCGCCGGAAATGGTAGGCAGGGGAAGGGGGGGGGGGATTCCGGTAACTTCACAGAACACGATGAATGTAACGAAATAATTATTTCCGAGGCCTTGGTATCACCCGAGACGATACAAGGAGCGATACTGCAGATAAAAGTTACCAAGTAACTACAAGTGACGAGCATGTATCAGGGGCACTCACCAGTGATGACAGTCTGCGCCCAGGGCTGCATGACCTCGTCGAAGCTGCCGACGTCGAAGAAGCCTGCCCTGGTGCCGTCACCGGTCAGCATCAGGCGAGGGTCGTGGGCGGCCCGGGGTGGGTACCACTCCACATCGCGGTCGATGGGGTCCGCGCAACGCATTATGGGCACCGTACTCAATTTGTCCTGGGGGAGAGACGAATGGTATAGTTAACCACAGCAGCCCAATCTGGATGGCGTTTTAGTCGGTTGATGAGTGAGTGAGTGTGTGAGTACATGCAGGACCGTACCTTGGGCAGTCAGCTAGCGGAGCATAAATCACATGGTTTCCAAGATGGCGAGGTGAGCAAATGAGTGAATGAGTACTTGAATAAGCGACACGAAGGCGAGTCAACAAAAGGCAAAGCTAACAGTTTCAAGAGCGGTTTTGTGAGAGAATGAGTGAACGAGTACTTAAGTATATGGTACCGTACCTTGATCGGGAAGGCGAGCAACCGGAGTGAAAAACTGATCGGTATCAAGGTGAGTGAGTGAATGAATGAGCGAGTACTTAAGAACATGCGGTATCGTGCCATGGACAGGAAGGTGAGCAAGAGGAGCGCAAACTAAACGGTTTTGAAGTCGGTTTGGTGACTGAATGAGTGAGCGAATACTTGAGAAAATTGGGTACCGTATCTTGGGCACAGTTTTACCCAATTCAATTCTTTATTAATAAAATATAAGCATCACAGTGTCTTAAATCTCTTATATCTATGCTAATTTTAACAAAAATAACTAAGTACATACTATTAAAATTGTAAAACTCAGACCATCAAAAAGAAACAACATAAAATTTGTAAACAAAAACAACCGTACATCAACTTAGGAACTATAAAATTACTCTTCAAAATTTAGATAAGTATCAATATGGTTTAAATTTATGCTTTGGGAGTCAAAAAATATATCTGCATCTGGACCACACTGAAGAAACTCATTGATAAGCCTAATCGCTATAGCAGTGGGGCTATTGTCAGCCTGGGGAGAGTGCCACGTAGGCGGACAGCACAGGAGTCTATGTTGTCGTCTTCCAACGGCATGCATATTTTGCGAACCACCGGAGCACAATTACATGAGTTGGGTATATAGACGCACACGGTTTCAAGGTCGGTTTGTTGAGGGAATGAGTGAGCGAGTACACGTGTACATGCGGTACCGTACCTTGGGTACGAAGGCGAGCCAGCGCAGAGCTGTTCGTACTGCCTCCAGGTCAGTGGGCGCCACGGAATGAGACACCCCGTTGTGGTGCATGACGTTCACTCCGCCGAGCTGGTTGTTGCTGGAGTACACCGCGCGGCCCAGAACCTTGTTCAACGCCGCGTAACCCGTCAGAATTATGTATGAAGACTCCACTTGGATCACGCGGTGACCGAGCCTGCAATACGATGGTAAGTAGAAATATTTGCTGATATTAAATGGTGTCGAACTGGTGGTGGAACTAATACCTGATAATAAATAATAATTTACAACTCAAGAACGCCTGAACCGATTTGATGAACACGATCATTTGTTCTGTGTTTGGGTGTAATTCATTTATTTATATATGCTGAGGAGTATGTTTGAAGAAAAATGAATGACAGTCCAATACGGTACAAAACGTAAGTTATAAATTAGTTCATCAACAGCCTATAATAGTCCACTGCTGGACATAGGCCTCTACGTAGCAAGGAGGTTTTGGCCTACTACACCACGCTGGCCCGACGGGTTGGTATAGGGTTTGTTTCAAGTTTTCCTTCTCTTTGCAGTGCCGTTGTCCTGCGTAGTTTGCTCCCTTAGTGGTCTCTTACGACACCCACGTGATGAATAGGGGTGGTGACATTCCGTATTCTTAATCCGTCACCACACGGACTTATTGCCGAGATAAATTAGTTACAATATATTAAACTGTTTAACGTATATAATGTCGTGTGGCTATCGAGAACGGTTTTTTTTTTATATAAAAAGGCTTACTATAGTCCATCAACGTCGTGCGCGACCGTCCTGCGGGGTGACAGACGGTAGCGGGGACGAGGTACTCAAGATGTCAGCGGGTAGCGGGTGGTGTAGCGGGGAAGGGAATCGTGTGTAGCCGTGTGCTAGAATGACGCGCTACCTCGCCCCCGCCACCGTCTGTCACCCCGCGGGACGGTCGCGCACGAGATTGCCGGGTTATAACAACCGTAAGTACTAGTGTTCCCGTTAACCCCTCCAGCCAAGCTAAATTGCTTGTGTTAGGAGTGGGTTCACGTCGGTAGTGCACTGGTTAGGATTCGAACCCACGACCTCTTGATTGCAAGTCCAGTGCCTTAACCACTAGGCTACCGGCGCTTGATCTTGATTAATCGGGGAGTGGAACCGTTTCCTTACCCATCATACTTGTTAAAGCTCGTAGCCTTAAGTTAAGTTCATCATCAGTGACTACAGTACAGGCTCTGATCAGCTTGGGATCAGACAGACATTAATACACACCGAACCACATATGCACCAATACCGATGGCTCTGCAGGTGACGATGGAAATGGTGACGATGTCTTCGTACGCTTGGGCCGTCTCTCCGGCGATGAGACCAGCGTCCCTCAGACACTCCACACCCAGACCGTCTTCCTTACCTGTAATATAAATGAGTTTGGTTAAAAATTTCTTTTTATTAAATTTCTTCTAAACTTTAATTAGAATGTCCAAAAGACTGCATGGATGGCGTAGTGGTTTAAGCGGTCACCTCGCCTGTTTATTACTGTGGTCGGGGTTGTGGATTCGATTCCTGGGACAACACTTTGTGTGATCTACAAAATATTGTTCTGAATCTGGGTATTCTTTGTGTGCGTTTCATGTTTGTAAAGTCCTCCGCGACACAGGATATGTATCTTAGTACGGGAGTTGACTTTTAAAAAAAAGAAAGAGGGAGACGGATGGTACGTCTTGGCATATAGAGGGGATAAAGATTGTACGAAAAGGATCACGTAGTTTAGGTCCGTTCTAGGCATGGGATAAAATCACAATCACCTGTGATTAACCAGATGCTATTATTTCAAAATCATACTATCGCACTGTGATCCTGCGACTTATTATTCGCGCCAAACTCGCGAATTGTGTAAATCTAAAAAACAAAATGGTGGACTGTCTATTACAAAATTAACACAGTTGAAATCACAGTGATAATAAGAAATAATTTCATAAAGTGATTATGATTGAAAAATAGCAATAATTTAAATGTCTAGTACGTTCCCTTATCAACAAAACGAAACAAAAATAAACAGAGATCAAGAAACTCACCAATAATATCAGTAATCTTATATCTGGACTCTCCTTCCTCCTCGATCAGCTGCGTCTTCACCGACCCGTGGGGTAATAGCTTGGTGTAGCACTCGGGGGTCAGGTACAGGTATTTGAACCCACGCTCCGGCCGTTCTGAGTCAATCCAGGCCACGTTGAACTCCGCCTTGACTTCCTCAGCGACACCGATACGCGCGCCGGAGTTTACACTTATGTACACCTGTTGGAAGAAAGATACATGCTTAATTTTATGAGATTCTCCCAGAAGTGTGGCCAAGAAAGTGTTAGGTATAGGAGTTTTTTTTTTTCTTTTAAAAAGACAACTCCCGCATTAGGAATATATATCCTGTGTCGCGGGGGACTTCACAAACATACATAAAACGGACACAAAGAACACCCAGACTCAGAACAACAATTTGTGGATCACACAAAGTGTCGTCCCATGTGGGGTTTGAACCCACAACACTTGGCGTGGCGACCGCTTAAACCACTCCGCCAGCCGTGCAGTCTAGGTGAAGGGTATAAGAGAAGAGGAACGCCAAAGAAAAGGTGGGTGGACTGTGTGGATGGATGGTGGATAGATGGCTAGGAAGGGAGTAAACAGTGAGATGACGAATGATAGAGAAGAATGAAAGAATCATACTTACTGCGCCGACGTCAAATAAAATTGGGATAAGGGTAGGATAGGGGATGGTCTCCCAGTGGTCAAAATTCGACCGTAATGACTTTTATTAAAATAGGAGGGGAGGGGGGGAAACAAACAGACTTGTCACCTGATGGTAAGTGACTGCCGTCGTCCATGGAACCTGTGACTCAAGAATCACAAGTGCTTTGCAGCCCTTTGTACCAGAATTAGGGTTACCAGAGCCAAAACGCCCCCCTCACTTTTTTTTTGGTTTAGGCTAAGGCACTTTCAATAGGGTAGATTCCTAGGTTCAAAATAAATTATTTCGCCCGCATCATTAAATGTCTCGGCAGTTATATTTCATCGAAATCTGCTGTTAGTATCCACCGCTGATCGGGGATAATCGGCTTTCGTCGTGAGCGACCCCGCCACCAGCACCGCTGGCCCGCTCCAGTCCCAGGCCGCAATATTTTTATTCATTTGATATCTTGATATCCACATTAAATATAAATCATTTGACAATAGCGAGGTATGACGTCACGAAATAGTATTTCATACATAAACGCGTTTTGACGTTTAAAAAAAGATTCTGATTTGACTTGTCAGTCATCTACCCTATTAAAAAGAAAAATAAAGTTAATGTCCATCCAACCATATTTAAATTAAACTTACCCTGGGTATCTTCAGTTTCCTGGCGTACTGTGAGGCTCTGTAAAAGACCCAATCTTCTTGTGGTCCGAAAGACCCCATGTAGTAGGTAAGGTCATTTGCTATGAGGATGACATCACGGCCTTCTGGACACTCCGGCGTGTAGAGGGTTAAACGCCACGCTACCATGCCCACCTGAAGACATTCATTAAGAATATGTCCTTTTTTATTCGTACATTATGGATCTTAAGGGTTTTTTAGCAACCAAAAACACCTCAGGATTGAAAGAGAGTTCAAATTAAAAGGAGAATTTAACTCATATCACTTCACAATGATTAATCTACACTAATATTATAAAGCTGAAGAGTTTGTTTGTTTGTTTGAACGCGCTAATCTCAGGAACTACTGGTCCGATTTGAAAAATTCTTTCAGTGTTAGATAGCCCATTTATCGAGGAAGGCTATAGGCTAAATATCATCACGCTAAGACCAATAGGAGCGGAGCATCAATGAAGAATGTTTCAAAAACGGAGAAAATTTATTACTATTGAGAGACGCAGATGAAGTTGCGCGGGTCAGCTAGTGTGTAAAGGAAATTAAACTTAATGTATGCTCACAGTATTCTGTCCAGGTAATCTAGTCACCTCCATAACTTGTCTCTCACCGTCTGGCTCTACAACCAGTTCGACCAGAGACATCACGATATCCGGCTGCGGTCCTGATAAGGAACAAAAGTAAAATAAAGTAAAGTTAAGTTAATTAAATTAGGAATCCAAGACATGTGACCAACATAGGGACAATTCGGACGACTTTAAATCGATAAATGACGGTGTACCATAGAAAACAAAAAAGCACTAGTACAAAAGTTCCACTGAGTTTATACATTTAAATAAATAGCGACCCTGGCTTTTACAAAATAAAGATCAATTCAGGTTGCAGTGTGACTCAAGTGATGTTCTTATTTGGAAGTCTGCAAAACATGAGATTCTTAATTCAAATCCAGTTTTAGAAGGTACAAGTACACAGCGGAGTTAACATCGTCATGTAGTTTCATAACAACAGTGTGAAGTGAGCCTGTCCTAGTAGTAACCTCGGTAACGTAATCTAAATGTAATGAACATGTCTCACCATCAACGGTGCCCTCCTCAATGCACTCCCTCCATCTCCTCTCGACCATCTGTCTGAACATGTCCGGTATGTCGTACACGTACGTCGTACCTTGCGATGTGGCCTGTGACAGTTATTATTTTCTAATAAAACTAATAATTATGTTGTTTGTATCAATAGACAAATAAGTGTCTTGTATTTGGGTTTTTGCTTGAAAATCGAAGGTGTCCTGAAATCCTAACTCCTAACTATAGTTCATTAAATTTAAGAAAATAGTGACGCATGGAACAAGCCCCGCTTTCGTGCGAAACGATAATTTCTTGGAACCTGATTGGTCAGGGGGCCATATTATATCAGTAACGAGATTTTTGTCAGGATAGGAATGGTATGCGACGCTGTCCCTTTTCTGATAATGGGACTTGTTATATGGTATGGTACCCATTACTCAAGCTCCCTCGCCCTATAAGTGTTCCTCACCCCAATTTATCTTTCTCCTATATCTCGGCTGAAGCACAAATTCCTAAACTAAAACTTGGAAGAGCGGCAGGAAGTTGATGATGTCAATAAGAACTTTCGAATGTCAGTTCTGAGTTTGAGCTCATGTAGAATAATAAATTTACCAAGAACCGCTTCTGCTGCAAATAATCCTTGGTGACGTAGGGCGTGGAGATCGGTAGACCGTGCATCGGCCCTTGCCTCGGTCCGTACGATTGGAACATTATCTGTTAAACAAATTTTTGTACTTTAAAGTAAGACTATTTTACTTCTGGTCACATGGCGGCCTTCGAGGCCACCCTCTCCAGAATTAGAAAAAAGGTTAGAGCTCTAGTAACCTCACTTAATAAAAAGCAATTAAAAATGTGCTTAACACCGGTTTTTGTGAGGCTGTGGTACCACTTCAGTGAAGCCCATATATGCTAAGGTTAAGGGACACGATAAGGCACATTTCGTTACATGAGAGAGAAGGAAAATACAACGTAGAAAGAATTAGAAAGAGAAAAACGCGTACAAATTTTAATACGTGTACGTTGCTGCGCGTGCGTGTACGCGTAACATTTTTTCTAATCTTGTTCTAAAGATAACTTACCACTCCAGTTCTCGGATCAGAAATTTCTTCATAAGTATAAATGTCCAGTGTATATCCCGACCCATTTGATAGACATAGTCTGACATTCTTAGTAGGAGCTCCAGGACCTATAATAATTTAAAACTTTAAGGTTATCTGAATAAGGGTGATAATAAAATCACACCAAAGCCTTCGGCGGCTAACTTGCCTTGCTGAGAGGCAGCGAGACTTGTCCGCCGCGACGCACTGGTATGTTGGGACCCTATTAAACAATATATTTATTTAAAAATTTCAAATAACAATTTAGTTATGCCAATTCTGATATTGTAGTTATTTTAATCTCACTGAAACTTATTATTATTTGGTTCAATAAACCTTGAAAGTAGATTCAAGGACCATAAATAGATCCGACTGATTTAACGTTACAGTTTACCTCTCGAACCGCTAATACCATCTCACTGAGTAGTATCATACGCGAGCGTCCCGTGCAACGTGCGTCCTTCCTACACTACACGCGACAGTTACGAATTCAGGAAATGGGCAGATGGGTCACGTTGATACTACCGCCGCCCATGATAAATGATATTTATTTTTGTAAGTAAATCTTTTCAGATATTTTTATAAGTCAGACTTTACAGTTAGAAGGCTCCGGCATTTCCTAAGACTCATTCTGGGAATAAACGCCGAAACAAACCACAGAGAGTCTTTTATTTTTTAGTCCGCGAACAATGTTAAAGAGAATTATGCGAGTGCAGTATAGGGTCTGGGTTTGCCTTATTAACATGAACTCTCAACTCAATAATCACAGGTGTCAAGCGTGGACGCACTTTAGTTTATAGGACGGGAACACCGTGGATCCCACACACGAGAGAGTCATCTACATGCCGTAGATGGGCCGGGGTAAGTCAGGGTACCAGGGATTTCCTTCCTAGGGTACACCTGGTTCCCCGGCTACTCGTACCTGAGATGGCGTGCGGATTTTAGTCAGTTAGATTCCGATATAACCAACGGTGGGTGGTATCCAAAGGGTATTTCCGGACAGAAAAAAAAGGTGTGATGGCGGCTTTTGAGTGAATCTCACTCGGTGAAAAGCAAAGAATTGTTTAACAGTGGTTTCATGTGGTATCAGTCTTTTTTTTAAAAGACAACTCCCGCACTAGGAACATAATCCTGTGTCGCGGGTGACTTTTTAAACATACATGAAACGGACACAAATAACATCCAGACTAAGAACAACAATTTGTTGATCACACAAAGTGTTGCACTCTACGCCATCCTAGTCCACTCTGGTCGAGCCAGTCCACTTCTGCCGAAGCTCTCTCACGGTGTGCACGGCATGGTTTCAGAGATACAAAAATGTCATGGGGTAACTTTATCCAGAAATAAAGATCTGTTCCCGTGGGACATACGAATTTATTAATAACTAGCTAGTACCTGCGACTTCGTTCGCGTGGTACCAGCTAGTGTCGTAGTACGGTACGGTACGGTGAGGTCTTGGTTTGATTCCCTGACCGGGCAAAATTTTGTAAGGTTTTTCTGGGAGAAAAATAGCCTAAGTTACTCCTTATATAGACAGCTACCTGGTAGTAAAATATTATCAAAATCTGTCCAGCCGTTTTTAAGATTACCTGGAACAAACAGACAGATAGACAGACAGACCGACAAAAAATATTTAAACTGGTTTTTAGGTGTACTGTACAAATAACGGTGCGAGCAAGAAAAAAAACCTATCATTTTGACATTACAAACTGACACTTCAATTTCATTTATTTGTATGGATATTTAATAATACCTACATTAAAGCGAGAGAAGTCGTTAGCTTTATAATATCACGCTTAGACCCAGAGGTAGTTGCCAAGCACAGCCAGCAGTTGTATTATTTGTATTATCTAAAAGTATTTATAATTCGCATTAACAAAATAGTGACGTTATGATCAAGCCCCGCCCCCTGACCAAGATTCCAAGTTATCGTACGAAACGATAACTTTTTGGAACCTGATTGGTCAGGGGGCGGGGCTTCATCGTAACGTCACTATTTTCTTAATGCGAATGGATTATAAGGACTAGGTATATTAGTAATTATGTATTTTGTTTTAGCTGAATTCTAAGCGTTTATAGATATTTTTGTATATTAGCAAATGAAGAGAATTCTTTATACCCCTTTTCAAAGCAAATTTCACTTACAAAGATATGTGAAATTAGAAATACTTAAAAATATAATTGGTAGAAGATGTGCAAAGATGTTGTTTATATCTTGGTCATTTAAAACACAGGCGTCCAGTATATGTTGACCTGCCATGTTATGGAATAGTAGTATAGAATAGTATTTAAAGCGGCGATAGCCTAGTGGTTAAGGCGTTGGTCTTGCGATCAAGAGGTCGTGGGTTCTAATCCTGACCAGTACAGTACCGACGTAAACCCACTCTTAACACAAGCAATTTAGCTTAGCGGGAATACTAGTAATTTCGGTTGCTAGTAGACCTTTTAAAATAATTAGTAGTGCAAGTTATATTGGCTTCAAGATTTTAATTATAATAACCTATCTGCGGCAGAGAAGAGACGTGAGATTAAAAGTAGTCCACAATACCAGAATCAGCTTTTCTTATAATAAAAGTAATAAGCCAAAAGAAGCGTAAGAAGAGAAGAGAACAGAAGAAGAAGAGAGAAGTGCGGTATATAAAAATAAGTGTGCATTATGATTTATTTTATTGTGATTTGTGTCGGAACAGAAGTGATTAATAAACTTTGATAATTAAACTAAATACATTTCCAGTTTCTTAAACAAAATTTCATCATTAAAAAAATGTATTACCGACTTTAATCACATCAACATCAACAGCCTTTAATAGTCCACTGCTGGACATAGGCCTCTCCTTAGAAAGTCCTCCTGTTTTGGCCTACTATACCACGCTGGCCAGACGGGTTGGTAAAGGGTTTATGTCAAGTTTGCCTTCTCTCTGCAGTGCTGTAGTTCTGCGTAGTTTTTTCCCTTAGTCGTCTCTTACGACACCCACGGGATGAATAGGGGCGGTGACACTGTATTCTTAATCCGTCACCACACGGACCGACTTTAATGCGACTATGTAATGATGAACTGTAATAAATCGTATCCTTAATTCATTGTTTCCATCTTTAAGTGGTAGTTTAACAAGTTATGATTGCGAAAGAGACGGCGGAGGGGGACCGGGAGAGATTTAGAACTCTCCCGTTCCGTCAGGCCCGGGAACGGGCCAGGTACCGCTGGAGACTCAGGCGCAGGAGGTCGCAAAACGAAATAAAATGGTATCAAACGGAAAGTCCGTGTGGTGACGGAGTAACAATACGGAATGTCACCACCCCTGTACATCCCGTGGGTGTTGTAAGACTAAGGGAGCGAACTACGCAGGACAATAGCACTGCAAAAAGAAGGTAAACTTGACAGAAACCTTATACCAACCCGTCTGGCCAGTGTGGTATAGTAGGCCAAAACCTCCTTTCTAAGGAAAGGCTTATGTCTAACAGTAGACTATTAAAGGCTATTGCAGAGGAGGATACTCAAACTTAGGGACGGCAACCACGAATTAAAAATACAGCTTATCAAAATTTATACTTTATAGTTTTTTTTAATACCTTTAACCATAGACAAAGAAAAAAGCATTAATAAAATGGCGCCAACACAATGTTAGTTGAAAACATATTTAAAAACAAACGTTTTATGGTAGCCACTTACCCATCCGTAGAGTGAACCTGATCTCTGCCTGTAAGACCCTCAACTTCCATAGGCGAGGGCCATACCTCATCACCATGCCAAGAACCGATTCCTCAATCTGTATTTAATAGAAAGTTTAATGTTTATTGCCGAGGCGTACAGTGGTCGTGGGTTCGATTCCCAACCAGGACAATAATTGTGTAATGAGTATCCCTTCCAGGATACAAAAATGTATGTATATCTTGTTACTGTATGTTAATATACCTTAGCCGGGTCCATGATGACCGTGGGTCCGAAGTTCAAAAATATGTGGTTACAGTCGGTCCTCTTGGCCAGTGGATGGGAGAATGCCACCTCCAATTCATCCATGGCTTCTAACAACACCCTGCAAATTGACAATTTTATCAAACCAAATCACGTTTTTTTATTTGCATGGATACCAACATGTGACGTCACACCTTGCTATTGTCACTTTTTAATATTCAGTTTACAATTAATTGATAATACACCTAATTTTTTTAATTATATATTTGAACTGGAGTAAGGTATTCTATTCCTTAAAATCCTTAAAATTATACAGGAAAAACATTTATTGAGTATTCCCTACTATTTAAGGCGGTTAAAGATACGACACTTTCATATCCAAGACCAGTTGACCCGCGCAATATCGTCTGCGACTACCAAAAGAAATAGATTTTCCACCTTTTCGCAACATTTTTCACTGATGCACAGAGCTTTGCTCAATAAATAGGCTATCCAACACTAAAAGATTTTTTCAATTCCAACCAATAGTTCTTAAGTTTAGCGCGTTCAACCAAACAAACCAACAATCTCTTCAGGTTTATAATATTAGCAAAGATGGAGATTTTCTATTTAATTTAAGATTATTTATTTTCTTAATAATAATAGATAATTTAAGTGTTACCTTTCTCCCTCATTCTGCAAGTATTCAAAGCTAGCCTCTTTGGTGATAAGATCCTGGTGTCTGATGATGGAACGGATGAAGAACCTGTAGTCTGTCACTTCCTGTCCCTTCTTTACCTGCAAACAAACAAATTTACTGATTAAAGAATCTTAGCAGTGTTACGCGGAAAGGCGCTTCACAGTTTGAAAAGGGGCCCGTACGGTACGGGTAAGGGTACGGTCCGAAAGTAGAGAGATATACCCTATAATTTATACATTTTTTTTTGGTAATTTTTAGGCCAACGAGCAGACGGGTCCCTGACTCAAGTCACAAGCGCGTTGCAACCTTTCGGTAAGTTACAACTTACAAGTGCATAAAACCATTGATCCTTAAGAAATGTGTTACGCGATATCCTAAAAAAAAACAATTTTAATTATCTTTTAATGATACTAACAATGTAGATTACACTTTATTCGAAAAGAGCGAGATTACCATAGAGGATATTGACTAAGTGACACATATCTAAGCTTGCCCCCCCCCCCCCTCCACTCTTAGGACCAAATGTTAGAGAGAGGTCCCCTGATAGAAAGTGACTACCGCCGCCCATGAGCGCCTGCAACTTAGGAGTCACAAGCGCATTGACGGTCTTTGAGGAAATCTGCAGATACCGCAGGTCTGGAAATACTGCAGACAATAACTTGTTCCACAGATTGGTATGTTAAGAAGGGGCTCTCGTATGATAAGTAGGGTTCGAATCCACAGCCACTTAATCACAAGTCTTTCTTACAGTTATTACATATCCGTGGGTTTACGAAGATTACCTTAGCCTTGCCGAGATACAGATGCATCTTCTGGTTGCTGGTGGGCAGTGCCTCTAGCTCGTAACTCCTCATGCGGTACAGCTCCAGCTGGAAGGCGGAAGCTGGCTCCAAGTGTCGGTATATCGTGTCTTCTTTGAAGTCGTTCCTAGCTCGGTACGTGAAGAATTTCGGGAACTGACGTCTGTGAATAAAATTGTTTGTATAAATCAATTGTTAGGCCTGTTGGTCTAGTGGTTAGTGACCCTGACTGCTAATCAGAGATCGTGAGTTCGATAGACATGTGACATGATAGATAATGAGGGTTTTCTGAAATGTTCTACGTGAGATGGCAGCACTGTAGCGTCAGGTCCAACCACCTATCGAAACACATACACGATTTGTATTTTTCGATCATTTTTTGGTTTATTCATTCTTAAAAACGTTACAAAAGGAATACTGATTTCTAAAATTCCACAGTATTGTGCAGTGCCTATGTGTGGAAATAAAACTTTTGCGCCTCTCTTTTCGAGCTCAATCTTCAGTTCGGCAACCTTTCTCTGGCCGTAATCTATAATAAACTCAATAACACTTCCAAATTCATAGAATTTCACTAAAATATTATACGTTCGGTAACAATCTGTGCTATCTGACAGCTGTTTGGACCTGACGCATACGAAGCGCCGTCTGGTGGCAAAAAAGTATCCAAGACCCTCATTGCGTGATGAGCACGATCATTTGTTCTGTGTCTGGGTGTAATTAATATTATTAACATGAAAGTATTTAGAAATATGTAAATTTAAACTCAAACGATCTTTTTTTTAAAAAAAAAAATTATAGGTAGACTCTAAAGTCTTAGGTCAGCACAAAACAGCAACAATCTCTGTTTTGTCAAATTTGTTTTTTTTGTTTGTGACACCTGAGTTGCAGACGTTCATGGGTGACGATAGTCACTTTCCATCAGGTGACCCGTCTGTCGTTTGCCCCCTCTAACATAAAAAAAAAAGAAAAAAAAATAGGATTTTTTCTTTGATACAAATTATGCTTATACAATATCTATGATATGCCTGTGCCGCCCGTTGCCAAAAAGTTCAGCCATATGAGAAGAAAGGGCAAACAAACTGATGGCCTTGTATATAAGTATGTTTATCAGTAAGCTGGTTACTATAGTCCAAGCTCTGCCTAGTCAACCGACCACGTATATTGTAAATACATATATATCTATAAGTGTCTGTTTGTAATGTCAAAATATTAGGTTTTTTTCATGCTCACACGGTACCTATGCCTAAAAACTAGTTTTAATATTTTTTGTCTGTCTGTTTTTCCATGTAATCTTCAAAACGGCTGGACCTGGATGGCTAGACCAGCCATCTAAGGAGTAACTTTGGCTATTTTTTTCTTTTAGAAAAACCCTATAAAATTTTGCCCGGTCCGGGCATCGAACCCAATGAGGCAGCGCTTTTCAAATTCCATGCTAAAGAAGTCGCAAGCACAAGTTATAGATAAATTATAAATAACTTATTATTAAGTCTTTCATAGCTTTGAATGGACCGAACTATGTTTGGCAAAAGGTGGTGTGTAATACAGCTTTGCCTATCCCACCGAAGATAAAGGAGTATTTAGATTCATGGGGCTGATCTACCCGAAGTCCTTCTTAGATAAGTCTATCAGGCCAAAAGCGAGTACTAACTTGATGAGCAACATGAAGGTGATCCTCCGTATCCTCTTCTGATGCAGCTCGTGCCGGTGGAGGCGGCAGAAGTTCCCGAAGCGTCGCGACACGGCGCTGTCGTTGCTCTCGCCGCTGTCGCGCACGCCGATCATCAGGATGTGGATCGGCTCCAGGGGCTGACCGACACATTCATTCATAAGTAAAATTAAAAAGCAATAGCACTAACTCAAATTTGTTACTTTAGTTTAGTTTAAATTTAATTAATGTAACTACAATATCGCATTGGAAAAAACCTGTAAAAATATTGTAAGAAAATAAATAAATATTAAATAGTAACTCTGTATAATAAACTGCCTCTTGGTGCAGTGGTAGCGTATGCGACTGCCGTGTGAGGTCTTGGGTTCGATTCCCGGGTCGGACCAAATGTTTGTAAGGTACGTAAATATTTGTTTCGGAGTTTGCGTGTTTTCTATGTATCATATAGTATGTATTTACAAAAATAATAATAATAATAATAATAAAAATTACAAATTGCACAGTAGAATATGGTTGATAATGGCTGCTATAGTTAAAAAAAGTATTTAAGTATTTTATTATGAACTGTTTGTATAATGTCCAAATCTGAACTAAATCAGTGCAGAACTTTTTGAGTTTTGGAAGCGTACACAAACCAACAATATTTATTTTAGATATATTTATATATTGAAAAAAAAAAATTTTGAGGTGGACCACCCTTATCATTTAGGGGTAAGAAAAATAGTTTAGTCCTATTCTCAGACCTACTGAATATACAAACAAAATTTCATACGAATCGGTAAAGCAGTTTCGGAGGAGTTTTGTGACAAACACTTTAACAAGAGAATTTTATATATTAAAAGAAAAGATTAGTTAGGCTAAAGATCGTACCACATCTTCTGAGTCCACAGGCTTGTAGTCAAGCCCAACATTGATACTGGTGCTGTCCCGACTCTCGCTGCCTTCCTGCAGAGCTGCCAGGTCCTGTAATAGAATGTGTAACATTAATTTTTTGACAGCTGTTTTATATTTCATCTATACAAATAAATAAAATTGGAGTGTCTGTTTGTAATATTAAAATAACCGCTTTTTACTAAATGCATATGTATGTTTACACGGTACATATGCCAAAATAACATTTTTTACAACTTTTGTCTGTCTGTTTGTTCCGGGTAATCTCTGGAACGATTTCGACGGGACTTTCACTGGCAGATAGCTGATGACATAAAGAGTAACTTAGGCTACTTTTTTTAGACTAGCTTCGCCCCGCGGCGTTGCCCGCGGTTATAACAACAAACGCGGGTAACACCGCGGGTCTCGGCTAGTTTATACTAAATGCTTTCGGTTCCGTAGTTTCTGACACGAGATTTTTAAATTTAAGATGGATAGCGGAATGTAACTCACCTCTCTCCTGACAGTAGCCGTGCTGGCGAAATCATGGACCAAGTCTAAAAGCTCATCAGAATACTGTACGAACTGGTCGAAGGACTCAAAGGAGGCCAGAGCACCGGTTCTGTGGTGACATTTCCTCATGGCTGCGGTGCAAAGCTCAGCTGGTATACCTTCCTGATCTTCAGCTGCTGAAAGCTCGATCTCTGATTGGCTGATTGGGATCCTGGAAAGCAGTTGATTATGTTATAAGACATTTATAAATTTGAAGGGACCAAACTACGCAACTTTACCAACCGGTCTGACGAGAGTGGTCAGGACAAAACCTCTTTTTTAAGGAGAGGCCTATGCCCAGCAGTGGATTATTGTGTTGATGTGTGATGTGACTCTTCTTTAAGTGGTATTCGGGGAACAAGCAGACTGGTCACCTGGACGGTAAGTGACTACCGTTTATCGCTGAGTGAGTAAGGACAACGGAGCCTCATCATCATCAACAGCCTTTAATAGTCCACTGCTGTACATAAACCTCTCCTTACGGACTCACTCCTCTCCGCCTCTCCAACGGAGCCTAATCTGGCTCAATTCCAAGAAGGATAGCGGAGGAGTCACTAACGGACCAACAACACACTTATGTCTCTGAGTTGCATTTGTCCATGGGTGGTGGTGGTCATTTACCATCACGTGACCCGTCTGCGTCCTTTATTACAAAAAAAATCAAGCGAGCTTTACAGCGAACATAATAATAATAATATTCTACCACATTCACACAACGCCATCTAGTCCCAAACTAAGCAGAGCTTGTACTATGGGTACTAGACAACTGATATAAATACATATATACTTTTTTTTTTTAAAAACAAACATATTATACATAGAAACACCCAGACCAAATCAAACATTAAATGGTAATGCACACAAATGTTTGACTTGAGCGGGAATCGAACCCGCGACCTTTGGAATAGCAGTCCGTTACGCAAACCACTACGCCATTCGGTCATCAAATAATAATGTGATGGGTAACATCTGATATCTACCACCGGATGGACGTGGCTTTTGGTCTAGTAGTTAGTGACCCTGACCCTCCCACATGAAATCAAATAATTGTGTGATGAGCACGATCATTTATTCTGTGTCTGGGTGACATTTATCTATAATATGTATGTATTTAGAAATATATAAGTATGTTTATCAGCAGTCTGGTTGCCATAGTACAGGCTCTGCCTAGTTTAGTCAGATAACGGTGTGAAAAAAAAACTGTTCCCGTCTGCTCGTTTGAAGGGTTTATGCTATAAAAAACTGCGTGCGCGCGTCAAATATAATATTTTCACACATCTGAGACACAGCGCCATCTAGTTTCAAACTAAGCAGAACTTGTACTACTGAAAGCTAGATTGACTGATACAATACTTATATACTGTTTTTGTAAATACGCACGCACGGGTGCAAATACCTTTGAAATTCTCGTATTTTCTCTAATACATTATGCATATAAACCTTCCTCTTGAGTCACTCTCTCTATCAATGAAAACCGCATTAAAATATGTTGCGTAGTTAGAAAGATCTAAGCGATGGTCGACTTGGGAAGCAATTTCATTTTATACTATGTAAAGATAGAAAACACTGAAACTCCGAAACAAATATTTGCAGATCATACAAACATTTGGTACCGAACCCGAGACCTCAGCACAGCAGTCGAATACGCTACCACTGCGCCACCGAGACAAATCAAACCTTCCCCAGCTTCGTGTTACACCCTTCCGTCCCTTTCCACGAAATCACTCCAAACGATAGCAGAAAAGCGAGATAACAGTTACGTTACGTTACGTTACACATTAAAAAGTATGTTATATAAAAACACTTGCCTGTTAGGATGTCCGGTGGGCAGTACAAATTGGAAATGTACAACTCCGAGCTCGCCAGACAGCGCCAGGTGCTGGAGGCACGTGATGTCGTACGACGTGTACGCACGACGGACGTACACCTCCAACGCTGCGTTACACACCTGGGGGACAGAACCATTCATATTTAAACACTGACTAGTGTGACTGCACGGATGGCGCAGTGGTTTAAGCGGTCGCCATGCCGATCCCTACAGAGTTGTGGACTCGATCCCGACATGGGACAACACTTTGTGTGATACACAGGATATATACCTAGTGCGGGAGTTGTCTTTTTAAAAGGGAAAAAAGTATTACAGAATGTAGTGTCATGGCAGATATCCCTTAAGTTATAACAACCCTTGGGTATGAAATGAAGAATACAGTTTGAGACGCTGGCCAGACGGGTTGGTATGGGGTTTGTGTCGAGTTTTACTTCTCTTTGCAGTGCTGTTGTTCTGTTTGTATTTATAATAGTAGTAAAATAGTGACACGTAGGCTAATGCAAATAATTATCATAATAATATATAAAAGAATAACGAACAGGAATTTAAACCCCCCCCCCCCCCCCCTCCAACCCGTCTGATAATGCAGTCGATTATACTCACAGCTGCATTGGTGTGATAAAAGAAGTCGTGTAATATATCAAAGATGCTGGTCTCCGACAAGATGAGTTTCTGCAAGTTCTCTGGATGGAAGTCGTGGCCGTACATGTCCACTGCCGACAAGAAGATAGACTCCATTTGATTGTGGCGCAGCTCGTAAGCTGGTTGGTGGGCGGCGATCAGAACCTGAGATAGAGAAAAAAATACTTAAGTAACTTAAGTTAAACAAAAAAATAATCTAAAACCTATTGAAGTTTTGTCTGAGCGTTTTAGAGATTAAATAGGAAAATTGGGAGTAGTAAGTAGTAGATAAAACGGAAAAGCGACGGTAAATAAATCCTTTTAAAAAAAGTTGAACAGACTTCAAACAATACTAACACAAACACTCAAAACCTAGCAGCAATCTCGGTTGATTTCCTGACATTTTTTGAAGAGTTCCGTTGTCTGTCTCGAAACTCGTCATCAGATCTATATGAAATTTAAATGGGATCTATATGAAATTTTGTATAGGCCCTAATTTTATAGATTTTTACATGCTTAATTATAAGGCAGAATGTACACGGATCAATGAAAACTATTCCATCTGTGATTTGATGTACTTCCATTCATAGCAAATAAACTTTGATTTGATCTGATGGGACCATTTCTAAATAACCCCCCATTCAAACAAAAAAGTAATTTTGAAAATCCGTCTCCACATGACTGAGTTATGCCCGAACATACATAAAATAAAATAAACATTCGAATTGATAACCTCCTCCTTTTTGAAGTCGGTTAAAAAGATATAGATTACTTACCGTCGATTGTTAAGACCGCAAAAACGCACAAGAGCAGTTTGCAATAACGCATATTAACAAACATCGCAAAATTAAGATATGTTTCATAATAAATAAAATTACCAATATCTGGTATTGCATTCATGCAAAAGGAATCATAAACCACAAAGGTGAATCACAAAAAATGTAACATAGATAATCAATTATTTCCCTTTCCTGTAAACTTTTGGAAAATATTGATAACTTGATAAGCAAATTGCACTAACGCTCCTTGCAATCTCACCAGCGTTATAAGGATTGCTAAGGGTACAAAGCGGGATCACATTTAAGCATAGAGAGAACACTGGGTGCAGCTGCATGCAGGTGAAAGCTATACAGGCAACGAGAGAGATGAATGCCCGATAGTTCCCTCTGCCTCTGTTTAGCTAAGCTGCGATTGGCTACTTATTCAATTGGCTAATTTGTAAGCGGCGGTAGCCTAGTGGTTAAGGCATTGCGATCAAGAGGTTTCGGATTTGAATCCTGACAAGTACACTACTGACGTGAACCCACTCCTAACACAAGCAATTTAGCTTAACGGGAGGGGTTAACGGGAATACTAATAATTGCGGTTGCTGGTAAAGCTTTGAAACAAAAAATTAACCCCTCATATTCCCCAGCAACCACAGAGCTCGGCTAGAAAGAGATAGAGGTATCTATCTATTATCCATCTCTCTCGTTGCCTATATTGCAATATTGGGGCTTGTGTTCACTCTATGCTTATATTCTATGGAACATCCTAAGTATTAGATTTACGAAACCAGTTTCACGAAAATTTTCTTTTTTCCCAGCATAGGCCTCCCCTAAAACTTCCTTCTCCATGGTATGCCTTCTATTCTTTTAATGCCCTCCTCCTACCTGTGAAGCCACTCTGAAGTTGGATACCACTCAGTTATGTTTTTGGTAATAAATAAACCTTGATTATAAACAATTTATTTTAAGTAATGTTCTCACCTGTCTAGCTCTCAACGCGACCCGGCTGTGTTCAGCTCTGTGCAGTGACGTCAACTCATTGAGTGTTGACGCCAACTCGTCGGTCAAGCCCGGCTCGTTGGACCAAAGGTGGTCGATCAATAGGGTGACCTGTTGAAAAAAACATTTTATTATTAAAAATAACATATTTTTTTAATGTTAGAGGGGGCAGAAGAGCAGACGGGTCACCTGATGGAAAGTGACTATCGCCGCCCATGAACGTCTGCAACTCAGGAGTCACAATCGCGTTGCCGGCCTTTTAGAAAGGAGTACGCTCGTCTTGTAGGTTTGAAGGTCGTATCGGTCCGGAAATACCGCATATGATGACCCGTTCCACAGATTGGTTATGCGTTGCAAAAATTGTCTCGAAGGCGTACAGTAGTGGAGCGCCAACTATCCAGGTAATAAGGATGACAATTTTGCCGTGTGGAACGATGGCGGAAATTTGCGGCTAGTATTAGTCCGAACAATTCCTCGGAGCACTCTCCATGATATATGCGATAGAGAATGCAGAGTGAAGCCACATCTCTAAGTAAATGTAGAAAAAATAACTAAAATGCAAAAAAAGGCAAAGTTTAGTTTCTGTGAGGCCGTGGTATCACTCCGGTTCCGGTCAATTTTTGTCGGAGGATCCTCCCTTTGTGCTGGAGGCACACGAAACACCCGTTCCTCCACATATCGTCATGATCGTAGAATAATGTTAGTTTTGAAAATGATAGGAAATTCAGTTTTTACCATATTGCGATACTACATTGTCTTAATATTATTACTACATTTAAGAAAAAAATAAATGTATTTCAGATTTTAAATTATATTTCAATGTTTGTTTGATTGTAAAATAAAATGTAGTGTCAAAGTCAAAGTAAAATGAAGCATGTGATTTTTCTAGAAAATTGTAAAGTTATTAGTTGTTTTTTTTATTAAATTCTAAAAAACAAACCCTATTTTTCACTTGTATACCAATTTTCATAATTACAGATTTAGAAAAAAAAAAAGTTATGGCAAAAAAATAACACAATTATTGGAAAGGGCTGCCCTCTATTCTATGACTATGACGATATGTATAAAAATAACTCTTACCAATAGGTTCTTCTTAGCGACTTGGTTGTGAGAGAATATAATGCTGGCCACAGCTTGCATATCGTCTTTGTAACGTTCACGTAGACTCACCACGCACTTGTCGTACGAGCCTTGGGAGAAATTAATAAAAAATAAATACACAAAAAAAAAGACAAAAAAAAAAGGAAATATTTTGAGATGTAATGCAAAAATAATGTATCAAACAATTTTGTCCCGCCTAGGACGTGTACTTAATATTACGAAGCTGGAGAGTGTGTTTGGTTAAACTTAGGAATTAATGGTTCGAATTGAAAAATTCTTTCAGTCTTGGACAGCCCACTTATCGAGGACGGTTATAGGCTATAAAACATCACGCTACCACCAATAGAAGCTGAGCGTCAATGGGAAATATTGCAAAAGCGGGGAAAATTTATTACTACTGAAACGCGGATAGCGGGAATGGGCTTGTGTCCAAATTGCAATAACAAATTGCTTGGTTTATAGTTTCAAATTATAATTGAAGAGACACAGATAAGAAAAAACCAGTCTATTTCTCATAAAAGTTAAAGATACAAAATAGGCATTAAGTCACATGACAGCGAATACTAATCAGAAAGTGTCACGTCACGCCACGCCACGCCTCATACAACTGAGCAGGTTACTCCTTATTTCTTATTCATTTTTTAAAAACAGTTGACACTGGACACAGATGTAAACAGTTTTATTTCGCGGACTCTGACGTCATTCAAGACGCCATGACACTATTCAGCGTTTTCAAGGGGTATTTAAATTGCTTTTTTTTAAAATACAAAACACGTAATGTAAATATTGCTTTTTCTTTAAAATATAGGTTTTTTGGGATAAAATAGATAATAATGTACATTATTAACCAAGTTTTCAAATTGAGTCAACTAGCCTAGAGTTAGTTTAGTAATATGTAAGTACGTTTATCGGCAGTTTGATTAGTTTCAGATCAGAGGGCCATGTGTAAGATGTAGGAAAAAATTGAAAATTGATCGGTGGTTAGCTGTTTTTATTCAGTTTATCCCCACAGGTTTGTTCAGATCTTCACTCCACCTGACTGATGAGTGGCCTACACTACACATTTCCTTAGACCCGCAATCTCCACCCCAGAACTCTTTATACCCCAGCGGTAATTAATAAACTCACCCAACTGGAAGTGACTCTCCACCTGATAGTACTGCTTCAAAAGGTCGTGAACAGCCGCCTTCATTCTGCCGCGAATACCATTTCTGTAAAACAAATTATAATATAAACTTTGTTTACTAAGCAATGAGGGTATGCTTGGATGGTTTTGTACTTGACGCTTTCTACTGCAAAGTGTTGTAGGTTCGATCCCCACATGGGAAAACACTTTGTGGGATCCACAAATTGTTGTTCTGATTTTTTTTCTTTGTGTCACACAAAATTGAACTGAATCTCATAGAACTTAGAGTCCGTATTTCCCTGTGTCTTCAATAAGCGAGACTTTTGTACGTAAGTATTTTATATCTACTCTGAAACTCTTTAATGTTACCGAGAATGTTCTAGAAGACGAAAAAATAATCTTACCTATATCGTTGTACCAATAAAACTAGTGCTTGAGTGCTCATAAAGAACACATCTCGGTCCGCACGCTTTGCCAAAGATGCTGCGTGGCTGTAAGATAAAATTAAACACATTTTCATTAATTATTACATTTTTTTTTTGTATTCATATATTGTTACGTAAGGTCACTGGTCACTTTATTGTGCAGTTGTAGAATAGCTGTGTAGAGCTACAATATAATGCCGTGGCTGTGGAGGCATTTTGGACGGAAGAAAATTAGGGGTCATCATCAACAGCCTTTAGTAGTCCACTGCTGGACATCTCAGGCCTCTCCTTAGAAAGGAGGTTTTGGCCTACTATACCACGCTGGCCAGACGGGTTGGTATGTTGTGCTGCGTAGTTTGCTCCCTTAGTCGTCTCTTACGACACTCACGAGATGAATAGGGGTGGCGACATTCCGTATTCTTAATCCGTCACCACACGGACAATTAGGCGGTGTGTAAAATACATCTATCACAGACGACATATGAATTTAGTCTGACCATGTCAAGTATATGTAACTTACTGATCAATAACACTGGCGATCTGCTGACTGGGGAACTGCGCCAACACACTGGTGATATTCCTCTCGTACAGCGCCATCAGCTTGCGGACCTTCTTCTCCACAGCAATGGGGATGCGGCCTGACGTCGACGACAATACCTGAAATATGATTTTGAGGTTATATTTGTGTTTATGTGACATATACAGGTTTTACTTACTGGCAGTCTTAGTCCCGTTTTCCATCCCTTGCCCTATCTGTTTCATCAAGATCATCAACGGCCCTTAATAGTCCACTGCTAGATATAGGCCTCTCATTAGAAAGGAGGTTTTGGTCTACTATACCACGCTGGCCAGACGGGTTGATATCGGGTTTGTTTTAGGTTTTCCTTCTCTTTACATTGCTGTTGTCCTGTGTGTTTGCCTGTTGTTTGCTCCATTAGTCGGCTTACGACACCCAGGGGATGAATAGCACCCCTATTCAACCCCCACTCCGTATTATTAACTCGTCCCCACACTGACCTTATCCGTTTTCCTTTACCGTAACTTATCTTCTTACTTTTCCCGTCTCAATTTCCAAGGAGGGTTGGCATTAGGCAGGCAGCCTACCAAGGTACCAGCCTTAAACCTTTGCAAAGGAACACATTGCTCCGAACATAAATAAAATTATAAAAATGACAGGAATTAGATAATTTTGTGCTTGAAGTTCTAAAGTCAATGATTTGACACTGACAATATATGACGTCACTAGTTGCTATTATATGAAAGTACCGTTTTGAAGTTAAGAAACCCTGAATTGACAGTATACTAACCTCTTGCAATTCGAGTAGAGGTAACGACGGGTCCCGTAGACTCTGCATGAACTTCTCAACTACTTCGCGCAGGCGAGGAGTGTTGTACGGCTCGGGCAGACAATAACCTATATAAAGAAAAAATTAAAATTATTGACAACAGTTAGCGATATTTGACAGTAGTTATACCAAATATAATAATAATAATTTATTTGCCAATAATATATATGACTTGGGTATGTCATGTTCTGCTACATGTATGCAACGCCATCTAACGAAAACTAGCTGAACTATTTTGTAAATGCTGATCCTGAATTACGTAATGTAATTTCTCAAACTTGTTAAGTGTTTTCTTTAATTTTCAAAGTTAAACGTTTCGGCCTTGACTTTCTCAAGTCATTGAAGACTGTAATGATACCTACACACGTATATGCCACATTTTTTTTCTGTACCTGCCTTCCTTTCACACCTGTCTTTCGTTTTTTATATATTCCAAATAGGTAATAGGCCCTTACTGTGTGTGTTTAATTGATTGGAATTGAACCCCATCATGTTCAGTTGTTACAGAATGTAACCTTAAGATAAATGCCACACGAAATTAAGACAGTCAGTAGGTGGTTTTTGTAAACCAAATGTTTTATAAACATTTGGTTTACAAAAACCACCTACTGACTCCAGTTTATAACTTAGAAAGGTACAAGTATTAAATAGTCAAAATACCCCCAAAAATTAATTATTAGCAGATCTTTATTAAATAAATAATACAAAACTAATAAAAAACGTGCTATGGAAAGGGCTATGCTCGGCGTTTCTCTAAGGGATCGCATCAGAAATGAGGTGATCCGGCAGAGAACCAAGGTCACCGACATAGCCTACCCGGATCAGCAAGCTAAAGTGGCAGTGGGCTGGCCATATTAGCCGCAGAACCGACAACCGTTGGGGAAAACGAGTTCTTGAGTGGAGACCGCGTCACGGCAAACGTAGTGTAGGACGCCCACAGGCCAGGTGGAGTGACGATTTGCGCAAGATGGCTGGCAGGAGCTGGATGCGAGAAGCCCAAAATCGATCTAAGTGGCGTGCAAAGGGAGAGGCTTATGTCCAGCACTGGACTGCGATAGGCTGATGATGATAATGATGATGATGAAACGTTTAGAAGCTATCGTCGGGTGTTAAAAATACATACCAGCTAATGTATTCTCGAGTATAGCTCTATATTTATTGTGAACATGGTTGAGCTTCTCTGAGAAGGTGGTGCTCTCCCCAATGGGGAACTGTCCTTTGTAGGGCTGCGCTGTCGTCACTAGGGACGGATCGTCCAGCTCTGGAATATAAAAGTTTAGAATTAAGAGTAGTCAAGGACGCCATAGAAGTTAACATCTATACAAATAAAGATAATTGAAGTGCCTTTCTATAATGTCTAAATAATAGGTTTTTTTCATGCTTACACGGTTATTTGCACGATACCTATGCCTAAAAACCTGTTTAAATATTTTTGTATGTCTGTCTGTTTGTTACCTGAATCTTCAAAACGGCTAGACCGATTTTGATAATATTTTACTACCAAGTAGCTATCTATATAAGGAGTAACTTAGGCTATTTTTTCTCTCATAAAAACCCTATAAAATTTTGCCTGGTCCGGGAATCGAACTCACTAAGGCAGCGCTTTTCAAATTCCACGCGAACGAAGTCGCGGGCACTAGCTAGTCTAAAATAAATTAACTCTATATCAACTTTAGAAGAATTCGTGTTATTTTAATATACAAATCAACACGCAACAAACTTAAAAATTGACTGATTATGAAAATATTTCGTAGAGGGTAGAGGGGTAAACGAGCATACGGGTAACAAACAATTTCTGGATTAAAAACTATCCTGTCCTTTACTTAATTTTCATTTAAATCGGTTCAGCGGTTTAAGTCTGAAGAGGTAACAGACAGACAGACACACTTTCGCATTTATAATGTCAGTTAGGATTTTAAAATATGTCGCATATTTTCTCCCAATCTGAGTACTAAAACCCTGAAACAGTTTTCTCTCATACAAAAATCAAACGTCTTTAAGACCAATATTAGATATGAAAGTATCTATACTCACCCAATGTACCAATCAGGGATCCCATATCCAGTACAGCACCAGGTCGCAAGGCCCAGGTTATCTTACCAGACTCAGGGGCTGACAGAGTCATCACCATCTTCATCACCTAATAACCAAAGTTCATTTTAAAAAAACAGTAACAATAACAACAGTAAGAAAAATTAATTAGTATTTTAGTAATTATTAATTAGTATTTTATTTATTGTATATAGTGTATATTTGTAAGTTAGATTTATCTTAAATTAATAAATTTAATATAAACAAGTCAAATTCGCTGTTTTCTCTTCCACCTACAGCATCATTTTTCTACATCACCCCTTTTTTTTTTCGTGCGGAAATCCCCTCGGATACCACCTGTCGGTGGCATGTCGGACTCGAACCGACTAAAACCGCACGCCGTCTCGGGTACTAATAGCCGGGGAACCAGGTATACCCTAGAAAGGAAGTCCCTGGTACTCCGACTTTTCTACATCACCCGAAGGTCGACAGGCAGAGAATGCATTGGGCATTAAGTCCGCCTGTGTAAAACTTGTGCATTAAGTTAAATAAATAAAATAAAATAAAAATTAATGATGACTGATCTTAAACAACGCATGACACCAGCACTGCAAAAAGACGGCAAACTTGACACAAACCCTATACCAACCCGCCTGGCCAGCGTGGTATAGTAGGCCAAACCTTCTTTGGAGCAGTGGACTATTAAAGGCTGTTGATGTGATCTTAAATAGACAGACATTATAATTCATAATCCTCTCAGCCATTACCCAACTAGGTTGGGATCAGCTTTTTGAGTCCACTACGATGCGACTGAAAGTTTTAGGAGTGCCTTCTATCAGACCATCACAACCCAAGAACTAGGCGATATCTTTGGATATGCGATCTGCGGCACTGCTCTTTTTACCTTTTAGTCCTTAATAACGGACATACTGGCACACATCAAAACAATATTGTGGCATATTTAATAGTGCCATTGTATCTATATGTGAATTGCATAAAGCTCTTCTCTCTCTCTTCTCATAAAGCTCAACCCCTTGGAAACGGGCGGTTGTAGATCGGCACAGATATATCATAGATTTTGTATGGGTTTGATTTTTGTTAAATTTATTTGCTTACTATTTGACAAAACAGAGATTGTTGCTATTGTGTGTGTTGATCTACGACTTTAGAGTCTACATAAAAGACGATTTCAAAAATTTTTAATTTTTTTTATGAAATAAAGAGAGTTTGAGTTTGCAAAATGTTTGAAGCTAAAACTAAAATTAAACATTTTATCACCGGCTTAAATTATAAGGATACAGAAGAACTCTTAAAAACTATAATCTGATAAGATAATGAATTACACATACACCCACACACACGCACGCACACACACGTACACTCATACGCATACAATTAACAGTATGCGTATGAGTGTGCGTGTGCAACAGTGCAGACAGTAGTGTGTGTTAACAGTACAGATATATAAAATAAATGTATAAATATTAGTTAAGTCCTACGCATAAGACAATCGTATTGTTCGATAGCCACGACACAGGCTTTGCCTAATGTGGTTGTCACAGTAAATGTAACATGTTATGTAACATATTTGAAAAATAAATTATTTTTATTATTATTACTATGACATTCTGTAGATAGACCGTTCTCGGCCTTTTCAGCGCTCCAACTATCCGTAACGATTGCCACAGATGTTCGTATGGCGACCCCGGTTGCCCCCATGTCTTAACTTACTTTCCGAGGCACGAACAGACAGTAATTACAATTACATTTAAATTTTTATATTCAAAGGATTCGAGTCCGTGTGGTGACGGATTAAGAATACAAATTGTCACCACCCCAATTCATCCCGTGGATGTCGTAAGAGCCGACTAAGGGAGCAAACTAAGCAGGACAACAGCACTGCAAAGAGAAGGAAAACTTGAAACAAACCCTATACCAACCCGCCTGGCCAGCGTGGTATAGTAGGCCAAAACCTCCTTTCTAAGGAGAGGCCTATGTCCAGCAGTGGACTAGTATAGGCTGTTGATGTGATGTGATGTGATGTGAAGGATTCGAAAATGCCTAACCTCAATTTCCGCATAAGGTTGTCCTTTATCCACATGTCCGCCATCTTCAACTAAAGTATTAATCAGTTTCCCGGCAGAGGGCGCTCGCAGCTTGGACGGGTCCTTCTCCTTATCGAAGACCACGGTTTGGTTCCCAATCACAATACGATACTTGTCAACTTCGTCTTTCAAATAAGTCGTGTAAGAAGCTCCATCCACTGACAGAAGTGTACCTTTAGGATAAATTGAAAAATTAGATTATTTTTTGCTTATTATGGTACAAGGGTGTGGTCATCCATGTTGTGACGGATTAAGAACACAGAGTGTCACTACCCCTATTCATCCCGTGTGTCTTAAGAGCCGACTAAGGGAGCAAACAACGCAGGACAACAGCACTGCAAAGAGAAGGAAAACTTGAAACAAACCCTATACTAACCCGTCTTGCCAGCGTGGTATAGTAGGCCAAAATCTCATTTCTTGCCGCCCCTTAAGTTCTTCCTCCAAGCCGTATTGGAAGGTGATGGTCCTTCGGTAACTTCACTCGGTGAAAAGTACCGAAAGAGTTTTTGAAGTGAAAACTTCGTTAGGTATTTTTGACCAACTAACAAAGAATGTATTTTTTGAGATAGGACGAAACCATGAAACTCGCGACACCGTTACCGTTACCGACACCTCTGTATATAATTCCCTAGATATATTGGCCCTGTTTACAAGTGAGTTGAGTTTGGGTTGAAATACATTGCAGCAGTCTGGTTACAATAGTACTGGCTCTCCCATGCCTGGGATCAGGCTGTCGTGTGTGTTAAATTATTATTCTCTTTATTTACTTTATATACATATTATTTACATTTTTAAACATACATTTTATAAAAAATTATAACAAAATACATTTAAAAATATAAAAAATAGTAGACCACCGACATCGGGTACAGGGACCAAGACACCGGTGGTTAGGACTCCAAAGATAGGAACCTCCTCACTATACGAGCCGTGTCAAGGAGGACTGCCTTCTGCATCAGACCCTTGATCCAGCCGTCCAACGTGAGCCTCTTAAGGTGTTGGTCGAGACTCTTGGCTATCAATCCGTGAGCAGATACGACTATCGGAACAATGATCACTGAATCAACATTCCACATATCGACAATCTCGTGAGATAAATCCAAATATTTAATTTGTTTTTCTTTTTCAACTTTCACGAGATTCTCGTCATGAGGAACGGCGATATCAACAATCATTGCGCGGGCGCTCTAATCGATCTATCAGCACAATATCAGGCTTATTAGCAACAATAGTCCTGTCTGTGATAATAGATCGATCCCAATACAACGTGGCCCGACCATTCTCGAGAACTGGGTCGGGCACATACCTATAGTATGGCACCTCTAGATTCACAAGATGGTATTTAAGGGCAAGCTGTTGGTGTACGATCCTGGCTACTTGGTTGTGCCTGTGCAAATATTCTCCGTTAGCAAGACGAGAACAACCAGAAATAATATGCCTGATTGATTCGCCAGGACGGTGGCATGCCCGACAGATGTCAACCGTACCATCTTTCAGGATATATTTCCGATAGTTATTCGTCATGATAACTTCGTCCATAATCGCACAAACAAAACCTTCAGTTTCTCCGAAGAGGTCACCATACCGTAGCCAAGTCGTAGATGCTTTTAAATCTATATCGGACCCGTTTAGGGCCCGATAAAACCGACCATGGAGCTCTTTGCCCTTCCATACTTCCCTGCGATCATTAACACTAAGTACTACAGGTCTGCGCCAATTCTCTTTAGCCAGAGCGAGCGGGGTGAAGCCGGTATCCACTGCAACTACATTGCGATGCACTCCCACGTCGGGATGTAGAAAATATTCTCTGAGATTGCATATCTCGCGATTATGTAGGGTCTTGATATTTAATAGTCCACGACCCCCAAGCTTTCGCGGGATATACAATCTCATAACTGATGAACGTGGGTGGTGCATTCGGGATGCAGTCAGCAGTGTACGGACTTTCCTGTCAAGGGCATCTAATTCGGTCTGAGTCCATCTAAGTATACCAAAGGAATACATCAGAACCGGCATGACCCAACCATTGCAGGCTCGCACCTTGTTGCCCCCTGATAAAAGACTTTTAAGTACTTTTTTCAAGCGGCCAAAAAAGCGTTCCTGCAATGTTTGTTTCATGTTAGATTCTGGTATTCCCAACGACTGTGATATACCCAGATACTTGTAAGTTTCAGTGGCAGACAGAGATCTGAGTTTTGTTGAATCTGAAAGCTCTATTCCTTCAGATTCAACTATCACACCCTTCTTTACATACATGACTGCACACTTGTCTACACCAAATTCCATTTTGATAGAATTACTAAAGTTTTCCGTCACCTTTAGTAACTTTGTCAATTGTAATTTGTTGGAGGCTAACAGTTTCAAATCATCCATATAAAGAAGGTGAGATATAACTTTATGATCTTTCTGCAACCTATAGCCTAACCCTGAACCCTCTAATAAAGTGCTAAGAGGGTTCAAAGCCAGACAAAACCACAAGGGACTCAGACTATCACCTTGAAATATACCCCGCTCGATCTTTATTAGTACATCGTGTATCGCCGTCTGCCGACATCCTGGATAGCGAAGTGCTGTTCTCCATTGCCCCATACATGACTTCAAGAAAGTGCACAGAGTTGTATCAATTTTATACAACTCCAGCACCTTCAAAAGCCATGTGTGTGGAACCGAGTCATAAGCCTTCTTATAATCTATCCAACACGTCGCCAAACTCTTACGATTACGACGTACCTGTTGGCTAATGGTCATGTCTATGATAAGGAGGTCTTTAGTGCCACGGGTCCCACTTCTACATCCATTCTGAGAAACTGACATAATCGAATTATTATTAATATGTAAAGTAATTTTGAGTCTCAGAATAGATGTTAGAAGTTTATACATGGTAGGTAAACATGTAATAGGTCTAAAATTTTTGGGATCCATGACACTACCAGACTTATAGAGTAAGTGGGTTATGCCAGTGGTTAAAAATTGGGGTAATGAACCCGAATCCAAAGCTGCCTGGAATTGAGATGCCAAACGCGCATGTGAGCTTCGGAACCACTTAAGCCAAAAGTTGTGCAGTCCGTCTGGACCAGGTGATTTCCAATTCGGTAATAAACGAACTGCACAACTTACATCATCTTTATCAATTTTAACAGGTTCCATAGGTGTTATTGACTCACATGAGCGTCTGACATCCTGCAACCAATCACCTTCTATATGAGTGACAGGCACCGACCAGATGTTACGCCAAAATGTATTTGTGACATTTTCATCTGGCAAATGCCTATCACCCACACATGGATCCGGATCCTCCCATTTCCGGTACACCCACTTCTCATTTCTTTGGAACATCCGATTCTGATTATACCGATCTATTCGTTTTTTTATACCGTCTAATCCTATTTGCCCATGCATAAATTTTCTGCTTTAGAAAGTCTATGCGCTCTGTGACACATGACATGTACTGCTGAGGACTAATGGTAGTCCCCAAGAATGCCTGTTTCACAAAGCGCATCACTCAATTATTATTATTATTATTTGACTTAGTGTAAGTTTATTCCACTTTTTTTCCACTCTTTATTTCCACGTTTACTCAAATGCGGCAATGAAAGAGTTTAATTAAATTAATGATTCTTGATACATTTTTAATCATTTACTTACCGCCATCTGTGAGATGATGCACCTCCAACTCCTTGAAACTGGTGTTCATAGCGAGGAAGTAGGAAGTGGGACCGGACTTGGTAGCAGACACCTTGTACTTAGAGCCAGAATGAATCAGCTCCACTTCCACACAGTTGGACAGTTGACTTGAACCTTGGATTTGTCCCCTGTGAACAAATATACACGTTAAATCAATGCAATTTACACATATAGTTGACTGCACGAATGGCGTAGTCTTTTAAGCGGTCGCCACGCCGCTTCCTACTACGCTGAGTGTTGTGGGTTCGATCCCCACATGGGACGACACTTTGTGTGATCCACAAATTGTTGTTCTGAGTCTGGGTGTTCTTTGTGTCCGTTTCATGTATGTTTGTAAAGTCCCCCGCGACACAGGATATATTCCTAATGCGGGAATTGTCTTTATTTAAAAATAAAAAATAAAAATAAATTAGCTTATAACTATATAATTTTTTGTTATAGGCCTAGGCATAGGCCTATTTACGTCCATCACTCATTAAAAGATCTGGTTGAAAACCAGCGCTTGACATCTGTCAAGCAGACGCCGAACCAGGTCCTATTCACGTGAGGTATCTACACGTAAAAATGTATTTTCGCTTAAGCCTTGTATTAAGTTTCCTTTATATTGTGAGTGTATGTTCTTACGTCCACGAATAACTTGTTTTTAGCATAGAAGAGGGCATTTAAAATAGCCAATCAGTGACAAGAGCAGAGAGAGTTGTAAGACCCAAACAATCTTCTTTCTCTGTCTACCAACCGTATGCGTTAACGCCTTTTTCGCTACCTCAACATTTTTAAGCTCTTTGGTGACACCACAGCCTCAAAGACGTTCTGTACCAGATACTCTGATGGTACTTTTACGTCTAAACTACTGAAGCTGTTTTAATGAATTTTGGTATGAAAGTTGAGGATACTGTGGAGTAGGAAATATGTTACTTTGCAGCCAAAATAAAACTAAGAAGGCAGTTAATATTAATAGTAGTTGGATCTGCTATTTAAAATCACGCTACGACGATTAGGACTGGAGCGGTGATTTAAAATGTGGGTGGTATCGTAGGGTTGGCACCAGGGACTTCCTTTCTAGGGTATACCTGGTTCCCCGGCTATTAGTACCCGAGACGACGTGCGGTTTTAGTCAGTTCGAGTCCGACATGACACCGATAGGTGGTATCCGAGGAGATTTCCACACGGGGAAAAAAAAAAAAAAAAGGGTGGTATCGTAGGGTACAGAGGGCAAAGGGCGAGTTTATTTCACTTCCACTCAAACGTCATGGTGACTGCGTTTGGCAATGTGATTGGTGGTGATCACTCACAACGCCGATCCCCATCACCGTGATGATCGAGTGGATGTCAAATAAACTCGCACCAGGGCCTCAGTTAGTGAACTAATTTGACTTACTTCTCCAGCCCACTCTTGAACTCTTGGAAGTTGGTTGTGATGATGGTATCTGCTATCAGAATGGAGCCGCAGAGCACACCGAGCATTATATCCGGCTTCTCTGATTGTACCTAGAAGTAGAGACATTGATTAATAGAGTTATAATTATTATTATTTTTGTATAAGCAGGAAAATAAGCTCTCGCTTCACTTGTAACTCGCTTCACTTGTAAGGAACTACCACCGTCCATGGACACCTTTTTTTTTAACTTGTGGAAACCCCACCGGGGTTAGCGGCGGGGTGGTGTGTCGGACTCGGACCGACTAAAACCACACGGTGTGCCACTCTGCGCCTGTAACAGGAGGGATCCGGGAACTGAGTGTCAGCCCGCAAAGTGCAGCAACTCAAAGAGTCGCCAGTCAATTTCCGAGTCCCTCCTCCTAGAGCATGGGGAAAGAGTGGTTTGGGTCTTTTATAACCTCACTCAGTCAGTAAAAAGCGACGAAGGAACAGCTTAACACCAGTTCTCTGTGAATTCGTGATATCACTCCGGTCGAGCCTGGCCGATATGTGACAAAATAATTCATAAAAAAATACTTTAAAAAAATGTTTAAGCAATTTAAATAATGATAAATCGTAATAAGCTATATTTTCCATCCCTTAACTCAAAGGTAGAATAGTTTCTTTAACTTTATACGGAACCCACCTTGAGTAAATCTGATATAACCTGCACATACAATACTACTCGCCTTCACTGACTGGTTTATCAACACAGAGCCTAACACTGAAGCTACAAATTTAAAATTTTGCCAGCCGATACTTTCTATGTTGTAAGCACCCACAAAAAAAGGATTGTTGGCAATTTCATCCCTGAAGGGGTTAAATAAGGGATGAGCGGTCGCAAGTTCATCATTTTAAAAAGTTGGAAACACAAAATAATCACAAAAACGTAGCCGTGGGCTTTTAAGTAATAAATAAATACACGAACCCTCTCAGCGATGAGCGCATCGAGCCAGCTGGTGTCGATGTTGTTCTCCTGGAAGGCGGGCGTCTCCAGCAGAGTGATGAGGTACTCCACTGTCGTACGATATCACTCGTTAATTACTTAACTGATCATCATATAATTTTTGCACACGGTTGACAAAAATCCAGAAAAGGCTGTGATGTATGTATAATACGGCGGTAGTTGTAATAATTTTATATAGCCCGATTATTACACTACCGCCAATCTCACTTTGAATTACACTTTCAACGTTACGCTTGTGTTTGATTTCGCTCCTTAGGTAAACCTAGAAGTACGAACTAACTAGTCTAGACTTATCAGTGGCGACGAGGTAGTGCATCGTTCACGTGTGCAAGCTGTTTTTTTTTTGTTTTGTTGTGTTTCGGTAGTAATTCAAGAAAAATGTCAGTAGGTAAGATCGGGCCCTTCGACGTGAGTAAGGACAATTGGCGGTCATACGTGGAAAGGCTGGAACAATATTTTGTAGCTAATGATATGAAAGAAGCAATAAAAGTGGCTACATGAATTACGGTCGTAGGTAGTGACGCGTATGAGTTAATGGTGAATCTGTGTACACCTGAGCGGCCGGCTACAAAAACGTTTAGTCAGTTAGTAAACATTATGCAAAATCATTTGCAACCACAAGCTAGTGTGTTAGCGGAGCGTTATAAATTCCGACAGCGTAAAGAGAGTAAAGACGAGACAATTGCTGAGTACGTGGCGGAACTGAAAAGGCTATCGAAAACGTGCAATTTTAGTGAGTCATTACGTGATAATCTAAGAGATCAGTTAGTGTGCGGCCTACATAACGAGATAATTAGGCAGCGGTTATTTGCGGAGAATGATTTACAGCTTTCATTCGAGAAGGCATAAAGTTAGCAGTGACAGTGGAGGCAGCTAAGACAGGCGCAGATTTGGTTGAAGGACGAGGGGTGGAACATCGGGAACCAGCATCTGTGCACCTAGCTACAGCAGGAGTCAGGCGAGAGGGAAATTATAAACAGTACAGTAACCGCGGCGCTACAGCAGCGCCGGCAAAGTGGCTGAGAGGGCCCACGCCAAGCGTGCGCCGTGCCAGCCAGCTGGTTGAGCCGAGCAGGCGCGCACGAGGTTCTGGCGGCACTAGCAGGCAAGGCGACGACATAAACAGGGCAGAGAGACAGGGCATGACACGAAGACTTGCAAATTTCGATATTATGTGTGTCGAGCATGCAACGAGGAGGGGCACTTCAAGAAGATGTGCCCTAGATTAACAAAGAAGATGATAGGAGATCAAGCTCGCCACAATTTTATTGAGGATGAAGTTGAGGGTAATTTTGACTCGGATGACGAGGTAATTTTTAACTCGCTGCAACACAATCCTTTTTCTTTTAGTCAATATAGCCCTTATTATGTAACATTGTGTATAAATGGAAAAAACATTAGTATGGAATTAGATACTAGAAGTATTTCCTGTATAAGTTATGCTAACTATTTAAAGTGGTTCCCGAATAGCAGCATTTTAAAAAGTAACCTTATTTTGAGATATTATACGGGAGAAATAATAAAGCCTATGGGCAAAATAAACGTATTAGTTTGCTTCAAAGATAAAAGTAAACATTTAGATTTATTTGTAGGCCAAAGGACAGAAACCCAGAAAAAAAATATGTTTTAAAAATGTGGACCATTTTTTCCAATAACATGGCGTTGTGAAAGTTGATGATAGGGTGAGTGGGTGTCAGAAGTCAGGAAAATATTATCATTAGTTTTTAGCCAGCGAAGCCGAGGATATAAGCTAACTTTTAAAATGTAAACATTTACTAATCTGACAAGATATTTTTTTTATGGTATAAGGGGCAAACGAGCAGGCGGGTCACCTGATGGTAAGCAACTTAAGCGCCCATGGACACCTGCAACTCAAAAGCCACAAGTGCGTTGCTGTCCTTGGAGTCCCTCCCGCTCGAGTCAGCGAGAGGGGGGATTTGGGCTCCGGTAACCTTATTCACTCAGTGAAAGGCAACGGAAGAATTGCTTAACACCGGTTTTCTGTGAAGCCGTGGTATCACTCCGGTTGAGCCGGCCCATTCGTGCCGGAGCATGGCTCTCCCACGTACTTATACTTATACTTGCTTAAACTACTGGAGTCAATCTGATTTGGTACCGAAATCTACATAAAAACCCAAGCGAAGACACGGGCAAAAGTAGTATTTCCGAAATATAAATATTACCTTCATCAGGATTTTCCGAAGTAATTCTAGCTGCGATGACGTGGCCCCACGGCGAGGGTCTCTGCTTGGGCTCGTCCAGCTCTATCGGACTCATGCCCCAGGGAGACTCGCCGTACAGTAGACGAATATCCTTGATGTGATATAGTGGAAGACCCATGGCCACCTGAAACGTATTGATGGTTAAAGAAAGAGAATGGAAAAGATGGTGATGAAAGAACTATGTTAGAGATGAAACGACATAGAATTAGCATTCATCATCATCATCATCAACAGCCTATAACAGTCCACTGCTGGACATAGACCTCTCATTAGAAAAGAGGTTTTGGCCTACTATACCACGCTGGCCAGATGGGTTGGTATAGGGTTTTGTTTTAATTTTTTCTTCTCTTTGCAGTGCCGTTGTCCTGCGTAGTTTGCTGCTCCCTGAGTCGGCTCTTACGACACCCACGAGATGAATAGGGGTGGTGACATTCCGTATTCTTAATCCGTCACCACACGGCCTAGCCTTAGCATTAGGGGAATTAAAAACTTTTTTTTATGGTATAGAGAGATCGTTTGCCCTCTATATAGATGGGTCATCTGATGCTAAGTGGTTACCGACAGTCATGGTCACCTACAGCTTAAGTCACAAGTGAGTTGCTGCACTTCGTGTGCCTCCCTCAGAATGGGGGTAAGGTTTGGGTAACGTCACTCTGCTCCACTTAACCGACTAACCAAATATATATCGATGTGCCAAACCATGTCCCTCCCTCAGTACTTCGGTCTTCAAATAAAGAAACTGCCATTCCATATACTTAGATATTCTAAGTCAGGGATCCTTAAAGTAGTCGAAATCGGTTTCCCAGGGGTCGACATTAACGAAAACTGATTTTGGGGGATCGACGAGGTCTAAAAATCGACCCGTATTAAATAACACAAGTTTTTATTTGAAACTTTCAGGATACTGTATTAGTTGTGTTACATGTACCAACTAGTTATAAGAATAACTAATATTTTAGTAGAAAGTATCATTGTTGTACTTTTTGAAAACTCAACAAGTCGATAAGCGTGCAATAAATTGGCTATGGGGGTCTGAGGTATCTCAGAAAAGGGGTCTCTTACCCAAAATATTTTGGGAATCACTGTTCTAAATAAATCTGTGAGTCTATTCATCTGCTAAGATATTCTATAAGTCTACTTGATTTCCACCATCTTGAGTTTATGCTGCAGTAAATCCTTTCGAATGTACTCAAAGAGAAGAATAATAGAGCCAGATAAACCTTCTTAAATCATATGCGAGTTAATTGGTCTACTCATCATCACTCAAGAGTGCAGTGAATTTTCCGCCGGACTAGCCACTACCCGTAACTTATGAAATCATTACTAATTAGAAAGTTAAGTGCATTTCTATAAATACAATAAACTTATAAAAATACAATTTGTTTGAATTTTAACACCACGGTCAATAACCTTTGCCTACAGTTGCAGTGATGACTCACTGCATTCTTAACGCGAACGAACTAGAGTCCCGAATTGTATACTGTATACTGGTCTACTGGATTTTATTGCTTTTTTTGGTGACGGGGTGGAAAATCCTATCATAGGGCCCAGAAGTACGTGGCGTATCTACTAAGAACCACTCCGACGGCCGGCTTCAGGCACCCTACACGGGGGAGGACTCAGACCATGTGCATTCAGGTCCCACCCGAAATAACGCCGTGCCTGACCTGGCCAAATCACGGGCAAGCAACTAACCGCCTGCCAATCAGTCCTATCGTTACCCCCTCCTTATTTTATTAGCCTCTTAGTTTCCTTGATTACCTGCAATTGTGCAGCTGGTAGATTGACATCAGCCACCATTTCAGTGCAGGGATGTTCCACTTGCAGTCGAGGGTTCAGCTCCAAGAAGTAATATGCTCCAGTCGTAGGTTCGTACAGGTACTCCACTGTCCCCGCACTGACGTAACCGACCATTTTAGCTAAACGGACAGCGGCCTGAAATTAAAAACAAAACAGTTTATTACTTATATTATTATTATCATATTAACAGCCTTTAAAAGTCCACTGCAGGACATAGGCCTCTCCTTAGAAATGATGTTGGTCTACTCTACCATACTGGCCAGACGGGTTGGTATAGGGTTTGTGTCAAGTTTTCCTTCTCTTTGCAGTGTTGTTGTTCTGCGTAGTTTGCTCCCTTAGTCGCCTCTTACGACACCCACGGGATGAATAGGGGTGGTGACCCTCCGTATTCTTAATCCGTCACCACACGGTTACAAAATGTACAGTAACGTAAAACACAATCTCTTACTTTCTCCATCTCGATGAAGACGTCAGGCTTAGAAATAGCGGCCGGTGCTTCCTCTATGATTTTCTGATGACGACGCTGAATTGAACAGTCGCGCCCAAATAGTGATATTGCGTTACCTGCCAATAAGGTGTTACAAAAGCGTTACAAAATGTTTTTTTTTCTTTTTTTAAAAGACAACTCCCGCTTTAGGAATAAGTATATCCTGTGTCGCGGGGGACTTTACAAACATACATGAAACGGACACAAAGAACACCCAGACTCAGAACAACAACTTGTGGATCACCCAAAGTGTAGTCCCATGTGGGGATCGGACCCACAGCACTTAGCGTAGTAGTAAGCAGCGTGACGACCGCTTAAACCACTACGCCATCCGTGCAGTCACGTGTTACAAAAGCGTTACAAGATGTTACAAGATGTTACAAAAGCGTTACAAGATATTACAAAAGCGTTACAAGATGTTACAAAAGCGTTACAAGATGTTACAAATATTTGATTTGTATATTGTTGAAAATAAAAATATCTTATTATATTTTCTAGAAAATGCTTTTCCTCGCGAACAGAACCACCACAATAACGGCAGAAAACCGGTAATAAGCAGAAGCCCAAGTGCGAGTTTATTTCACTTTCTTGATCTTCACGGTGACGGCGTTCGGCGCTACGATTGGCCCGCGCTGAAATCTCCACCAATCGCAACGCTAAACGCGCTCGCCGTCGACAGGGAGTCGATGTGAAATAAACTTGCACTCGGCCCTCTGTTCTCACGTTGTTTTTCACCGAGAGATCGACATTACCGGAGGCGAAAACTTCTCCTTCCTTAATTCTAGGAAAAGGTACACAACTTTCTTTATTCTCTAACTTATAATTCTTCTCTTACCATATTGATCAGCCAAGAGTTGTACTTCTAAATGTCGAGCCGACTTGGCGAGTTTCATCACAAATATTGGAGATCCAGGCACTTCGGCTTGTACCTGAAAACAGAAACAATATAATTATACCTATCTTTTTCAATTAAATAAGAGATGGACAACCTCGAAAGTCTCCTGGTAATAGGGAAAGCAGTCAGGAGTAAGTACGCAAACACCGGCAACAAAGGGTCTACGAAGCCACGTAATGCTGAGGACCGTAATAGGTGGAGAGCGTCCGAAAGATGATTTGTGGAGGTCACAACGACATAGGGAGAAGAAGTAAACTCAGATCTATTGGTATTGAAATTTTAACGTCAATAATAAATGTATTTGGCGGAATTGTTATTTTTAAGGTTATTTTGAAATTCAGTATAGAAGAAAGTATGAATGAGATTTTTTCCCTTCCATCTCATGAGTCAACCTGTTCTCGAGTAAGGACCGCATACAGGAAGACGGAGCGAGGCTAAACTTCATAAGTTAGTCTGAAGACCTGGTAAAAATGGGAAGCCGTTTGGATACGGACAGAGCACAGGAACAGTTGTTGTGGTGAACCTTGGTGGAGGCCTATGTACAGCAGTGAACGTCTTTTGGCTGAGCTGATGATGATCTATATTATCATCTCAGCCAGCTAGAGTTAAGGATTCTGCAATTGTGGGATAGGAAACGGCACTGAGACTGTCTATTGGTTATGATGAACGCTAAACATCAGAGTTTCTGACTGTCAGCATGTTTGTCATTTTAAATAAAAAAATGTATCGATATCTATAAGAAACGATTGAACACACCTGTCTAAACATGTTATTAAAGTCATCAGGATTCTCCACTTTCCGAATGCCTTTCCCACCGCCACCTTCGGAAGCCTTGATCATGACGGGGAAGCCGATCTTCTGCGCGGCCTGCATCCCCTGCTCAGGTGTCGTAACGCACCCCTTGGCGAACAGCTCCGATGATATCTTGATCTTCTTACTGTTGTATTCAGCTTTTAGATCTAGAGGAGAAAGACAAATGAATGTTTTTCTTAATTTCTTATTAAAAAGACAACTCCCGCACTGTCTTTACGTAGGCATCCTGTGTCGCGTGGGACTTAACAGACCCAGACTCAAGAACAACAGTCCCATGATGGGATCGAACCGAAAACACTCAGCCATCCGTGCATTCATAAATTTAAGGTATAATAATATGATAGATAGTCCCCTACCGCTGCCGCTCCAGGGTAGAGTGGGGATGTCGGCGGTCTGCGCTACGATGGAGGAGGCGATCTTGTCTCCGAGCGCCCACATGGCCTTCTCGGGCGGCCCGATGAACACCACCCCCGCGCGGTGCAGCAGCTCCGGTAGCTTTGGGTTCTCCGACGCGTGACCCCAGCCCGCCCACACCGCCTGGAGGGAAGGATTAAGAATAATAAAAAAGGACATTCGGCAGATGTGAAATATCGAAATTACTTTGTAGAAATAATGAGTATTAAATATAAATATCGAGAGAATCGCTTGCGCATGGCGATGTGGTACATGTTGCATATACAACATTTGGGTTTCCGTGTCCTAGACATATACACGTATGAGTAACCAACCTGCACTTGTGTCCTCACAGCGATGTCCACGATCAGCTCCACATTGGCATAATTGTTGTTGTTGGACCCCCCGGGAACGGGGACGTAGTGGTCCGCCATCTTTATGTACTCCGCATTCGCCTTCAGATCTTCTGGTGTCACCTGGTGAATGAAAAATTAACTTACTACTATTGTTAATGCGAAAGTTTATGGATGGATGCCTGTTAGTCTTTAAGACCAAAATCGCTGAACGGATTTGGATAAAATTTGGCACATACATAGATTTATGAGTATAAAATAACACTACCTTTTATCTAGGAAAAAGTTTGACCAATGGACATTAATTCGCAGTTCCTCAGATAATCAGTACATGATTTATTTAATTTAAAGAAAGGACCGTCCGATTTTTGTAACATAAAAATCAATAATTAAAATTACGAAAATTTAAACATACATTATTACTTGCCGTGTCTGACCGATTCATCAACGCAGTCTACACCGCTTGAGCTACAAATTTGACATTTTAGCAGCTGATACTTTCATGTTATAAGCATTAAGAAAGGATTTTCGATAATTTCAGCCCTCAGGGGGTAACATAAGAGATGAACGGTGTTATGGAAGTTCGGCATTTACAAAATTAGACACACGAAATAATAAATGGTAGCTAAGGGCCAAGTTTATTTCACTTCGACTTCTTTCGACGTTACAAGACGTTACAAGATGTTACAAAAGCGTTACTAGGTGTTTCAAATAGATAGATTTGTATATTGTTGAAAATAAAAACATCTAGAAAATGCTTTTCCTCGCGAAAAGAACCACCACAATAACGGCAGAAAACCGGTAATAAGTAGAGCCCCAAGTGCGAGTTTATTTCACTTCTACTTGATCGTCACGGTGACCGCGTCCGGCGCTACAATTGGCCCGCACTGAAATCTCCACCAATCGCAACGCTAAACGCGCTCGCCGTCGTGAAATTTACTTGCACTCAGCCCTCTGAAGAGAGCTGGGTAATATAATTAAATTTTTATACCATCACTACGAATCTCACAGCCCGTTCGTTCTTGAACATTTCGTAGGACCATCGTCTGATTGAACGCATACATTTTACAGCACCTATACCGTTGTTCGCTATCAGCACCTGGAAAGAAGACAAAAGAAGAATATAGAAGATGGCATTATTATTAAAAAGAAACCGTGGGTTCGCCATGCCACGCACAACCAATCTGTGGAACAAGTTATCGTTTGGGGAATTTTCGGGGCGATAACTTCAAGAAAAGAGCATACTCCTTTCTAAAAGGCCTGAGTTGCAGGCGTTCATGGGCGACGGTAGTCACTTTCCATCAGGTGACCCGACTGCTTGTTTGGGCCTCTAAAATAAAAAAATAGAACAGATCGACCAGAGTGATGTCACAGCCTCACAGAAAACTGTTTTCACAGAGTGAATGAGGTAACTGGAAATCCTGATCCAAGGGGGGTGGGTTCAAAGCGTGGTGATGCGCTGGTGACTCGTAAGTTGCAGGTGTCTATAGGTGGTCACGTCATCGGGTGACCCGTCTACTCGTATGTTCCTGATCATCATTATCAACAGCCTTTAGTATTCCACTGAAGGACATAGGCCTCTCCTTAGAAAAGAGGTTTTGGCCTATGCCATGCATGCCAGACGGGTTGGTATAGGGTTGGTTTTGAAGTTTTCCTTTTCTTTGCAGAGATGTTGTTCAGCATAGTTTGCTCCCTTAGTTATTTATATATATAATGTCGGAAGGTTTAAGGTTTAGGAGCATAAGGTCTAAACAGCAAAATGACAAACGATCTGAAAAGCGCACAAAGGCAAAAGCGCAAAATGTCAAAAAAATTACTTACGAGTTCACTATATTCTATCTATATATCTATTCTAGGGGTCTATATTCGCACCAGGGACTTCCTTTCTAGGGTATACCTGGTTCCTCGGCTATTAGTACCCGAGACGGCGTGCGGTTTTAGTCGGTTCGAGTCCGACATGCCACCGATAGGTGGTATCCGAGGGGATTTCCGAACGGAAAAAAAAGGGTCTATATTCGTGTTTTTAAATCTTTTGAAGGTATACAAATTAAAAACGATGGTGACCATAAAAACCTTCTTCAAAATCTTACCTTATTAATAGGTTTGGTACCCTGGAATCTTCTGACGAACTCCTCAGGCGTAGCTACGGTAAAATCTTTCTCTTGGAAGCGTTGACTGTGGATCACAGTGCCTTGGGACATAGACGGCCTGGAATAAAAAAAAAGTGTTCAATTGGATTTGTAATTTAAAACATTAGTAGGTTTTATTGGAATTTGGGGGAACCCGAAATCACAGGGTTCGGAACCTCACCAGGTTATCCGTCGGGATGGTTTTTAGTGGAAACACCAAATACTCCTGACTCCTGAGCCCCAGGAGCTCGAAATTCCAAGAGATTTTCTACTCTTCATAAAAAGAAGTTTATTGGGGTAAAAGTAGAGTTGGCATTAAAAAAAGCACACAGCTGGCCTTTTCTTCACGTGTGCCGAAACTCTACCGACTATCCACAACACCACACGGTGCGCTAAAATGCTAGGGATCCAGGAACATAGCCTCCGGTATTCTCACTAACTCCGTGATATTCAACTTTCAACCGGTTCTCTGTGAGGACGTGATAGTTCTTCGGTTGAGCCGGCTCATTTATGCTAAAACGTGCCTTATACTTATTATCTCATGTGTTATACAACTTTACACGCACATAAAGTTTAATATACATGGGTCAAGTACTATATAGTATACACATTAACATGCAATAAATAATGTACTAGCTATAAACATCGAACATATTTAAATAACATGCATAATTAAGCGGTATTTATTACTAAATAATATTATAAAAATTAACAATTTGTTCGCTTATTTTGGTTATTTCGAATGTGTGTAGTTCTTTTTAAAAAGTCAACGCGCATTGAGAATATCACCCCTAGTACTAGGTAATATCGAAGTTCTGTCGTATCGTAGTAAACTTAAAGCCGGTCCCAACCTAGTTGGGGCAAAGGCTCGGCGAAAAGAGCAAGGATAATTATTGAATTGATAATTACATGTTATAGCTATAAGGAAATAAGAGTAGTTTCGAAAACTCATCAACATTCCTATTACATTAAATAATTACAAAGAAATTACGATATAATTTAAATTCCGCTTGAGTACAGATTATCAATAAGATGCTTAAAAGCGGAGATTAATCCCGGCGGCGATTTAATCCCCAATCGGGGACTAAGCAACAATAATACTAGTATGTAACTAACTTTACTAACTCTATACATACATACATATAATAATGATAACTTCACTAATGTCACGAACGGTGGTATGATGAATAGAACAGGCTAGAGAGTGAGTCTTATAACATCATAATTACTACACACTGACTTCGTTCGTGTTTATTCATTTTGGCGGGATAAAAAAATGCCCATGTTTCATTCCAGACTATAATCTATCCCTGTATTAAATTTCCTCCGATTCTGTTCAGCTGTTCTGGCGTGTTTGAGTAACAGTTACCTATACATACAACAATCCTTTTACACTCACATTTACTATATTAGTATAGAGGACAGTTACTTGACACACCTCACTCTTTGTCTCATCTCTAACTAGGCAGAGCCTGTGCTATGGTTACCAGACTGCGGATAAACATACTTATATATTTCTAAATACATACATATTATAGATAAATTACACCCAGACACAGAACAAATGATCGTGCCCTTCACACGTTTATTTGTAGTGAGTGGGATTCGAGCATCGTGGGTTAACTCCGGCTTAACAGTTAAGGTTACTAGCCACGGAGTAATAACTCAATAATCGTACTAACTTATTTTACTTATTCGAATTTAGAAAATCATAAAATTTGCCACTTTATGTTCTGTCGTTAAAGATTGGGGCAGACAGCGGACGGGAGAGTGACGAGCGCTGAGCGCGCAACGTTGTGTCACGTCTTCCGTGTTACGAGTAGCTAGTGCATTTCAACGTGCTCAGGTAGAGGGCCGGACAGCCTCCAATGTAAATGTAAAGAGTTATGACCCACACTGGGCAAGTATCCTCTCTAATATAAGATCTCACAGAAGCCTGCGAACACCGCAGGAGGTTTCTTTCTTCTGTAAGGAGCTAGGCTGGCGTAAATTACCGTTTATAAGTGAAAAAAGCCCTCTACCACCACAATGAAACCTGCTAACGCAATGTTGACGTCCTGTCCCACCTTCTGTCTAGCGTGGCCTTATTTTTAACTCATTTAGAATTATTTGAAATGACTACATGACATTCATCATTCATGTGGTATCACTCCGGCCGAGCCGGCCCATTCGTGCCGAAGCATGGCTCTCCCACGGTATTTTTTTATGGTCACCTGATGGCGCCGCCCATGAACACATGAAACTCTGAAGTGTGTGGCTGCCTTTTGAGTACTCCCTCAACCCCAGAAAGAGCTACTTAAAACTCACTCACGAAAATAAAGGCACCGCCGGTTTTCTGCGAGGTCATGGATAGCAGAACATTAAAGGAGGTGTCTCATTAGTTCGTTGCGTTGAGTCGCCCGCTACGGATCAACGCATGGTACGCCACAACTCGCACGCACCTCACCTTAATGTTAATTTCAGTCTTTATTCCACAATAGATCGGAACAGACGTGGTCTATTATGCTTTTATTGCACCACCGCCGAAACAAACGTAGAAACAATTAAAGATTTTTGGATATCTCCCTTGATTACACTAAGGCAGTGGGACACTATCCGTCATCGCACTGGGGAGCTCCGACAGCGCAGCGCATCATCCCTTCTATTTTTTCTCTTTCATTCTTCACTAAGGAAACGAAACAATTAAGTATAATACTTTTTTTTGACTGGCCTGTTGGTCTAGTGATTAGCGACCCTAACTGCTACGCCGGAGGTCGTGGGTTCGATTCCCACCCAGGACAAATAATTGTGTGATGAGCACATCGCTTGTTCTGTGTCTGGGTGTAATTTATCTATAATATGTATGTATTTAGAAATATATGTTTATCAGCAGTCTGGTTGCCATAGTACAGGCTCTGACATAGTTTGGATCAAATGGCCGTGTGTGAGAAGTGTGAAATACTTAATTAGATAATAAAAAAAGTCTATGATTTTTAAAAACATGATAAAAACGGTAAATTAAATTCCCTATTCTCTCTTCCCTCTCTCTCTCTTGAAAACAGACAACTCCCGCATTAGGAATATATCCTGTGTCGCGGGGGACTTTAAAAACATACATGAAACGGACACAAAGAACACCCTGACTCAGAACAAGAATTTGTGGATCACACAAAGCGTCGTCCCATGTGGGGTTTGAACCCACAACACTCGGCGCAGTAGGAAGCGGCGTGGCGACCGCTTAAACCACTGCACCATCCATGCAGTCAAGTCTATTGAGATAAGTCAAAGGAAAAGAATCTATTTTGAAGTAATAAAAAAAGTTAATATTATTTAACGGGAATTAACGAGATCTCTTATTTAGCGTATTACATACCTCTGGTCTCCAGGTTGCACCGGCCGTGGTCACCGGCTGACCTGGAGTCAGTCTGTGACCACGGCCGGTGCAACCTGGTCGAAACGTCAAGCAAACCAGAGGTATGTAATACCCTAAATAAGAGATCGCGTTAATTCCCGTTAAATAATATTAATTATCATGGAACGCGAAAGTTTAAAAGTTAGTAATAAAAAAAGGTTGCAATAATCAGATTAGTTGATACAAGAACATATCAACATCAGAACAACAAAATAATCATATTTTTTATCTATGATGACAATGACATTTAATAAATATGTATAGATTATAATATATAAAAAAAATTGATTAGTTCTAGATTTACCAATAAGGATATCATTGATTTATTTAATTTTGGCTATGATTTATCTTAGAATATAATAATACCATTCAGATTCATTTAATTTTTTATTTGATAGCCCCAGTTGATGGGGAGATGCTTGGTCAAGAAGGAACGGTAAAGACAATTATGGGTATTATATTGCTGTTCCTTCACTAAACCTGAACCTAATATCACCTGCAGGCAAATAACAACCGCCACCCATGGACACCTGTAGCGTGACAGTCACAGGTGGTGACCAAGTTCGAGATCATGGATGGTGTAGTGGTTTAAGAGGCCGCACGCTGCCGCTCACTATTATGCTGAGTCTTGTGGGTCCGATCCCCAATTTGGACGACACTTTGTGTGATCCACAAATTGTTGTTCTGAGTCTAGGTGTTCTTTGTGTCCGTTTCACGTGTGTTTGTAAAGTCCCCTGTGACACAGGATATATTCCTAATGCGGGAGTCTTTTTAAAAAGAAAAAAGAAGTTCCTCCAGAATTTGGGGGGGATTGATTGGATCTCTGGTAAACTCACTCACTCAGTGAAAAGCAAGGAAAGATTTGCTTAATACCAGTTTTCTGTGAGACTGTGGTATCACTCCGAGCAATTCTCCATAGTATCACGCTCCTAGCGGTACATACAGCCAATTCAATTTACATAAACTCACTCAAGCCTACATCTTTGAATAATACCGACTATTATTTTAATCACATTGGAGGGTAATCTCATCCCCTCTTATTTATATTTCATTGTTGGTGATAAAATTGATGGGTACTGATAAAAAAATCTGGACACGTTCCATTCAAATTCATAAATTCAATTTTATATGGTGTGTTATTCATTTTCAAAGAAAGCAATTTAATTGTGTTACATTATGAACAAAAATCTTTGTTATTTATGTAATTATTTTTGAATAAATTGTAAACTGAAAATTAGACAGAAAAGACTGTTTTATATTAGTTTGGGAAGTTACTTGATAAATTAAACTCATACATGCTTACGAAATCATTCATTTAGTTTTTTTTTTTTTATACACTACAGATTACAAAAAAAAAACACTAAAAAGATATAGCATAAAACCAAAGAACACTTGGTCTTAAAAGACTAGAAAACCAAAGGAAATTTAAAAGTAATGTCTGCATTTTTATCTCTTCATAAACTGTTATATAGGTATTGGAAATTTAGTTAAGAAAAGACTAAAAAATCAATAAATCAAAAATGAAACTAACATTGCAAATTTCTGAAACATTAAATTTGTCTGAAAAATCTACTTTAAATTTTAATTCATCCATATCAAACTTTTATGAGTTTTAATATTTGAAAAAAGTGTATTTTAATGTACACAGTGCATGATGAAACTTAACAAAATTTTCTCAAAAACACGGG